GGCAGGGGCGTGGGCTCGAAGATGTAATGGACCTGCGCATCGGCGAGAGCTAGCTGATCGGGGGACGAAGTGGCTGTTGCAGGCTCCGTGGAGAAGCGGTTCTCAGGTCTAGAGGGGCCGAGGAGGAGGACTTGACCGGTGTTGCCCAGCCCGTCGCGAGAGCTGACCACGCTTTGCACGTTCGCCGCGCTGGCGACAACCCTACAGCTTGTTAGTATGGATACCTTGTATTTAATTGCCCACCGCCCGACAGAAGGCCACCTACGTCATGAAACCTAGGATATCCGTATCTGATGTATTATTGACAATGGGCAGTGTCAGGGACACCAGAGAAAAGGAGTTGTTGATTGCTATGGGACCCAGCAGCAGCGCAGAGTTTAATCCTAGGGTGTAATCGGAAAAGGCATTCACCGTGGTAGCATTGCCCTTTTCGGAGTTTTGTGTGTATGTCAAATTCGGATAGAGAATGGAGGGATATCCAAGCCCTTCATCCCCCAGCTTGACAGAACTGCCATTCGAGTAAGTGTAGGGAAGTGTGATCTCCGGTATTGCATCGCTAGTGACCTTCAATAATCGGTCGCGACCGCCTTGTCCGTTCTTCGAGTAGAGAACGGCCTGGTATGTGCTTAGGTATCCCCGGCTGCCGAGTGCCGATTGCACGTCGGTGATGGAAGTAGCCCAGTTCGCCTCCGATGTATTACCGGCATAATAGCGTCGCAGAGCCGATTGTACCAGGAGCCGTGTGGAGATAGTTTTGCAGGTCACTTCGAGGAGCTCCAGGCTCGAGGCAATCTGACTCGCTTTGATGGTCGCGACGAGTTCAAGCCCGTGCGATCTGATGGGAGGTTAGTGACCGTGAGCACACGTGCGAAACTGACCACCTACTCGACATCGACTACAAAACTATAAGTGGTGGTCCACTAGCGCGTCTTGTCAGTTTGTCGATCTCCCTTGCCCGTTTGCGTCGTCCAAACTTAACTTACTGTCGCAACGGCGAGGATGACAATACCCACCAGGGCCGTCAGGAGGACCAGCAGCCCTAGCTGCACGGCAATGGGGATGCGCATCCGGGCACGGCAATGCCAGCAATGGTCAGTCCATGGAGGGGATTTGGTTTTGGTAGTTTCTAATGTCCTGCTATGGGGATCGAGAATCTGGAGAAAGGAGAAACACCGGGCTCGTCAGGAGTGAGATGCATGTTTATTTGATCCATTGACTGTCCGCGGTTAGGAAGAGCCCAGAATATTCTGCACTAACCACGTTGGAAGTGCAAGGTAAACAGCCATCCCGATCAATTCCTTGGAATCAGCGCGAGCAAGGGTCTGACTTAGACGGCGCTGATTTGTTGAGGGCCCGCCACATAAAGGAGCTAATGAGGGTCTAGACTACGCGAGGTCCCGCGCATGACACGCATGATTGGAATGAAGCCGGTGGGGATCCTCGGATAACACCGTTGGCACTTGGCCTTGGAGCAATATCACCCGAGCTAGAAGAAGGGCAAAAAGTAAAAAAAAAAAAGAAACAGGTTTTTCTTTCTCTGACAAGGTACAACTTGGTGATTTATGGAACGATGGACCGGAATTCTTTTTTCCGACTTGGTTTTCGGGTGGATTTTCTCCTTGCCTTTTTTTTTTTCTTAGAATTTATTCAATTTTTCTAGTCGCGCTGGAGGGTCTCAGCATTTCTATTCAACCGTTGGCCCTATGACGATGATGTTGGCTCGATGTTCTCTCGTAGAATGCCCGAATTACCCTAGAAATAAGCTCCCATTCTTCTTTCATGATCTGCAGACTGATCGGGCCTCGAATATCAAGTCACACGAGTAGCTAACAGTATTACTTGACAGGTGGCTGGCAACCCCAGCGTAACAGCGAATAGTTCCCACACGGGATAACCTTGTTAGACATAAGTGTTGTACAATTTGTAGTCTCGGTCAGATGCTCTCCTTCTATTGGCACGATCTGACGGGCCAATGTGGTTTCTAGATTCTCCATCATGCCATAGCCCTGGTTTACCCTAGTAAGCAATTCCACGAAAAGGTTAATGTGGAAAATACAATTTTGCGGAGACCTGGCCGTTCTTGATTTCATGATTTATCCTATCTATTATAGTAAAAACGTGGGATTAGCTCGTCTTCAAGAGAAATTGTAAGCATATTTTGAGCCGCTTTTATACATCGGCCTCGGCCTGAATCTAGCCCTTTTACGAGAAAGAAAAACATGGCCAGTGGGTCACTCCATGCCGGTACCTTTTGCCTTCACATTTCCTCTGGAGGGAATTTCCTAGCGCTATAGTGTAAAATGCGCTAATAGGAATAATGCAAGACCATGTTTTAAAAAAGGAATGACATAATTTACATCCAGTTAACCATATGGATTCCTTCTTATGGACTAAGTTCACATGGCATGCAGAGTGTGGGTAGTCCAGTCGTACTGAGGGTTTGGTCCTAGGCTTTGCACGATATCCACATCCTCGCATGGTTACCGAAATAGTATATGATACAAACTCGATGTAACGGCAGAACGATCATACTAAATTTACATCGTCCGATCATGGTCTATGGGATTGATGGTCAAAACTCATTCTAGATTCATTCTAGATCTCCAGCTGCGCTGGCCTCCACTGAGGCAATGTCCCCATTCGCCACGGCACGTAAAGGGTGACTGTACTCCGTACCTCGTTACGCAAAGCGTGTCCATGCGGGCGAGCTTGACGGCTTGGAGATAAAGCCTCTAAAATTAAACATATAAAATATGGTACACGGGATTACCCAAGGGCAATAGCATAGTTTCGTGTTTGCCCGATTTTAGAAGGCCATTATAGCATACGCCAACTTCATACTATGTGGAGGAAGGTGTCTAACTACTCCATTCTGCTAGTATCTGCGGTCCTAGCATTGGAAATATTTGCTCAAAGATGTGGGTAATATGTTGCAAGAACTGAGCCGATCGCAGCATCGAGCAGCCGAGTCAGCAAAATATCATAAGCATCAGGCAATTCACTGCGGTTCACAGACTCAACTACAATGTTGTCCGAACGATTCCACTAGATAAGTCAGACACCTACAACGCTCGCGCGGTCGAGATCGAAGGTCAAGTCTATCGTCACTTGGGAAAACACAAACGTATCGCGCGATGCCTACAGTGCAGGGAGGGCTACACTGATCTACAGTACGAGGCTAATGGCGAACTCGAGTCATATCTGATGAACCATTGTCCGAGTGATCGCTTCAGACATAGGATGGCTCGGCAGGCGATTGAGGCGGTCATCTTCATCTATAAGAAAGGTGTTATTCACTCCGATCTCTCCGCTCGACAGATTCTCGTTGATAAACGAGGCAACGGTAGGCTGTCTGACTTTGGTGGATCATCATTGCAGGGCTCGGATCCTATCAGCATGGAAAACGCGACACATTTCTCACCTAGGGATGAAGCCGCTCCAAACACTGCACAGAGGGACATTTTTGCCCTCGGGTCAACTATCTAGGAGATATTGATGGGTCACAGGCCCTACGAAGGATGGGAAGATGAAAAGATTCAACGATTATATTCGAACAAAACGTTTCCTTCACTAGACCAGATAAGATATGTTTCATGGAGGACCGTGAAACTGAAATGCTGGATGAGCGAGTATAAAGCCACTTCAGATATTCAGAAAGAGATTCCATTCCTTCCTCTAATCTCGCATATCTTCTCCTGGTGCAGATCTTGCACTGACACGGTTGGTTTGAAGAATTCAACTCTCATTCATGAGAAAGCATCCCAGTGATGCGCGAAGGCAGCTAGCATCTGACTATGGCTTATACAAAGCTCGGCAGATTAATAGGTTCCCTGGCAATAGGAATGGCTTTAGAGCAGTTCGAACCAGAATGGTGAGATATGTCGTACGCACCTGTGCTTAGGACATTTTCCTTTGACTCTGTTAGACCCACTGTGCCGCACTTCATATTTGGGGCAGGCATTCCTGGGTCCTGTGGCTGGTTTCGCAGGGCACTCAGGGCCGGGAATCAACTCTGCCTTGTTACATTCCGAGTTTCTGCAGCCCTGGCTATGTATTGTCATGGCTTGATAATCCACACACATTTCTTCGTTTAGTATGAGGGACCTTTGCGAAGTTATCAATCGGACTTCATCGAAAGTGTGACTAGGTTGAGTTTTCCCTAAGTTACTCGCACTGTGTTCGAAGGCTGTCTTTAATTATCTCAAGTACTATGCCAGAGCTTCTGCGCTCGGACACGACGTCGTTACACACCCCAATCTCGTTGTACCCATAGAGGAGACGGTATTCAGGGGTCTGGATCATCCAGCCCTAGTACCGTCACACAGTCTAATTCTAGGTAGGACTTAACCGCCATATACAGCTAGATTTAAATATGAGGTATTGTTCGTCGAAGTCTCTTGTGGTCTCATTTGCCTATCACCTGATGGCGCCACTGGCGAGAAGACCACTAGGGCAACGGTCTCCCGTTTGAGAACAAAGGATATATGCGTTGAAACGATCCACTACCTTTGACCGCCTCTCTGATACACCCCTCATTGGCAGTGCCCTTATTGAACTTGCCGAGGGCAGATGAATCGACCAATTTTTGGGAAGTGATTAGGCAGTGAAACGGTCGCGTGATAAGGGTAGCCCTCGTGGACTATGTGTCCCCCTCCATACACTCACTATGCCGTCTCTTTGCGTCATATCTACTTAGCCTTGGCTTGATTCTTGAATAGCCTTCTATATTACACTCCGAGCCCTACTGCCAACCATCATTTTGTGTTGTGATGCGGCTTGAAACTAATCATTGGTGCTAAGTTTAGGTATTCGTGAGACCGCATTTGGTATACCCTTTCTCTTGTGACCTTAATGATTGGACACATTCTTAAAGAAACAGAGTTATTTATGGCAATCTATCTATTTATCCATACATCCACGCAGCATTTCGAACAGTGATATAGATTTCCCAAGCCAACAACAACGCAATTCTGTATACCTTGTTAACACATCCAATACCCTCAACGTACCTTAGCCACAACCCTCACCCCTCTTGACCCATCCCTCGGCATCGCAACATGATAATCATGCTCAAAAGAAATATCTCTCTCATCCGTCTCCCACAACTCCAAATCAAACATCCGCACCAGCGCAGCAGTCACAAGATAGAGCTCGGCCTTTGCAAGCTCAAGCCCCAAACACTTTCTTCCGCCCCTTGAGAATGCCAACTGAAACTTCCTCCGCTCGCGACCTTCGTCGCCCAACCAGCGCTCGGGATTGAACACATACGGGTCTGGGAAGACCGATTCGGCCGTATGTGCGCTCAACGTCGTAATAGTAACTGGGGTGCCAGGAGGGAGGATATAAGATCTGGGCGTGGGGCCTGGGGTGGTCACATACGTGGATGGGGTATAGGTGATGGGCTGGTGCTGGATACGGGCTGCGCGAGCGGTCACGCCGAAGGAGAGTCGGTTACCTTCTTCGATGATGGCGGAGAGGTACGGGAGCTGCTCGAGTTGTGTCCAGGTTGAGGGGCTCGGCAGGGTGTTTAGTTCTTTGCGAAGTTTGGCGAGCAGAGATTGTTTGGCGAGGAGATGGTAGAAGATAATGTTTAGGGTTTGGGCGGGGGACTCTGTTCCTGCGAGGGTCAGTAATGCGCCTTCTTGTTCGAGGCGTAGGAGGGATCTTTCGGATGCGGGGAGGTTTGGGTTGTCAAGGACGGATTCGTAGACGGATTCTTTGGCTCCTGGATTAGTAGGTTTTTTCTCGCTCGGGGAGCTGGATGCTTTTGCCGTCATGATTGTGGTCAATTCTGTGCGGACTCTCTGGTATCGACGTTGTAATTAATCGTGTAAAGTGACTGTGATAGAAGGTGGAGGACTTACATCAAAGAGCTCGAGCATGTCCATTAACCCCGGAGGCATCACGGGCCTGGTTAGAGATGGAGGTAGTGCTTCGAGAATATCGGGGATCCATGGGAAGTGCTTGTTCATGTTGATTCCCTTGAGCAGCTCGTGACTGTTGTGGCGGAGTCTGGCCGCCTCCTGTTCATCCGCGAGCACGTCGGTTTCGTGGGCAAATAAAAAGTTGTTGACCACACTATCCTCCGTCATTAGTACTTATGGCTACTCTATTTAGTTGATAGACATACATACTCATTGGAAAATCCATAGAACGCGTCCGATAGATTGATGGGCATTTCCGTCGCCGCATGTCTGGCGACCAAATCGCACAACTGGTTCACCTTTTCGGTGATCACGCCTTCGAGCGAGAGGACATTGCGCTTACTGAAGAAGGGAGTGAGCGCATCCCGACGGATTTTGTGAAGGTAATAATCGGCGGTAGTCCCGACACCACCGGGAACACGTAAGGTGCGCAGTTGGTAATCATACTTGTCGAGGCGGGTCATGGACGGGGCGTAGGTCGTGTCGAGGTAACCGACATCGTTGATGTGGATCTCATCCGGGGTTACGCGGATGATGGGCCCTAAGATTGCGTCCAATCAGTACCAACTGTGGTTTGAACACCAGATCGAAAGAGGAGACCATACCGTATTGCTTGTGAAGTTCCTGGATCTTGAAAACGTACTGCCCGGGCTGGACGGCGTCGTAATAGAACTCATACCACCAGGTGAGTGCGGCCAGTCGGGGACCTGGTATGTGGGATAAAGGATGGAAGAAGAGACGGCGGATCGCTCCAACGGCAGTCCATAGCGACAGAAGGATAAGGCTTGTCTCGACCACCTGAAGCAGAGTCATAGCTGTTGAGCCTATTGTGCGGTGCAAGGCGTTAAATAGAATAAGTCTCTGATAATTTTCTAATCTTGGTAATCAATAAATCCTGTTTGAAGGGGAATTGTTAGAAGATATGTGCCACGAAGCTCGATGCCAAGACAGCCACACAAAGAGAAGCATTTAAGCCTAAACTAGTAGGACCCTGGCTAGCCTGTACCATTAATAACAGACCTAATAGTGGTCAATCACCTCATCTCTCGCTGCGGGGAAGACCAAACCGCGGGAAGATATTGGATGCAACGTGGTAAGCCCTAATGCAAGGCTGTACCGTGGCGGAAGTGGCCCGAATTGAAACCAAAGTACCCACCACACCCACAGGGGATCCTGACATCTATATACGCCTCCAATATATGCATAGATTACTTGCGGTCTGTTGCTCAAAAAAGGAAATTGCGAATCACCCCAGAAGGCTGGATGCTTGCTCACGCCGCACCCTGGACTTCCACCACTTTACTACACTAAATGGTAGAAAGCCATTCTAGCGATGAGGAACTGAGAACATATTTTCTATGTCTTTCATTCGTTGACCCGATCTTATTGCCAGCATTGTAGTCTTCGCTTACTCATTTCGTTTCTGTAAATGCTGCTGCATGACCAAATAAAGGAAGGCTGTGCTTGCGGTGGGAGTAATTGTTATGACAGGTAGAGCCATCAGGAATTTGAAAGCGTGAGGATCTTATTGTTATCGTCAGAGCTGAAATTGAAGAATCCCATACTGAATAGCGTCTGTGCAAGTATAGCCCAAAACATGTCAGATGGTCATTATGCGTTCAAACGGAGAAGGAGAAGAACTCACAGCAACATAACTACCTTGTAAATAAAGTATGGTCAATTGAGCAATCGTTTCATAGCTCGACTATCCATCCGAGTGGCTTCCGCCATAATCTACTCCATACTCTTCATCCCTCGGTTTTGCGCCGAAATTGGCCAAATACCGTGTGCTATCCTTGATAGAATACTTGTTTCTCAGATCGATCAGTATTGAGAGCTAGGGTCATGTTAGCTTCAAACAAGCCTTGTTATGGGTAGTCTACATACAAGTGATGAGTTGTTTAGAATTATCACTCCAGCTGATACCAATTTGGAGTTTATGGATTGCATCCTTGAAAGAAGGGTACCCAAGTCCTTGTCGGTTTGGAGAAAGTGAAAATTATCAATTTCCAGTATGTCTCTCATTGTCTTGTGTTCCTCTATAGCGTCCCTCACAATTCTTTCAAGGTTGTCGAAATAGTCAGTCTGGCGAAGTTGATACGAACGCAGTGAATGAAGATCTAGCAAAAGCTTCCGGGCTTTCTTTAGCTGTACTCTTTGGGGTTCTTTCTTGGGGTCTCTTGAAGAATCTTCGTTCCTACTATCGAAGGAATTTCCTAGGGATGCTACCAAGCTTTCCTACGGGCAGGATAAGCTTAGCACTATAATTTAATTGAGATGAAGTGATCCTTATTGTAACGCGTAAACAATCGACGTATTCCACAGATCTCTCCGCTCAGCTGTTCAGTATTTTAAAGTGTTTGGATCATATGACAAGGTGATTTACGCACCTCGCTCGCATGTGTTGCGAAATCGAAACCGACATTGGTCGAAGATGGAGCCGGTACAGACAGGTTTTTCTCCAATCTCTTCAACCTCAAACTTACTTGCAAAATCTCCAAACGGGATTGCAGTGCCCTTTCGCTCCATGGTGAGTGTCCCATCCGCGCGCACAGAGGCTGCGGCATGGTCATATGGAGAACATACCTCGGATGGCAGAGTGATCTGGATAGCGTCTGAGTGGATCGTAATAGAGTTACTCTTGCTCTATTCTCCATCAATGTAAGAGTAAACGAATTTTGTCCTTCTGGTAGTAGAGGCCATGACAGTCTGTGTCCGTGGGCTAATCCGGAGGATAATTAGACACAGCAATCACTACTGGATACCATCCTGGTAAACATGCCTCCTGTCACTCACATAGTTGGTGGAATCTGCGTGGGTATAACACTCAGTGGCCCAGAGAAGGGAGTAAAGACTCTGTTGTAGATCCTTTGCGCTTTATATCCATCGGATATTGTGGTGGATATGTTCTGTTGCGAGGTGTTGTATAGGTACCACTGCGGTGAGACACGGGTGACCGCTGACTGGATAACGTACAGAGGGACTCTATGGAGAGGAATAGTCGCTGTCGCATGGACGGCGTTCTTGTTTTCCATGTCCGGTCATTGTACGAAATGCACCGAATAGAGCGAGACAGCTGAAGAGCTTGTTGAACAGCCAACGGTCTGCTTGACTAAACCATTGGAAGTCTTTTCCTGTTATCCAATACGGCGTTTAAGTATAACTTTGGATTGCAAGAGTGGCCGGTTTTTTTTCACACCAGTCGACCGATGTAGGGTACGGCGATTCCTCCAATGTGGGATCTGACTCTAAAGAGCAATAAAAGCTTCGCCTGCAGCAAGAGAAACAACGCTTAGTTGAGGAAAGAAAACAAATCAGGGCAGCTAATGAAGAATTACGCCTCCTTGAAGCAGAGTAAAAGAAGCGCCACAAGGAGGAAGAGTACCTAGCTAAGAAGGCTGACAGCCAGTTTCAAAATGACATCAATGTCGTCCAAAATCGCAAGAAGAAGTGATCTACATCAGCTCCATCTCAAAAGAAGCAAAATATTACTATACCAGAGCCTCAGATTGATGCGGAGCGCTGTATACTATCTACAAATCGTCGTGGAAGACTAAATACACCTCCCACAACACTTCCGGGATAGCAAAATGCTTTATATAGTTTTATTAGCATCATATCTCTGCTCCAGCAGAGAACTTAAGTATAATTTATTTTCATGTTGCTTTAAAGTTTCACTTTTAATGCTGGTTGCCGTACAGATATTCGTGCGTCAGGTGATCAAGTACGGTAGGTAATGAAAAGTCACGATAAGCAAGGCGACATCGGCTTTAGCAGTCTGGAATAGAATAAAGCTCTGTGTCTACCTCAGAGAGTGAAGGCACCATTTCAAATTGTAAACAACAAATACCCCAAATGCTTTCATCAAAGTCCTGCTAATAGTAGTGACTCTCCAGTGTTACGTGTACTCAGCTGTTTGGGTACCCTTTTTGAGAGAGAAAGGAGCTTCATAAATGAAACGATCACTTTGTGAAGAGGTAACACATCCTTTAGAGGGGGTATATTATCCACTTCATCTCTGACAATTTTCAGTTGCTTCTCACTATATCTGGTGAGATCATTTGCTGTCATCTCCTGGCAATATGACGACCTTGTCTCGTCTGCTGATAGTAGTTTTGATTTTAGCAAATTGGTCTTGATTTGATCGGCTCGCGTCTTAATAAATTCGCATGTGCAATGGTTCCTTTCCAGATTTTCCCAAGCGTCATAACAATCATGGATACTGCCACGCAGTTTGTCCTTCATGACTTGCGCATGGGGGTCGTCAATAATTGTCTGTTTGATTTTTTGATCTAGTTCACCATTAATGAGCTCCTCAGGGGGTTCCTTTAGACAGCATGGATCATTACACCATCGGAAGAGATCATCACTCTCCTCACGAGAGCGACCTGTAAGGAACAGCTTCTTCCATTCATTTTCTGTGTATGGTTGGAATTCTCCGTTGTTTTTGTTTATCGGTGTAAGGTGTGCAACCGTTGGTGAAGCCATGTTCTCTCTCTTTATAAGAAGGACAAAGTAGTAAGTGTCAAATGTTGCATAAAAGGCCCCGCTAGCCTCTGAAAATCGGAGCGTGCCACCAGCAGCATATCCCATCACCACTAGTCCCCAAGCCTCCAAATGTGCAGCAGGGAGTGATGAAATAGTTCCGATAAAAGAAGGGTATTTCTCTGCAGGCTTAAGCACAGTCTCTCCATCATTATTTTTCTTGTTGTTGCTGGTACGATCTTGCTTCATTGCCCTGTACAGGGGTAACCAGCAACATTCTCCGTTATAGCGGGCATTGTGCCAAGAATAACACTTCTCTAGGCACTTGCGAATGAGCTCTGTCCACTGCTCCCCCTGAATCGTGAATGCCATATCCACACGCATTTCGTCTAATGAAAGAGCACGACGGACTTTGGCTAGTGTGATTGGTTTTGTAAAATCGTCAACATCTGAGCCGTACCATGCTTCTGCAATCTCCCTGTTCTTCAGCCATTGATTCAGGGTCTTTAAAGCCTGTATGCCAACAGCAAGGGGTACACCAGCTGCAGTTTCCATATTGATATAGCAGGTTCTGTTGAGTAAATAAAGTAGATATGTACCCTGATCATGTAAAGTCCGGAGGCTTACTATCTAAGCCAGGCTAGATTCGATCTGAGTCAATGCGGCCGGCTGAGGGAAGGAACTAAATAACCTGGGGTCCTGGAAACTGGCCTTGTGCATTAGCAACCGTGTCAACAGTGTCGATGTCATCATTACATCTATGGATAATAGTCATACCACCTGAACCTGATGCACATCATGGCAGTTAAGAGCCATAATGTGGCTTTTAGCGCGTGTGATCTTTGCAAGCGAATCAGGTTGACATTTTAAGAACAGCTTTCCTGGGACTGTGAATTACTCTAATACTCGTATTACCGCCCATCTCCCAAAAAGCATAAGATCATAACTAAGGAGAGACTTTAGCTATGTCAACGGTATATATTCCTAATGATGTACAAGTCGATTGGCGCTAGGACATAATAGAGTAGGTCTACCCCTCTGCAGTGGCATTCTACATCGGGTTGTGGCAATGTAAGTCTATCTTCGTTTCCCATTTAAATTTATAAGAATTAGCCACAATGCAGAACATAACTTCGCTGCAGCATGGATACGCCGACTGCAGATACCAGTTTTATTGGTTGAACACCAAACATGAGACGTACATATCATAGTGGGCTGACCAATTCTAAGCATCTAGAATTATTGGTACTATCTTGACGTTGCGTAAAAGGCACTACGAAGCATATGTGCAGCAGCTTAACCCAGTTAGGACCCTGTTAGGGAGCAATGGTTCACTCCATTGATTGAAATACTATTCTTCCGTCTTATTACATTCTCCACAGTTGCTGAGAGTCCAAGGATCATTTACTCATGTTACCATAGGCAATAGACGTGAAACATCACGTTAGTTCGTGTCGAATATGTATATAGGCGTGGTGTGATTTCCTCCAACCCTGCTCCAACCTGTCTATGAAGCTGACAAAGATTCTGGCGAACACTGACACAACTCAAAGAGTTTATCATGGCTTTCCGCTTGCAGCAATTGCTATGTCATATGTTTTTGGTTTATCTTCTCTTATTGCTGGTACCGTTGGACAGATGTCGGCGATGCAGCCGTGGTAGAAACTCTAATTCCATCGCAGGATTAAGTGATACTTATTTGGAGATGTGGTTGGTCGCTAAAGAGAAGAGATCACCAGGAGGCTGGGTCGTTCCGTAAAGCCAAGGCCGAGCTTATTTGTGGGCAAACCAGACTCGATATTGGAGCCGTTGTAGCTGGAATCTTTCTCATTCAAGTTCATGTCGACAAACCCACCTTGATTCTCGTTATCATGAACCATCTTCGGATTTGTAGAAGCAGCAGATATAACAGGCAGAAAGATTAAAGTAAGATTCAAACAATCAATGCAGAGAATTACCGTCTTTAAAGAGCACTGGCTCACGACATACTAATGCGACATGGCTTCGGGTTTGGTTATGCCGTCTTGACGTGGCAAACTCATGACGAAGCACCTGGTATACTAATGCACCAGTACTAACAATTACATCACAGCTAGAGTCTCGTACTTTACATAGCGACCGGGAATGTCTCCAGTTGAAAGCGAGGACTGTAGTCACTGGCTCGAAGAGGAACCTTGAAGGACCCGAAGAGATGCAGCGATACGCGCATTACTTTCCGTCATGAGCCACTCAGAGAAGAGGACACCAGATATTGCCCGAAGCAAGGCTGGAAAGTTATAAGTTCTCCATCTATGCTAGAGGGCCTGAGCGCTCGACTCACCCATAGAATCCAGTCCGTTAAAAATATTTTGACAAGGCGCGTAGAGGCCGAGTTAGCAGGTGGGGCGCCATCTGCCTGTATGCGTTACTTTGTATATTTTCTGCTTTCTATAAGCGTCCTGGCTTCCTATGTCTGATTCTATTTGCTCCAACCGATATAACACAGAGGAATCGGACGGCTTGATCGGCTCGTTTACCGACTACGTTCTGTAGCATCTTGAATAGGATCGACTTTAGAAACAAGACCTCATCTTGATGTTTATGCGTTCTTCGGAATTGATGCGTAAATCGTATGGGTTAAAGAAGATCGTACGTTTCAAATTACTAAGATAGAAACAATGGGTAAGATACCGGCGTGCGAAGGAGAAAGTGAATAGCATACAAGATGTGGAAATATGGACAAGAGTAATAGAAAGCATTTACTGGACATTCTCAGTTTCATCGACGCAGGTTTTCATACTCATATAGCATTGGAACACTGGCTCATAAGTATTGTAGACGAGTAAGTTACGCTCCTTGGTTGTCACCTCAAAACACTTCAGTATATTGCCCCGTGAACGCTATCTTCCAATATTCACACTGCATGGCAATATAGCTAGCAGTGTCTCCACCAACTGATCTCGTATCACTTTTGAGGAAGCAATGAACTTCTCCGACACCCGGTACCTTCTAACGACTCATGACCACTTCTCGTGCTCCTTCTTCCTCTTCTTCTTTTTCTATCCCTGTCTCTTCTTGCTCTTGTGCCTGGTCCTGCTCCTGTAACCCAAATTCAGTATGCAGCTCCTCACTTGGCGCTAGCTGCTAAATGGGAAACGGCAATACCAAACACAGGGCCTCAAACGGTAAGCCATTCACCACACCCAGCGCAAGATATCCTCATACACGCTCAGCACCTCCATCTACAAATTCAGGTTTCCCGTAACGACCGCATCACCTCACTTCCCAAACCATACGCATCCCCGTTACTCATCTGCAGCCGTAGATGTTCATTACTCACATGTGCCAACAGAAGCTAGACCCGCGCATTGAACATTAACGTCCGGATAGCAACTGCCAAAATCCAGTCCAAGCTGTCCATAAACGCTCATGTGGCCGTAGCGGTTGCGATATCTCTGGGAGGGGGGCCTGGTTAGGGGTCAGCGTACTAGAAACGACCACGCCTGAGCCGAGGCCGAAAAGAACTTGGGGTCCGCCTTAGTCCCGCACGGGTGGATAATCGTTGAGGGAGAACAGGCCCATGTCGGCAGTGACGTAGATGTAGCCGAGGAAATGAAGGGGCGGTATTTGCCATTCAAGGCAATCAGGATACCGCTTATTATGGCGAAGCGAGCAATGGCTGCGGTAATCGTGAGGAAACGGGACCCGGATTGGGTCGCGCTGAGAATTGGGATGGCTTGGAATTGTACGGGAGGAGTTATCGCACCCAGTAGAGCAGCATATTCTGGATGAAGAAGATCCAGAGAGTACAGAGGAGCGTGGCGCTTGAGAAGAGCCGGAGCGGGGAAGATAGTCCTGAACGAAATCTTGAGGCATGACGAAGGTAAAATAGCACTAGTCCGGCGAGCCCGAGAATCAGAGGTACCAGAATGGCATTATCAGCCAATTCCACTCGCTTGATCTGCTGCCAGACGGTCATCCTGATGCTCGGCGAGGGTGCATAACGCACAGGAAAAGCACGAGGAGCAGTAGAGGTAGATCATGCAGTGACAAGTTGATCTAAAAAAAAAAACCTGCGCCAAGTCAATGCCGTACAAAGCCGCCTCCGAGGGTGAGTCCGATGCACATCCCCAAGGTATGGGCCGTGGGGATATGCGAGTAGAAATTGTCGCAACAATGCGTAGAGTACGGAGGTGGAAGACGTCTGACAGCGGTCGATGAAAAGGGGGTCGTAGGTAGCTGGACTGAGCCGGTTGACGATATCTTCACCGGTCCTGGCGGCAATGCGGTGACGCTACAAGCGCACGTAGACGGAAGCTGAAGCCTTCTATGCTGGAACGATGCGGCTTAGATTGCGTAGTTGTGCGCGTAGCATCGGAGTTGGCAATGGGGCTCAGTCGGCTTAGTTCAATATAAGGGTCCTCCGGCTGCCTTCCTGCGGATTGCTTCGCAATGTAGATCAATTTGTTCAAGACGCCGTATTCAATCTTGAGCTTAATACTGTACACGGTAGCTTTCAGCGTGGTCTGGTAGATGTAGTAGTTCGCACATTCTACTGCGATCAGAGCGATGTCCATCAGAATGCAAACCAGGTTCATCATGAATAACTGTAAGATGATGTTACGGTTGTCTCGATTGGGGTTCAATTTCAACATGCGCGTAGTTTCCCAGATGTAAATACCCGAGATGATCAGTTCTTGGGCGCAGAATCCCGCGACCTGGACTCTCTCCATGATGTTATACGCATGCAGATACTTGTACGACTGCTCGTAATTGGCGGCATATGTCAATACGGTGGTCGGTATATGCAGGAGAAACACATTGGCAATGATCATCCCGCAGACGAATTTTAGCACCCTGGTATTTTGAACGACGAGATGTAGCCTGGAGTAGAGTACGAAGGACTGCCCGGTCACCATGGTCCACCACCCAACCGTGACAAGAGTCAGGGAGACCCAGATTGCTGACGTCAGATCAAAGAATTTCATAAAAAACCCGATCGAGTAGGGGAGGATCCCCGCAGTCGAAATCAGCAAACTCCAAAAGTAGATCCCTTTGTACTGTTTGAAGATGGAGAAGATGAGAACCATTAGCTCAATGGAATTATACCAGGCGATCACCACGAAGGTGGTGATCGTGATGCGAAGACCATCGCTGTTGCCCGTGTAACTGCCCGTCACCCAATTCGACGGGCTGGACGAGCTGCCAGTTGACATGATTATGAGGGAATCAGTCAGGGTGTGGGTGTGGCAGTGGCAGTGAACTGTACAACGTCCATAGTCTGTGTGTGTGGTGTTGAATATAGGGGTGGCCAGATCACGGGTTGCCAACACAGCACGGAAAAGAAAAACAGAAAAGGTGCATGTGAGTTGGAAACGGAGAAATTTTGCGGGGGTAATTTTGCAGATGGCTGCCCTCTTGGGTCTAGTGCCTTTTTACGCGATCAGATAATAGTTGATTCGTATTCGACTAAACATTTTAGTACAACCGTAGCTATACCACATTAACACACAACTGTGCCCATCCATCTTACATGATTTCAAGATGGACCAGGACAGCGGTGTATTGATCTACTTGTTTTTTTGGGCAGCCCACCAAACGGTCCTTTCCAGATAGTTCTTAATTAGGGCTTGTTCGCAATTGAGAGAGCTGCATGATTCGACCCTACACTCCGTATGATTCGGAGTATGCCCGACAATTCGATTTATTAAATGGCGGTAGAAATAGCCGCTGTACGCGGCCAAAAATGGCAGCCCTTGTAACACGTGACCTCTATATATATCAATCCATCTGTCTCCTGCCACGGCCGCATCTGCTACGACCACGCAGCTTGGTACTGGCCCCCCAGAATAGCGGCTTAGTTCATGATTTCCCTGAATTCAGTCATGGACCTTCGCCGAATCTATCAACGATACGTTTCAGGCGTCCATCATGACTACATTGCTTCACCATATCCACCTTCCAAGCATTCCAGTCCGGGTCCCTATCGACTCCACATGCAGGTCCAGATGCCACGGATTAAGAGCAGTGATTCATTCCAGGGAAGATCAACATCAAGACAGAAGAAGAATATTCGCAGCCTCTCATCTTTGCTCATGATCTCAGCTAAGTCAGCTGCTCCCTTCACTTTCAAAAAGCGAGCTAAGGCGTGATCATGGATAGTCAAGGACGACTTTCCATTGTAGGTAACACCCATTTCTGCCGTCACGGGAGACGGTCCAAATGCCTCACTGGCAAGGACTACACGAGGCATTTGCCAATCTATGATTCCAATGATATTGGGCTCGTCATCCACCATCAGCTGGTCTCCCTTATCATCCATGTACTTGATATAGAATTGCTCCGTGGCGGCCGATGAATCAGGGCCCAGGTTTGCCGGAAGAGCCGGGATTTGGGATTTCAGGAATGAAAATACCAGGTAGGCATTCACCGGAAAAGATGTGAAAAGTTGACCAACAGCAATGAGAGCCATGTTTTGCTCCATGAATGAAGTGTAATAATCGCTCACTTTATCAAAGTGCCCTGAAGGACTCTGAACGAGGAATCGTTCACTGGCATTAGCAGAGACTATACGGCTTGGAAGGCGAAGGACCTGGGAGAAGAGATCCTGCCTCTGAAACGGATGACGCTGGATCTCAATCAGAATTTCTGCCAAACCATCCCACACCCTTTTCTTCTCTGTATCATCTGCAAATCGCTTCCCATGCGGTCCCTGCATATTCTACGGTTTGCCCGCCATGTGTTCTATAAGGATATAGCTGACACCCACAATGTTGTTCTTGTCGTTAGCAAGGCCATAACCAAACACTCGAGGAGCCGGCACGTTGGTCGTTTCGAGGAATTTGAGGTGGCGTATTTACTATAAATGAGGTAGTCAGCAAGGGATTGCGAGATGCTGCTACTAATTCGAGATACTCGAAGGAGCCAAACTGAACCATCCCCAGGAAAGCGAATACGAGCATGATAGTCATGAGGGATCCGCATCCCCACGCTGGTGGGTACTCAATCTCGCATTTTCGGCCACCGTTTACTCCTGGGCCACGCTCGAAAACAGCATTTCCGTTACTTTTGGTCCGAATTTCTTTCACTTCAGCATGTACATTGGTTTCAAACTCACCATCTGTGAGGGACTAATGGTTGTTAGGTCCCATACAAGTAGACAGTAAATGCATGGACTGTGCCATGTTTCTGCACGAATGAGACGGCGGACGGCGATGAATTACGCAGAGGTGGCGATCACATCGCTCACAAGCACCAAACCCCCGTACACTCGGTTGTCCGCAGCCCACGGAATCACAAGTACCTATCAAGCATGAGGGCTATTAAGAGTTGGGCCAGTGAACTGCAGTGCGTAAAAAACAACCCAGGTTTAAATAACCTAAGGGGTGTCACACACAATGTAAGGCATTCGTGATAGGTTCGACCACAATGTAATACCAAGCTACAGTCGATTTGAAACAGTGACACAGAGGGGAGCGGTTTTAGCGGTTGAGAGGAAGTGTCAGCAGATCACCTAGCGTGGCTCCTTTGAGATATATCTGTCTTGGCCGTACAATGACTGCCCAAGGCCGCCATATATGATCGAGTAAGACCACAGCGCATGCTCTCAACACGGTTAGTGAGCACCCATTGAACAGAGTCACAGATACATATCTACTAAGGGTGGTCCTAGGGCTGTATAACTAACGGAACTGTTCCATCTGCTGCATCTGTGGCCCTTCAGGTTAGACGTGAAACTTAATATACTATAGTGGGGTGTCTCAGTGGAGCATTAAGAAAGCATCCTTGGCGTTGACCGAAAGATATTTGTTTGGAGTTTTAAGCCCATGATATGACCCCTGTTCATAGGGACAGAAAACCCAGGACTTCTAGGGTTAGATATATGATATTGTCGCAGCGAAATGTTTTGTCACCCGTTAGCCAAGCCGTTTCCACCAAATTAAATTTGGATATACATACCGAATCCACTTGGACCGGGGAGATAACGGATTTTAGTGTCGGATTTAGAGTTAGAGTTAGCTAACCTCCTCGGGATATTTTTTGTTTCCCCCCACTTGTTAGAGAGGCCGGTCTTTCTGTCGAATATAAGATATTCTATTGAGCCGGAAGATCATTCACAATCGTTGGTGCAGAAGGTTCAAGTCTTCCAGTTCTATCGATTGCCTTTCCTCCTTGTTGGTTTAACTCTTGCAAGCCATGGCTTCTGAAACTCCGACCGAAATTGAAACACGTCTTTACATCAATGGCGAGGTTGGTTGACTTAGTTTCGGACCCACGTATGCATGGCTTCATGGTTGATGAGCTTTCTACTCCAGTTTCGCCCTGCTTCGGATGCAGGAACGTTCCCGTTGAAATCACCCACTACCCTAGAAACAGTTGCGTTAGGTGAGTTGTCACGGCTTCTGCCGAGAATTTTAAGACCTAGAGTGGGGCCTTACAAGCATTCGTCATATAGTATCTGAAGCCTCGGTAGAGGATACAAACGACGCCGTTGCAGCAGCTCAAGCGGCGTTCCCAGCATGGTCAAGCCTTTCGCCGCGTGACCGGGGGGCGTACATGTTGAAGCTCGCCGACCTGCTTCTCGAATCGGAAAAAGAGCTAGCACATCTAGAGGCCATCTCCATGGGCCGACCCGTCTCGCAGTACTGGGATGTGAAGGGAGCCGTGGACAAGCTGCAGTATTTCGCATCCGCTGGCTGGAATGGCCAAGGCCAGACGAGCCTGAACACGCCCGGATTCATCAATATGACCCTAAGGCAGCCGTATGGGGTTGTTGCGGCGATTATCCCCTGGAATGTCCCAGTTTATTTCTTCATCAACAAGGTGGCGCCGGCGATCGCTGCGGGAAACACGGTTGTCATCAAGAGTAGCGAAAAGGCGCCTTTGACGGTAAGCTCACTCGCCTTGGTGGAGTTGTCTACTAATCGATTCTAACTTCATCTCAGTCGGCCCGAGTTGCTCATCTGATTCAGCGCGCTGGGTTTCCACCAGGTGTCATCAACGTCCTGTCTGGCCATGGGAATATCTCGGGCTCCGCTCTGGCGCATCATATGGATGTCAGGTTGATCACTTTCACCGGCTCTGGACGCACAGGACGACTCATCCAAAAGGCAGCGGCCAACTCCAACCTGAAGAATGTGATCTTTGAGCTGGGAGGCAAATCCCCTACCGTGATATTCCCCGATGCGGATCTAGAGAAGGCCGCAAAGGAGACAGCATATAGTATCCAATGGAACAGCGGCCAAGTATGCATGGCGAACTCTCGCATCTATGTCCATGCTTCCATCGCCGACCATTTCATCTCCCTGTTCAAGGGGAGCTTTCAGTTCGTGGCGATGGGCGATCCCACAAAGCCCGGCGTAAACCACGGTCCGCAGGCCGATGAAACCCAGTTCAACATCGTGAAACGCTACATTGAACTGGGGAAGCAAGACGGTGAACTCATCCTGGGAGGAAACGAGGTTCAGGGTCACAAAGGTTACTTTATCCCGCCGACCGTCTTCACAAATACGCCGGAGAGCTCTCAGATCATGAAAGACGAGGTATTTGGCCCGGTGACCAACATCAATGTGTTTGAAACGGAGGCCGAGGTTATTAAGATGGTCAACTCCTCTGAGTTTGGCCTCTACGCTGCTGTCTACACGCGGGATGTGAACCGGGCCATGCGCTTTGCGACGTCGATGGAGGCCGGTACCGTGGGGATCAACTGCACGAGCCCGACTGGCGCGTTTGACATGCCCTTTGGAGGATATAAGGCAAGTGGCGTTGGAAGGGAGGGAATTCATCACAGCCTCGACCACTACCTTGAAACAAAAACCGTACATCTGAAGGTTGAGGGACTCTAATTGGTTTTAATATGATATGCGTGATTGTTATGGGGGACGTCGTATACAGTAGTATCAATGTTATGTTGCGTCGTCAGAATATATTAGCTGTATATAAATGCTCCCGGACAACCAATTTACCATTAAATATAGCCCGAGTTGTTCAGCTCTTATATCCTCAAACTCCTACCTGTACAATCTAATAATGACGAAACGATATAAACGCAAATAGTAACATTCACCTAATAAAGACAACTACCTGAAATGTACATCGAAAAGATTCCACCAAGTGTAAACCCCTCTACGGGGAACCCTTAAAGCGGCACTCCCGCACCCAATCCGATCCAACCAATGATCCATAACAATACAAATGGAACCCCCCTTCAACCCAACAAAAATAACTACCCAGTGCAATCCCTCTCCTCCCACCTCAAACTCAATAAAGAAAGAAAGAAAGAAAGAAAGACGTAAAAGAACACAATGCCCCGCACCGACGAAGCCGAACACTGGTTCAACGCCGTCTACTCCGCAGTCCAAGAAATCCCCCCCGGCAAAGTGACGTCCTATGGTCATATTGCTCTGCTCCTTGGGTATCGTAGGTCTAACCTTTCGATATGGATCTAAAATGAGCTCTGTCGTCAACTATGGACGGGGTCTAGAGACAATCACTAAAGATCTATAGCACAACGACCCCGTCAGGTGGGGATTTGTTTGAAACATCTCCCGTCGAGTCCGGAGGAGTACTTTCATTCGGGGAATGTGCCGTGGCAGAGAGTGATTAATTCGAAGGGGATGATTTCGCATCGGTATCTCATCTCTTTGCTTTGTGTCTGGAGAGCGCTTGGGTTTCATAGCATCTCTTTTGTCGGGTTGATGGGTGCTAATGGGAGTTAGGGAACCTGGGAGTGCGGAACGCCAGGCAGAGGCATTAAGAGAGGAGGGAGTGGAAGTCGAGACCGATGCTATGGGGGAGTTTTATGTGGATCTGGCGCGGTTTGGCTGGTTTCCTTCAGAGTTGCCCAGTGAGGAGGGAGAAAGTGAACTGGAGGATCTAGTAGAGGGCTGAAGGAGGTAGTTATGAATGTACGACTGGTTGATACTCCGTCTCAGATATATAAACGCCCATTGCAGAAGCATTGCAAACATTGGGTCGTGGTCGGATATCAACCGACCACGACGTTGTATATCCTCCGTTTTGAAAATGAAACTGCCGTCCCACAATCATCTACCTAAACAGCCGAGGAAACGAATACAGGTCTGACGTCCAAGGGTCTTTTCTGTCTAACGCAAGTCCCCGTTGACCAGCCGACCCGCATATGACAGTCGTCGAGGCAGACATGATATCAAGACTCTATGTAGGTGAAGAGAGATACAAGGAAAGATGGTAGGAGAGAAAGCCAGAACAGAAAAGGGTAACGAAGAGCATGCGCGTCATGTCGAGGAGTCATAAAACATCCAGAGAAACGGCCGAACCAAAATGGATACATCCGCAGGGCCAAGAGAGCCAGCATCGCCACCATTCGAAGAAAAAAGTCATCACATCGTGGTCGTCACGTCTACCGCCGCTTCACCTCGGATGCCCATCCTTCAATCCCTTCGCCTCGACTGCCCGGAAGAATGCCCAGCTCGACGGTATCCATCCCGGCCGTATCCTTCATCCACGCATGCGATGCCATCCCCCCGGCATTGGCGCGTCGTTCGGGCGGGACCTCCAACATGGGCAACAAAAACTCGCTGATTCGCATACTCTCTTCGGCCGAGAAATGGTACTTTTCCCGCAGGACGTCGGGGAGGGCCCAGTGGCGGAGTCGATGGATGTTGCGCAATTCGCCTTTGCGGTTAAAGATCTCTTGCGACCACTTCCCCGACAAGCAAAGCGATTTGGGGAAGGGCCCCAGCAGTTCGATGATCTGCGCAATGTGATCGTCGTCTTTGCCGTATTTCGTGCCCGATTGCGGATCGAAGAGGTAATCCCCCGTGATGAGCTCAAAGACCTAGAGAATGGTGAGCGGAGGACCTCCAGTCGGGGCGGCAACCCAATCGCGCCCGGCGGAATGCCGTCGAACATACCATACACGCCATACTCCATACATCCGTACTGGCCCCCCATTTGGACCCTAGAATGACTTCGGGCGAGCGATATTGTCGGGTTTGGATGTCGTTGGTAAAGTGGTGGCCGACCCAGCAGGCATTCCCCAAATCCGCGATCTTGACCGAGATAATATCGCATTCCGGTTCGTCGGTCGCTTCGTGGGAGGATTTATTCAAGGAGATGCCGGATACTTCGCGTTCGAGGAGGTCCCTAGCGACGGTTAGCTCCAGGCGCGGTCCGCGACGGGGCATCCAGCCTACGCAGTCTTTTCTCGTTGCTTTTGTTTCTCATCTTCCTCCTGAATGCCGAGCATTTCTTTCATGGATGGTTTCTCCGACGGGGCGGTTTCTGCGACGGGTCAGTGGGCGGTCGCAAACAAACGACCCTCGAGGGCTCGATACATACCCGACTCCTCGTTGATCATCTGACTCAGACTGCTCTGCGAATGGTGCGAGCTGTGTTTGAAATCAAAGGTGGTGTTCAGTGGACTGGGCAACGGTTGACTCCCCGTGATGAGGGTCCGGCGCCGCCGGCGGCCATTGCGGTTATCCTCTTTGTGGTCCGTCTTCTGCTCCTCCTTCACATAGGTCTTCACAATCTGTTCCACATCGCCGATCTCGATCAAGACGTTCTCCGGCTTCAGATCGGTGTGGATGATCCCGCATTCGCGGTGGAGATAGTCCAGCCCGAGGAGGACCTGTTTCGTAATCTGTTTTACTAGCGGCATGGGGATGCCGCGGTGGTTCCATCGCTTAATCAAACCGAGTAGATTCTCACCCAATACCTCAAAGACCATACAGACGTGGACGCCGTTGGGCCCTTTGTGTTCGAAGGAGTCCAGCAGACTGACGACATGCTTGCGACCCGGGTGCGACGGCTTGGCTTGTACAATGCGGTTCAGGAGCTTGATCTCGTCGATGGCGGTTTCGGTGTAGTGAGCGGCGGACCGCACGACTTTGAGGGCGACGTGTTTCCCGGTGGTGGTATCGCGGGACAACCAGACGGTGGAGAAATGACCCCAGCCCAACTTGCGCACGACGACATAGCGACCGTTGTTATACGTTTCGCCGACGGTGACCGGGTGATAACCGCCCTTGCAATAGTCTTCTGAATCTTCCTCCTCGGCGGTCGTCTCGATCTCATCCACGGAGGAGGTGGACGGGGATCGCGATTGCGGTACGGCGAGCGAGGGAGCCCTACCGAAGGGAAATCGATCGAGTCAACAAGACGGCATCACACTAGAAAATCGCAACAGGGAGGAAAAACAAAAGCATACCCCTCTGTAGTAGCATCAGCGGCTGTTTCATTCGTGACAATGGGCTTCAAATCGGTTCCTTTTCTGCGCTTCTTACCGCCATTGCCATTGGCGGCCGGTCCGGCCACACCGGCCATCTGCTTTCCTTTATTCAGCACAGCCTTGAGATCAACCCCGTCCATAATTCCGATTGCGATCACGGAGGGTAAATCAGTTCGAATGGAGAGATGTTTGGCGCCGACGGGCGATGAGGCGAATGGGCGAAGAGAAAGTTGATCCGGTCCAGTTGGAGGTGGCGGGCGCAAAACCGTTCAAGACGATGTGGCGGGGGGGGGAGAAAGACGAATAAGTTGGGGGAAGTGGAGGATGTCCCACGGGAAGTAGCCCCAAGTAACTCGAAAAAAAAAAAAAAAAGAAAAAGAAAAAAGAAACGGAGAAATAGGTGAGGGGCGAGGGGAGAGAAGAGAAAGCGGAGAGGAAAACGACGAAGGGAAAGAGAAGCGTGTTTCGTTGGACGTTGAAGTTGTTGTTGTTGTTGTTCGGAGAGGGGCTCGAATCTTTTTCGACGGTTACGTTGACAATACCTGTGGTTAGTTTACCCTCACGTACAGTAAAGTAAAGTACAAAGATAGATCACAAATTCAACAATCTCACAAAGATCGGTCTAGAACGAAAGGGGAAATATTAATCATCAGACGAGAAAAAAAGCAGATGGGGAATATATGTGAATCAAGAGAATTTGAAGCAGTGTCCATGCGTGACAAGCATTCAGGACACTTTCTATATCAAAAGAATTTGTCCCCCAAGAAAAAAAAAAAAGGTTGGCCGTCAAATGGAACCCAATCGGTTTATGACGCAAACGACCTGTTTGCGAGGATGCCCGAATTCCCCCGACCTGATACTCGTCGTGGTGGATGGGGGAAAAGTTCGTAGGAAAGGGCAGAGGAGAACTTCAGACCATACCGATCGTGAAGAATTCAATCGAATGAATTTGTCAAGCGATCGTAAATCATCTTGGGTTGGGGAATGTGAGGTCCGCAAACAGAAATAGTAAGGAGGATAAGCATGGACGGACTATCCGGAGTACAGACAAGGGACAGAATCCCCGGTGGATACTCAGTTATACCGACTGAAACATTAATATCCAGATGATGTCAAGATCATATAAGATCAGGTCCTGTCATCCGTCCACCCCCCCCCCCCCCCCCACGGATCCCCATGGTCCCTACGTCGTCGCCTCGGACTCCCAAGGAACGTTGATATACATTTCCTCTACAAGACTCGGAACGTTGTCGATGACGGTAGAACTCCCGATTGCAAGATGGGTCCAGATGATTGACATAGTATGAATGAACTCTGATCGTTCATACCCTGTCACGCACTCACCCTTCATGTAGGGGTCTAGATTTCCACAGCAGCCCTTCAATATAATCGCTTCCTTACGATCAGGGACCCCCCCCCAAGTGGTTTAGTCGCCCACGCCAGTTGAGGGCTAGAGGGCACCAGTGACAGTGCCGCATTAGGCAGTCGGGGGCCACTCCAGCCGTCCGATCGGACAATGATCGGATCTATCATTTTCCGCCCATGGTCACAAGAATCGTGCACGTGATGAATCATGGATATATCACGTGCGATTCGTGCAGCGGATATTGTGGCCTGGGGCATCTCCGCGTCACGAGTATAGTATCGGGCATCGAAAAGAGGTGCGGTGATGCCACACTTGTCGCGTGGAATGCTCCAACATCCCAATCGGTTAAGATCGCCACCGTTAGGCTCGTCATGGACCCAACAGTGAGCATCTTCGGTCCAAGAGAGCGGATAGGAGCTACGGCGAGCTATCATGATGATCGGACGAACCAGTCGGTTTTGGTTGGGAAGTTCTCTCGTCTCTCTGCTGTGTGGCTCTCCAATGCAGCCAGAATCAAGACCAGGATATAACAATGCTGTCCCACCAAGCTCACAGTCGGAAAACAAACGGAGATATCCCTGATTGAAATGATCGCCGCGCCGTGGTATGCTGCCCAGGGATTGCGCATGCCAAGTGATAGTGTTACATATAGAGACAATCGCTCCCCAATTCTACCCCACAAGTTGCTTCGAGGGTCTTTCCAAATGTGAGGGCGATCATCTCTGAAGAGAGGTGGCATCCGAACCACAAGGTATGTTGAGGTCGGTAAAGGTATATCATAGTAGGTTCCGGTCGCACATATGGAGTGAGGCATCCCATCCGGGCCCCGTGTCTTGCGATAACTTCAGCCGCAGAACGAGTGCTCGACGAAATCCTGTTATTGGATACGGGATGAGACATTGGTATTCTTGCGCAATGGTCCACAAGAATAACGTTATATACGGTGTGGTGAAGGGGAGAAATTCCGTTTCGCATCTCGCCAGGGAATGTTGGTTAGAAATGCCACGTAAACCTACCATGTGAGAGACGGTATCGACGTTGACGTCCTGTGTAGGATCCAGTATTGCTTGACGGCCGGTACTGGATCGGATTATTGTGTGTCAAGCTCAGGGCATCCGAAAATTTCGGTTCCCCAGAGCGAAGCTGTTGCCTTGTGGAGCACGATGAATGTGCCCTTGCAGTCAAGGTCTTCCGGAGATTGAACGGCCCAATTGGGAGAGGCACTGTTGAAAGGAACAGCTTCGAGTGCCCACATTCCCGCCGCTACAGCTCCCTGCGTAGGGATACACCCCGGCCTCTGATAGAAACTACCCATCGCGTGACATCACAGTAGCCAAAGGCGTGGTGATCGCCATCCGACTTGCTGGTATTCCTGAAGGAACACTTTTCTATACGGCTACAGAATCTGGGCCATCCCACTCCATCGGCCATAATATGTATAGGACCCTTGCAGTATGATCGGCCGGTGTAAGCGTCACATACCAACTACCGATTATGTCGACAGTTCTTGCAAATTGCGCCAAAGACATGCAGACCGTGAATTGCTGCAACAAGAGTGGTAATGGCGTGATGTCCTGGACAGAGGCCATACCTTGCGTCCCTATCAGACGATGTATCTGTCCACGCATATACATTCCAGTGGTTGTAAAGTAGGATCCACCCACTATAGGTAAAATAGCGGAGAATCCCACACCGTGTCCGTGTGTCTGTTTGCTTTAAATATCTCCACGGGCACTCAGTTGAGCTATACTTGGAAATGGAGGAGGAGCAGGGGACTTTGTCACGGATTTTGAACCATCATGGAGTCCAGATCCTGGGAAAGCTTGTCAAATGAAAGTCAAGCCTCGTCCGGGCAAACGCTGTTAAGCGACGATCCTCAGCCTGGGACGTGGGCAGAGCCAAAGGAGGGGGAGCGCTCCGATCTGCGACTCGTCCGCGATGACATCTCTCTCGATATATTTCTCGTGGCCGTTGCAGAGCTGTCCGAGAGATTTACCTATCGGGCGGTAACAGCACCAATACGTATGATAGATCCACCGACTTTGTATCGGGCCTACTGACATGGATGCCAGAGAATTACATTCAGAATGCACGGGACGATCCGTTGCACCCGGGGGCCCTGGGAATGGTGCGCCTGACAGCTATGAAAACGAACCTGACATTCGCTAACGACAGATTAGGGCCAGACAGTAGCGACCAGTATTAACTATGTTTTTGTGGGGTGGTGCTACCTATCTCCGGTTCTAATGGGTATCATAGCAGATAGCTTTCTGGGTCGCTACAAAACCATCGTTCTGGGAACGGGGTATGTTAGTTCGGGTACAGCGTAAGCCATATATTGACAGTCTTTGTAGGCTATCTGCATGCGGTGTATTGATCTTGTTTGCTACATCTCTCCCAGGGAGCCTGGAGCATGGAGCTGGTCTCCCCGGACTCATGGCCGCGTTGGTTTTGCTCGGACTGGGGTAAGCTTGATGGAGCTCCGGACATGAAAAATATCACTGAGTACTTATAGGACTGGTGCGATCAAGAGCAATGTCGCACCACTGATTGCGGAGCAGTATCACTCTATCGGGGCACGGGTGAAGACCTTGCCAGATGGTGAACAGGTTCTGGTAGATCCAAACGTTACGATTCAGGCAATATATGCCCGATATTACTGGTCAGTTGCCTTTCCCATTGTCTCCTTTTCGCCCACCCTGACAGTGATCATAGGGTTATCAATTTGGGTGCACTATCGGTTATACCGGTCTCTGTAAGTCGCTATTCCCCCACCCGCATTGGACGACCGTTGACACACCCCTAGTGGTTAGAGCTTAAAGTAGACTTCTGGGCCGCCTTTATGCTACCGTTATGCTTTTGGGCCTTGGCAATCGTAGCGCTTCTTGCTGGTCGCACGCGTTATAGTAAGGATGTCTATGAATTTGCCCCCTTCGATCGCTAACTGTGATAGTTGTGCGTCCGCCGAACGGATCAGCTATTACTAAGGCCATGCGAGTCCTATGGATTGGCATCAAAAGCGGAGGCAGTCTCGAGGCAGCTCGGCCTTCGTCTCTGGAAAAGGCTGGTATCCCCGTGCAATGGGATGATGTGTTCGTGGATGAACTTAAACGTGCCCTGGTGGCATGTCGTGTATTGTAAGTATTCCGGGATGAGAGGTAAGAGGTATGTATGTGTTGCTCACAGATGATTTAGTTTGATATTGTATGTGCTTTAGTATCTGACATACCAAGCAACGAAGAGAGCTAACTTGAGCAGCCCTTTGTATTGGATTTGTAACGGGCAGGCAAGTTCGAATCTTGTCAGTCAAGGTGCCTCAATGAACACTCATGGCATACCGAATGATATGAGTATGTGTAACCGCTTGTACTGATGTATGGATGACTGACTCATAGGCAGTGGGATGTCTTAATCCGATCACGATACTCGTTGCAGTACCGTTGTTGTATGTTCAATATTTTATGACATCCGTATGGAAGATACTGACAAGGATATCAGTGAGCGCTTTATTTACCCAACGTTGCATCGCTTTCATATCAAGTTCAAACCCATTAGCCGGATCACGACAGGCTTTCTCTTGGCGTCCTGCGCGATGGCTTTAGCCGCCGGTCTCCAGGAACGTATGTAGACAATTTGTTGTCCTGATTTGCCTGTTTCCACTAACCGTAGGCAGTGATCTACGAGACCTCCCCATGCCAAAGGAACCCGACGGCCGACAGGTGCAAAGGAGTATCTCCAGCTCGAAAGGTGGGGTTCTCCAATCTTACGATACGAAATACGCCTCTAACAAGCTTAACCAGATCAGCCTACTCTTGCAAATACCCGTTTACTGTCTGATGGGTCTATCGGAGCTGTTGGCAATGCTGTCCGGGATGGAGTACGCCTACACGAAAGCGCCAAAGTCCATGCGTAGCATCATCATGTCCCTTTTTCTTTTGGCCGGGGCTTTCGGTTCCTCTATTGGTGTCTCCCTTTCGCCAACATCTGTCGACCCCAAGGTTCTGATAGAATACGTATCACTCAGTGCCACCATGCTAGTGGCTGCTATCACCTTCTTTCTGTGCTTCCGAAAATACAATAGGATGGAGGAGAGTATGAACAAGCTGCTGGATGCAGATTGCCCGAGAAGGCGTTCATGGGACACAGATGACACACCTCGGCTGGAGAGGCAGTGATCTTGTCATGTATATATTTCTTAATGTATGCTTCAATGTTTGCGTCGTGCATTGTCTTCCTAGATACTTCTATGTCTCAATGTTTACGAATACAATCCGGATTGACTATCATGGAGGCAATCGACTACCAACTCTATAGTCTTGATCCATAACCCCAACAATCTCTATATTGCACAGATGATATGATAATCCAATTCTTCTGCGTGCTACATGAGAATTACTAATCTGTGGAAGTCGGGTCTGGTTCCGAAGTCCGCGCCCATGGATCGGCATCCCGAGTTCTTGATGTGCAAAAAGCTAATGTTGCTGTTACGTTGTAGACAGGGTTCGCCTGCTACGCCAATATCCTGCTTAAATAATGCTTTGTCAAGAGTGACTCTTTCATTTGCTTAGGATCCACTGGCTTGCTGAAGTTCTGCAGAGAGGCAAAATGCGAGACGCTGCAACCAGGTATACATATGTTCCTATATTTTACACAATGACAAAACAAATCACTCCAATGGTCTCGACCAGTCTGGCTGCTACGTCATGAGACAACCTTATCTTCGCCACAGTGCAAACCAAGCTTTATTAAAGATCAAAACGGGCGTGTAAGGTTGCTTCGATGAACGATCCAACCGCTAAAATGGCGAACGGTGCGGCGCCGAATATTCCACTAGCTCTGGCTCCGGGGTCTAAGGGTCCCGAGCACCTCATTACTGATGGTTTTGACGCGGAGGCACAGGTAACAGGTCTGTTATTGGTTATTAGTACCCATACGTTCTGCCGCGAGTGGGTCTAACTTGTCGTTTCCACAGACGATGGTCGCGTGGATATTGCGGTTAACGACGACGATCCGCAGGTAGCTAGCCTGTTGGATGCTCTCCAGCGACAGACCACCCGTCGCCCATCGCAGATACGAAATGACGGGGCTCAATTTCCAGTACGGCTAAACGTGGTCATTCATGTCGTGGGATCCCGTGGCGATGTGCAACCATTTATCGCCTTGGGCCGAGCAATGAAAAGCCATGGACACCGCGTTAGACTCGCGACACATTTGGTGTTCCGAGATTTTGTGAAGAACAATGGATTGGAATTCTTCAATATCGGGGGCGACCCGGCTGAACTCATGTCGTTCATGGTGAAGAATGACAAGCTGATCCCAAAGATGGAGACCCTTGTCCAAGGGGCGATCGGCAAACGCCGTAAAGATATTAGGCTCATGCTCGGCGGGTGTTGGAGATCTTGTATTGAAGCTGGCGAAGGTATCGATTTGACCAGTGACGACCCGATAACTGCGGCGCCATTTGTGGCCGATGCTATCGTCGCGAACCCGCCCAGCTTCGCCCATATCCACTGTGCAGAGAAGATGGGTGTACCATTACACTTGATGTTTACGTGAGTCTCCTTCTGGATGGGCCTCTCGAGTTTCAGCTGCTGATGGCTTTAGAATGCCATGGTCCCCAACTCAAGCGTTTTCGCACCCGTTAGCAAATGTCCGGGTTCGCGATACCAAGCCGTCCGTGGCGAATTTCGCATCTTACGCCCTGATGGAGATGGTGATCTGGCAAGGTGTGGGCGACCTCATTAATGCGTTTCGTCGCTTCGAGCTGGGATTGGAGCAGTTGGATGTTATGCGCGCACCGAGTCTGATCCCTCGACTGCGTGTTCCCTTCACTTATATGTGGTTCGTATACTGTCCTTGTACATGAATACATCCAATAAATGAGTGTCATAGGTCCCCTTCACTCCTGCCAAAGCCGGATGATTGGCAAGAGCATATCGACGTAACAGGCTTTAACTTCCTGTCTGCCAACGCTGACTACGTACCTCCATCCGATCTGGTTGAGTTCTTGGACGGAGGCCCCCCGCCACTCTACATTGGATTTGGCTCGATCGTGGTTGATGACCCCGATGCTCTCACGAAGACGATCCTAGATGCAGTTGAAATGACCGGCCAACGAGCACTAATCTCCAAGGGATGGGGTGGTCTCGGAGCCGAAAAGATAAACCGCCCGGATATCTTCTTCCTCGGAAACTGTCCGCACGACTGGCTTTTTAAACGGGTTTCCTGTGTCATCCACCACGGAGGCGCAGGCACCACCGCTGCAGGCCTCGCTCTAGGCCGACCCACTACTATTGTGCCCTTCTTCGGAGATCAGCCCTTCTGGGGTGCTTTAATCGCGTTTAACGGAGCAGGGCCTTCGCCTATCCCTTACAAAAAGCTCACTGCCGATCGTTTGGCCGATGCGATCCACTTCTGTTTGAAGGCTTCTACTATTGACAAAGCACACGAACTTAGCGAGAAAATGCGCTCGGAGAATGGCGCCCGCGATAGCCTACACAGCTTTCATAGCCAACTCGACCTTCGCCGCATTCAATGCACGTTGTGTCCTGATCGTCCGGCTGTCTGGCGTGTTAGACGAACGAAGATATTACTTAGTACATTTGCGGCTACTGTTCTGGTCCAGGAGAAGAAGCTCAACCCTAAAGATGTGAAATTGTATGCCATACCATTCTTGTAAGAAGCATTCCCGTGTACTAATATGCTTTGAACAGGTATCGTGGAAAGCGCTACGACATGGATCACCGCTGCGCAGGGGCGGACACCTTCACCGGTGCCATAAGTAATTTCCTTACTGGGCTTGTCGACATGCCGGTCAACGCGGTCCAGAATATCTCGCGTCCAGCTGCCGATCGCTTTGCGGAAAACTATAACCTACCATCCTGTGAGGCGCGCAAAGCGATGCTAACGCCGGCGGCCACCATCGCAACCCCGAGTGCAACCTCGCAAAAGGATCCTGTACCAACTAATGACGACGCGAAATCGATGTCTAGTTTGTCATCCGCGTCGACCTCCATGTCACAGGAAGGCACGCCGTCAATGGTTATCAAACGGAATCCCTTGCAAAACATAGCGGTGAACACCAGTTATCTGGGTCGCAGGGTGCTGAACTGGGTGGTTGAAGTGCCCATGGGAGTCACTTTGTTGTTCTCTCAGTTCACACATAATGTCCCACGGTGCTACAATGATCGAACTGTGCGCGAGCTACCTGAGGTGACCGGGGTTCGGTCTGGATTTGTTGCGGCCGGAAAGGTAATGTTTTCGCGAGATTTTGTAAGCCATCGAATATGGCTCGTCATGCTAATTGACCTAGGAATTCGGATACAGTTGGTATGACGGGATCACTGGCGTAGTAACGCAACCCAGCCACGGCTGGAAAGATGGTGGATTCGGTGGAATGACAAAAGGTGTTGGTAAAGGTCTGGGGGGTTTGATCCTGAAACCTCAAGCCGGTAAGATTTGTACTCGCGTCTGACATTATTTTAATCGGATCATAATCGATTCTGTAGGTATCTGGGGCTTGATCGGCTATCCCCTGAATGGTGTACATCGAGCCATTGAACACTCATATGGGGCTGACCGAGAGGGTTACATTGTCCGATCGCGCATCAGACAGGGAGTTGCAGAATCTAAGGCCGCGTCGCAGGAGGAGAGGATGGCTGTGCTAGAGAAATGGAGTACTTACGAGAAAGGAGTTCGAATAAAGCATGAGAAGAAGGCTCGCGCATGATTTTAGTTCGTTCCCCATGTATATCTATTTCAAGAGCACCTAACAAGTATCTACTTTCTATGTACGTGTACAAAATATGATTCACCAAATTGAAGTAATATTATATGCTGCTAATACGCTAACCCGAATCTATTGAGGAAATCCCAGGGAAAGTTCTGCCCTATATCCAGGCTTCCTTTGAAAACGTCCATCCCTGCCGGCCGTTCCTTCACAGAGCTACATTTGATCCGAATCATGAACCAACATTCCTCCTGTAATCAGTCATGATGATGGGAATATGGGTAACTTGACGGTTGACAGCGAGGTTGCTACAATCTGATCATGCAGAGCTCGATTGGATCGGAGCTATATGGCTATACGTCATTTCGGGACCTAAATTCAACTATCGGAGGCCGGTATCTTTAGGGTTGCCGGATAGTCTTCGCTCCGAGATGAGCATCACCCTTCCTGCATTGCGCCAGATATAAGCAGTGTATTGGGTATGATTGCAGTGATATTACATTTTTGTCAGTGCCATCACAACTCTATTAGGTTGACAGAAAGGGTATGATCATCAACGGCAGAGAGATTCGGCAGTGGTAATGTCCGAGTTGCTATAAAAACAAGATTCAGGCTAATCGGAGAAATGCAGGATAATAAATGTGGATCCCAACCCCAAAGATTCTCCGCGTCCCCCGCATTTCCATCTGGGATACTTAATGCTTGTTTGTTTGCTCAAGCTTAAACTCCTATGGAACGATAATGACTCCGTGAATGCCCAGCAGGTAGTCTCACCATGGTAAGGTTCAGCATTTTCATACCGACTATCTTGTCGTCTACGGCGCTGGCGTCGGATCTCCTCATCGACACCACGAGTGGTCCAGTGGAAGGCTTCTACAATAGCTCGTCCGTTCGTGCGTTTCTAGGTATACCATATGCCGAGCCAGCAACGGGGTTACGTCGATTCAAGCCACCCGTGCCCATATCGCGATCCAACCAGACCATTCAGGTCAACTCGTTTCCTGCAACATGTCCAGGGCAGTATACCTTCTCCAATGAGTCCATCTGGAGCGTCCTACCCTACATGCCATGGAACACGGACAGCATGTCAGAGGACTGTCTTGCGATAAATGTATGGGCGCCCAAAGCTAAGAAAGAAAATGGTAAATTCGCGGTGATGATGTACATCTATGGTGGAGGGTTCACCCAGGGCGGATCAGCCATCCCCTTCTACGATGGGACGAACTTGGTCGAGGAGCACCAGGATATAGTTGTCGTTACCTTCAAGTGAGTGCTATCCTTTGAAGAAGGTTTCCTGAACTGACCATTGTCTGTTAGCTATCGCGTCTCGATATTTGGGTACCCTAACGCTCCGGGTCTTGAACCTGGACAACAAAATGTTGGACTTCTCGATCAGGTATGCTGCTAGACATATCTGGCTCTAGTGCGGAGGGAGACCTAATGAAATCAGAGACTTGCCGTGGAATGGGTCCACCGCAATATCGGCCAATTCGGTGGAGATCCTTCAAGAATTATGCTGTTTGGCCAGAGTGCTGGAGCAGCGTCTACGGATCTGTTCACCTATGCGGTTCGTATACTGATCCGATATGGAAAAGTACAGGAATTAACACCACGTTGATTTCTAGTACCCGCACAACCCTATCGTACACGGCGTTATTATGCAATCGGGCGCCGCGTCGATAATTATGAATGAAGACAAAACCCATCAAAACTGGCAGAATCTATCCCAAGCACTAGGATGTAGTAGTCTGCAATGCATGCAGGACAAGCCATGGGAAGAGATCCTCGAAGGAGTGTCTTCTGGGTCTTACAGCTTTAGCCCGGTACCAGACAACGTTACAGCATTCGCTGACTACGAAGCACGTGCGAAACAAGGAGGGCTCGCTCGTTTGGTAAGCCTTCTTGCTATACGCACAAGGCAAAGTAGCTAATTCGTCCAGCCAACGTTAATTGGTGGTGCTGATCGCGAAGGTTCAGCGAACATGAATCTTAGCTCCAAGTCCATCAATGAGACACTGGTATATACAGCTACTCAGAGCACGTTTAATTGCCCGATTGTGGAGACGGTGGACAACCGCCTCGAGCAAGATATCCCAACCTGGCGATACTTGTACCACGGCAATTGGTCTGGCTTGAGTCCGACTCCGTGGCTTGGAGCGTACCATTCTAGTGACGTACCCATTGTCTTTGGGACATACAATAATACACCAATCCAGCCATCCTCCAGCCCAGCAGAGGTTGCCGCGAGCAAATATATTCAAGGTACCTATTTACCACGGTTCACTGGATTCCTGAATCACTGCTAACTGGGTCAGGCGCATGGGTGGCATTTGCTAAAGATCCCTGGAACGGGTTGAATAACTATGGATGGCCGCAATTTACCTCTCAGAGTATGTTTGATCGCGGACCCGTACTTATTCATTGCTAATGGAGTCTTTCAGACCAGTCACTAGTCAATTTAGCTCTGGACAACCGTGCCACGGCAACGATAGGCTCTGCAGGAAAGTGGGATTCATATTGTCGTGGGGCAAATAACCACGAGATAAATATGTAGATTCGTGTCTGAATTGAGTATAAAGCTGGACGAGGGGAGGTCAGGAACTAAAGTGGTGTCAGGATGGCTTAGAAAACATTTAATTAGTAGCTTGATTAGAAACCTATGGCATCAGATATAGGCGAAGATCACGGCGGGGCTTAAGCCAACGGCCCCCACGGCGATGGATGCCTACTGAGACTTGAGCCAATAGTTCGTGAATCTAATACGAAGATTTAAACCCCATTGGGAAAATGGCAGGCTTAGTTTGATTGAAGCCTAACCTGCATTTTTGTGAAGATGACACTGGTGCTCTCTCCACCCACCGGGCCACTGTCTGAAGCACTTGGTGCAATGGCGGAAGTACAGCAGAGTAAACGAAGATTTGTTAACAGATCCAAGACGGGATGCCGCACATGCCGGTGAGTTACAGCGAGGATCGGCCGGATATCAGCTGGTCGGCTAATGATCAGAGATAAAGAGCCCGTCGTGTCAAATGTGATGAGACCCCGGGATCATGTCGCAACTGTATCTCAACGGGCCGAAAGTGCGAATACGACATCCAGCGCCTGCCACGTCGACTACCTGGTAGTCGACCGACCGGCGAATCTATAGTGCTATCTACACACATTGCCGATGGCTTTTGGTGGAAAATCACGTCCGACGAGCGTCGGTGCTTTTCGTTCTTCCAACACCGGTCCCTTCCAACTGTGATCGGATACTTTGACTCGCCCCTATGGCAGAGGTTGGTTCTTCAGATGAGTCAGGTCGACCAGGCAGTCTACCATGCCGTCGTGGCATTTTCTGCAATCCATGTGGACTACGAGGCCCGTGGAAACCCTTTAACCATGAAAGACTTGGACAACTCGTGGCAGCGGTTTGCAGTCGATCAATGCGGGAAAGCATACGCGCTATTGACTGCGCGCTCTGCGTCGCGGGATCCCAATTTACAAGAGGTCACACTCGTGTGTTGCATGTTGTTTGTACTCTCGGAGCTCATGCGCGGCTACTATGACCTTGCCTTCACGCATCTGCGAAATGGTTTGCAAATCCTGAAGGATGTGGGCTGTCGCCAATTACCCAATCCATCTCCTACATGCGCCCCGATTGTAGAGCAAAGTCTCGTTGATACCTTTTGTCACCTGGATGTCCAGTCGGCGTATTTCGGTGTGGGCGAACTAGTACTCCCGGTGCAATCAGACGTGTGTCTTCTGGAGTGGAACACGGGCAATGTGGAACCATTCCAGCACCTTTGTGAAGCCCGAAGGGTATTAGACTCACTAATGGGAGCCGTGTTCCAGTTTCATACCTTTGTCTCGCCCCTGTCACGGACGGAGATAGGTGTCAAGTATGGATACCTTTCGCAGCGGCAATTCGACCTCGGTTCTCAGCTTCGGCGGTTTGCCCAAGCATTTGATCCTCTTTATATGCATCTGTCCACACGGTGTGATATCAAAGGGAAACGGGGCGCGGACATAATCTACTTGCACCAGCTGTCCCTGTCCATGATTCTGGAAACATGCCTTCTTGGTCACACGAAAGAGCTCCTCGATTATTATACGCCGGCATTTAGGAAGCTCGTCGCACTAGCCGAGGCGATTACAACCAGTTTCACGGAACGTCCCAGCATTTTGCTCCATATGGGCGTTATCGCTCCGTTGTTCTTCGTGTCAACCGAGTGTAGTGAACCTGAGGTTCGATGGCGAGCAATTCGGGCGCTTCAATCTTGGCCGCATCGCGAGGGGACTTGGGATTCCAGTCTCGTCGCAAGAATAGCCATTGAGACGATGACAGTTGAGGAACAAGCTGTCCAAGACCCGGATCAAGCTTCTCATGTCAGCCACGCTTTTACGATAGTATCGCCGGAAGACGCATCGTCTGCTCAAATGTTGTACACTCTGGATGGCGGAGGTGAAATTCAGTCACGTACACTTTCGTTGGAATAGAAAAAAATAAAAATAAAACCCAATGAAGCTTTCAGAAATCGGTCTGCCTAATGATATACCTTTCTTCTAAGTATTTGTCCTGCCTTGCGATGGAGTACTCCGCCACAATCTGACCCGTAGGATCCGAGGAAATTTTAGTCCCAACCCAGGCATTTCTAATTTAGCCAAGAATACGCGGATTAACCAATCAGGTCAAATCCAAGATCGCACTGGTTTGTTGGCAAAGGTGCCGGATGTCGTCTCCACTTGTAAACGAACTGGCCAATAAAACTACACGAGTTGCAATGTTGTGAGATCTTTGCTTGTAAGGCATCCATCCAGCAACTCTATATGGAAATAATCCACAGATAACAATGATTTCATACCAATATAAAAGCATGCTCGCGCCACGAAGCAACGTCGATTCTCAATCAGAAGTCATACGTGCTTAAGAATAGCCACCATGGTATTGCTATACTCAGCCCGCGCTCATCAGCTCTTGCGAATAGTTTCATTCTTGCTATTCACTCTCGTTTACGCTCAAGATTCCTGTCCTCTCCAAACCCCCTTATACCCTCCACCGCGGGATCTCCTCTCCAGCCAAGATGTCAAGGCGGCTTCGGAAAACCTCACTCAAGCGATTGAAGAAGCCCTCACTACAGGTCTAACCGATCTCGGCTCATTACCTCTCAACACAACCACATTCGCTGTTAAAGTATTCTCCTCTCACACAGAAGGCTCTCTATATGAGTACCTTTACACATCGCCAACTTACAGTCCAAGGTTGGGTGCAGGCGCACAGAACACGACACTCGATAGCGTTTATCGAGTTGCAAGCATTTCGAAACTGTTGACGGTGTTGACCCTGCTGGCACATGACGGATATACCCACTGGAATCATCCGATTACGACCTTTATCCCGGACCTAGACATAATAGCTCGTAACCAGAGCTCTCGTGTTCAATGGCAGGATATTACCATTGGTGATTTGGCCGCGCAGTTGAGCGGCGTGCCCCATGATTGTATGTCGTTCCTACTTTTGGAACTTGTGGACGGAAAGACTAATCATTGTCCATATAGATGCATTCGAGGATCTGGCCGGTCAATATAGTAACGAGCAAATGATGGCCATGGGCCTCCCTGCCGTTCCGGCGAAGGATATCCCGACATGCAATCAGGGGGAAGCGGTAAATGGGGGAAGTCCGTGCGATAGAGAAGGTGTGCTCAGCTGATAAACCTTAATGATGGCTAAATTGCTGACGGTTCATGAAAGCATTCCTCCGCGGTATAGTCAGTGAAAATCCGACGTTTGCTCCAGGCACTACGCCCGCTTATTCCAATGCAGCTTACCAGCTGTTGCGCTACGCGATGGAGAACATCACTGGAACCGACTTCCCGTCCATGTTCGAGAACAGCATAGTCAAGCCTCTCAGTCTCAACTCAACAAGCTTACTCGTCCCGAAGAATGCCAACGTTGGTATCATTCCGCTTAATCAGACGGCCAGTGTGTGGGACTTTGATCTAGGCGACGGTGATGCGTAAGCTATTCTACTTCCATCTACGTGACAAAAGCTCACCATATCTTAGCTTTGGGGGTGCATACTCGAGTGCCAATGATCTTGCTGTCATTGGTCGCTCCATTCTTCAATCTCTTTCCGACTCCTCAGCATTAAATATCTCGTCAACCTTGACCCGTCACTGGCTGAAACCATTGAGCCACACCACCAGCTTCCAAACCTCTGTCGGGGCTCCCTGGGAAATCTTCCGTTACGAGCTACCGAACCGACCTAACCATGTCATCGATGTTTACAGCAAATCCGGAAACCTGGGAGCATATGCCGATATCATTGCGCTCATTCCGGAGTACGAAATTGGGTTCTCAATCACAGCTGCTGATCTGCCGACAAACCCTCTACCGAATGTATGGGGATTAGCAGACCTAATCATTGACCGGCTCTCTCCTGCATTCGACAAGGCCGCCCAACAAGAAGCCAACTGCACTTATGCAGGTACATACAAGGCACAAGGGGCAAATTCTACGACTGATTCCTATGTCACTATTACAACGGATCACCAGAAGCCCGGTCTCCTGGTGACTAAGTGGGTGAGTAATGGCGTCGACTTTCTTCAGTCTCTCGTCGCTCTTTCGGGGTTCGAGGGGCTAGCTGTTAGGTTATATCCCACTGGGATTGAGGAAAGCGTACCTGGAAAATCTGCGAACCGTGTATTTTTCCGTGGTGTATTTGACTATGACACGTCTGGACAGTCAAGGGGCGTTATCTCTGCCTGTCAGTCTTGGCTCAATGTCGATGCCTCTCGAGTCGGTAACATTGGTGTTGATGAATGGGTGTTTACACTTGATAAAGGCAAGGCAAGCAGTGCTGAGCCCCGACTGATGAGGAAGCAGTTGCGTCGTGTATAGAAGGATCCGCTGGTTTTAGCTCTGACTTTTGGTACACCATGTTCTAAACTTGTGTTCTATCATACATGTCCCTTTTTAGTGATGTTGCTTCTTTTGCGTTCCTCATTCTTCGTCTTTCGTCGAGCTTGCAATGCCTTTTGCAGGCGTTTGGCATCACTATGATCCGGGTATAGTTTTAACTTAGGACAATACTTTCGAAGAACTTGGAATCTAGTTGTTCAGTTAAACACCAAATGGTTAGAAATAAGATGCTTAGTAGTAGATTGTCCCGGAGAAAGCATAGTACCGATATATCCTACCGAACCTCATCCCCATAGCTTCTATATCCCTCGCAAATAATATTGCAGCTTAGACTGCCAGGACACTGAGGGAATTGTGATATTCATACCAGACTTAGGCTCGGGAACGATATACCGGCGGAATCACGAGGAGATTTAGGACCAAGTAACCTATCACTGCGGTTCCGATCCGGTGGGGGAGGAGGGTTTCTGATAACTCGTTGAAGCGTCGGATCATTAGCTAATCGCATATTTAGTAAACGGGAAAAAAGCAACCGTGAGGCGATCCGGAAGTGGCCATCCGAGACACAATATCCATCTACTCGGCGTTAAGAGGGAGAATTATCCTCAAGGAGTTAAGCTTTACCCCCGAGCCCCGACTCCGTGGATCAGATAACGGCATCATGCCGACCCCGGCTGCCGTCCACCAATGATGGTCCATGGCAGAGTCTTTTTCCGCTTTGCCTCCCTTATCTGATCGAGTACTTAAAAAGAGGCGCGTCCGGGGACCCTAGTCAACTGTTCATCTTTCATTTTCAAATTCATTATAGACGCAAAATGGCTAGTGCTTTGAGAAATATCATTGTCGTTGGAGGGTCCTATGTGGGAAAGGTGAGTTATGACTAAGTATCTATCTGTTCTCTCTTTGATTCCTAATGCTAAGTTACAATTTAGACCACGGCCCAAGAGCTCGCACAAGTGGTGCCAAATACGCACAGGGTGAGTTGCTGCCATTGGCATACTGTTGAATCTTTAAGTGTCTGACTTTGAAACTCGCAGGTCCTGTTGATTGAGCCACACAGTCATTTCCACCATCTCTTTACTTTTGTAAGCATGAATGGTCTATCTCCGCCCTGATGCCAGCTTACCGAAGTGTCTACTATTCAGCCTCGCTTCGCAATTGTTCCCGGACAAGAACACAAAGCCTTCATTCCATATACGGGACTCTTCCCTTCTACTACAAGCCCAGTCCGACATGCCGTAGTGCAAGCTAGGGCTCTATCTGTGCAGTCGCAGCACGTCAAGCTGGACCGTGAATGGCAAGGTTCCCGTCAAGTTCCCTTCGACTATCTCGTCGTCGCGACCGGTACCCGTCTCGTGCAGCCGGCAGGTATGAGACATGATGACAAGCTCTCCTCCGTCGCATATCTCCAAAATCACCAAAACGACGTCAAAAAGGCCAAGTCCATTCTCATCGCGGGCGGTGGTGCGGTCGGCGTCCAGATGGCCACCGACCTAAAGGAATTCTATCCCGATAAAGATATCACAGTCGTGCAGTCTCGCCCGCAGTTAATGTCGGGGTTCCATGAAGGGCTGCATGATCTTGTTAAGGAACGTTTTGATGAGCTTGGCATCAAGTGAGTATAATGTGATTCGGGATCACCGGTTTATGCATTTGCTGATGGAATATTTTCCAGGTTCGTCACTGGAGCTCGAGTAAAGATCCCTGCCGAGGGGTATCCCACTCAGGGAGGTCCTTTCAATGTCGAGCTCACCAATGGCACCCAATTGTCGACCGAGTTTGTGATCTGTGCTACCGGCCAAACGCCAAACAATGGTCTCATCAGTGAACTCGCCCCGTCAACGTCCGAGTCTCTGATTAACCCCGATAACGGCTTTATACGGATCCGACCGACGATGCAATTCCTTGACCCTAAGTACTCGAACCTCTTCGCAGTCGGCGACATCGCAGATACAGGACTGCGTAAGGCTGCCAGACCCGGCTCAGCCCAGGCCGCTGTGGTCGCAAAGAACATCCAGGCTATGATTGAAGGAAAGAATCCCGAGGAAGCCTTTCCTCGGATGCCGGCAGCGATCCATGTGACTCTTGGAATGGTATGTTGATTTGATATCAATTCCGTTATATTGCTGAACTAGTGCTGACCACATCCAGAAATATAATGTCATCTTCAGGAACCCTAACGTCGCTGAAGGGCAGACCGAGCCCACTATCATGAAGAAGTTTGAGTAAGTCTCCCTATTTCCACCAGACATTCATCTGCTAACAGCACATAAAGTGGACAAGAGGATATGAATGTCGAGGCATTCTGGCAGAGGCTAGGTGTCCCGATTGAGAGCTCGAATCAGTATCATCTGTAGAGTTTCCATGTGCGTTTTGCATTGCGTCATGGTTTTAATGCTGTTATAATGTATTTATACCCAATAACACCATATGCTGTTTTCAAGGATAATATATTAGAAGTATCCCAGGTACCAATACTAGTCGGATGGTGGTGTATATTTTCTCTTGAGACAATAAATAGGTGAAGCTAAGCGTTGGCCCTAACCAGCCACTAAAATGGTGTCAGCGTGCAGCAGAGTGACGAATCCACCACAAAATCTCCGACAACACGACGACCTTCAGACCGCCTATTTCGAGATGGATAATTCCAAAAGATACTTTTCTGTTTATTCCTTGTCCTATATCTCAAATCCATATCCACATCTTGCAGAACATAGTCCACACCACGCTACGCCGACCGGTCTGCATAGCTACTTTAGCGGAAATGGCCGAATCGCCAATGAGAATTATTATCGTCGGCGGCTCGGTAACAGGCCTGACACTGGCGCATTGTCTTGATCGAGCAGGAATAGATTATATTGTGCTGGAGAAACATGAGGAAATTCACCCGCAGATCGGCGCATCAGTAGTCATCTTTCCCAACGGAGGCCGAATCTTAGAGCAGTTGGGTCTGTACCAGAGGATAGAAGATTTGAGTCAAAAGCTCCGGCGCATTCATACATGCTTTCGGGATGGATTTTATTATGACAGCAATGTCCCTGAGCTGGTGAAGGAGTTGTATGTTCATTGTTACCCTCATCGATTGGGTTTAGGTACTGAGTGAAGCATCCACAGATTCGGCATGGACTTCGCTATCTTGGAACGAAGACAACTCCTTGAAGTCTTGTTCACAGGACTACAGGACAAGTCCAAAGTGCATACCGGTAAACAGGTGACCGGCATTCTTCTGACTGAATCTGGTGTGTCGGTGACAACGACAGACGGGGCCAGATACGATGGTGATCTCGTTGTGGGAGCGGATGGAGTCCATAGCTTCGTCCGGTCGGAGATGTGGCGCATTGCTGATCTCGAGCAGCCGGGGCTTATATCAAACAAGGAAAGGTCAAGTAAGTAAAGATCACAATTTATGCGAACAGGGCTAATCAGCATAGACATGACGGTGGAATTTGCCTGTGTTTTTGGTATCTCAAGTACAGTGGAAGGGGCCAAGTCTTGGGATCATGTCATTAGATACAACCCCGGTGTGACACTTTTTGTCTTTCCTGGAACGGATAATGGCATCTTCTGGCTCCTGTTTCGAAAGCTTGACAAAATGTATACCTATCCCAACGCGCCTCGGTTCACGAAAGAGGACGCGATTTCAACGTGTGAATCATTAGTCGATCTTGCTGTGTGGGAGAACATCCAATTCGGTGATATATGGAGGCAACGACGGACCTTCCACATGACAGCGTTGGAAGAAGGCCTGCTAAAGACGTGGCATTATGGTCGTATAGTCTGCATTGGAGACAGTGTGAGCAAGGTAACAGATTCCTCCAGAGATTGCAGATATCGTGCAAAGCAGGCCCTAACCTTGAATCTAGATGACCCCAAATCAAGGGCAAGGAGCTAATACGGCTATTGAGGCTGCGGCTGGCCTGACGAATGTGTTGTATTCCTTAAGCCAAGAGCCTGAGGGACAGCGTCCAACAGAGGGTGAAATTCAGCGAAAGCTGGATCACTTCAACGCGACACAGTTCCAGCGTCTGTTAGCAATCCACCAAAGCTCCGAGTTCCTTACTCGGCTCCAAGCATGTGATGGGCTGGCAAAATCGGTATTTGCCCGATACGTGGCGCCATATTGTGGAGGGACTATTGAGGGAATTTCTGGACTGGCGACGACCGGCACGGTCCTAGACTTCGTCCCCTTGACAGAGCGCTCTGGAAGGGATTGGTCTCCCGTATCGTCTTGGGCGCCATGGATGTCTAAGATGGCGTATTTTGGAACCCAAGCATTCGTTGGCCTAGCGATTGCATCACTTCCGGCAAGCTTTGCGTGGACATTGTACAAGATAGCTATTCCTAGAGTGCTGCATAGGTGAACTTCTGCCTCGGGCTCGGATTATACGTTTTTACGCCGTCCAAATCAGCGCTAATTGGACCCGAGTACGGATGCGCGACGTCTTGATCGACAACGATAGCATCTTCAGCTCCGATTAGTAACCTGCTCCAGTCTGTTCTTTTACCGCTCTCTTCAAGCTTAGGGTTCCCATTTGCCCCAGGCTTCACTTTTTCCAAGTCTTCGCGCATGAGATAACGTAGTCCGGCCCTTGGCATGCATACAATCACATCCATTGGGACGCGTTGCATGTCGATCATTATGCTGCCCATGAGGTCACCGCTAGGCGCGCCTTTAGCTCAACCTACTCTGGACATTCCCGAAATGCTGCTACCCGTGAATACATAATATCCCCACGAAAGGGAGCCACTTGTGAGGTATTTAGTATTCTAGAACCAAGCTAAGGTATCCGAAGGTGTACAGGTCTATCCACTTAATTCTTGCATGCCTTTTCAGGCGGTGTGTTGGTGGAAAGGGGCTCTTACTCACGCTGCCCCTTAAGCGATACACTAAACGATCTCTTAAGGTTCGAAAGGCTAATTGATAGTAGAAATTGTAAAACTATTCAGAATAACACTTGCTCACAGCAGTCAGCAGCCCAGCCGCAATGTGCCCGAGGAACCTATTTTCCGAGCCCAGACCGTGTTGGTCTGAATGTGACATCGACTGATGCATGGGGCAGTGCAGAATGCTATTTTGAATAAACGTTCAATGAGGGCTACATGCAGTCCATTTCCTCGCGTATCTCCTTTTGCTCCTTAATTTGGTCAATCAGTTGAACCTTAATTCTAGGGCAATGGCTTCGTACCTTGTAGGGCTAACGTTGACATCAATCCCAAAGCCCAGCCAATGAGCTACCTCACAACTAGCGTCACTCCTATTGCCTCAATTTTGGAAGCATGTTGCTAATTCTGCAGTGGGCCGCATTCAGCTGAATAGTGGGTAACCGGTAGCCAGTGGGTTCCATTGGTGAAATAGTCTGCGCAGTGGACGACTTAGTTAACGGACAAGCACCAACGGTACTCCGTACCTTAGACCAAACCGCCTGGAGAATAGCATATCCGCTTTGCGAGCTTTATCTGATCCAAAAATACCATATTCCCCGCAGGCTCTGGGCAGATTCCTCGTCATCACCCGCGAGATCGACAAGTGGCAGAGGCTAAGCTCACGCCGTGTGGGCCCCAGTCCACCAGTGAGGCTTTAGCCCTCCACTGGAGGATCGGCGGGCGCCGCGTGTGCACTCAAAACCGCTCAACGCCAATAAAAATGCCTGTTTTATGGGAGCCTATTGTTAATACAGTTTGTTATGGCCTGAGATGGCGGCTAACTATGGAGATACTCTATTGCCGATCATTTACTAGGGCTGGCATCAGAGTATGTGTCGGAGTTGATGAATCCCGAAGCAGAACCTGACCTGTCCGAAGTTATGCCACGGACCGAGGGCCATCAATTCAGCAGCATCATTTACCAATTTTTGAGGCACATCTTACTAGGCTTCATGGTATGTTCGAATTTACTTTGCATGTCTTACAAGCCGCAGAGGCGATTGTCTAACTGGTTAGCCAGCCGTAATGAGTATCATTGATGCAAGCGCCGGAATGTCGACCAAGGGATCCACCTATTCGTAAGACGTCAACTGTCTTTGCGCTTTGTCAACCAGAGTCAAAGTCTGGTACAGTGCTGCTCCATCGATCCCACAACTCGATCGACATACCTTCTGATGCTTACGACTCATCCAGAACTACGCCACGTCAAGCCGGTCGTCATTCCCGATCCCAATGGCTCCAGGGCTGTATCGTTCTCAGATGGGAGACGTTTAGCAGTAGATCGAACCGTATAAAGGGAACGGCGCGACCTGCCTCGTCAATGCATCATCAGCTCGAATCCAAATACACAATCAACACTCTCACTAGCTTTCCACTCACTCACTATTCACCCATTCGTTTCAGTTTCCTTTCAATCAACAATCAAAATGAAGATCTCCGCCGTTCTCTCTACCTTGATGGTCGCCGGCCTCGTTGCCGCCGCTCCTCCTACTGAGCGTATGTCGACTGCCCTTTATACGGAAGGGAAATATGGCTAACAGTTATCGATAGGTCCTACCGACCTGCAGAAGCCTCCGGTTCCTCTTCCTACTGCTGAAGCTCCTGTCCCGCCCAAGCTGGACAACGACAACAGCAAGCGTGGAGATGTTCCCCCGCCTAAGAAGCCTACCGATCTCCCAACTCCTCCCAAGGATCCCAAGGATCCCAAGGAGAATGACAACGGCAAGCGCGGTGACGCGCCACCTCCTCCTCCTACCGACAAGCCTCTTCCTCCTAAGGAAGATGACAAGGGCAAGCGTGACGAGGTTCCCCCTCCTCCTAAGCCCACCGAGGACAAGCCTACTCCCCCGAAGGACCACGACAATGACAAGCGCGGTGATGTGCCGCCTCCTCCCCCAACGGACAAGCCTCTTCCTCCCAAGGAGAAGGAGAATGACAACGACAAGCGTAGAGACGTTCCCCCTCCCCCTCCCACTGACAAGCCCCTCCCCCCTAAGGAGGACAACGACAACGACAAGCGCGGTGATGTCCCTCCTCCTCCTAAGCCCACCGAGGACAAGCCCGCTCCCCCCAAGGAGAACGACAATGACAAGCGTGGTGATGAGGTATGTCGTGCCTGATGGATTCTCGTGTCAATCACGAGAGGGGATGATGAACTTATAGGATCGGAGTGGTGGTGGACTTTCAGTACTACAATATCTGTACCTTTTCTTTCTTTTTTTGTCCAGCTGGATTTATTGTGTAGCTAACTAATCGAATGCATTCGTTTTTGGTATCATTTATGCTTCTGGTGGCTGTAGTGTAGCTTGTCTGTGTTCTGAATTCTGACCCGGTTTTATGTCTCATTCTTTATAATGAAAGGGCCAGTACGACTGCTTTTCCTGGAGTAGAGACCACATTTAATTAAATTATATATAAGATAGTAATATCAGTGTCGGTCCCTGCTCAATATGGAGCATTCCGCCAAGAATTTGTGCCAGTTGTGCGATTAGATGAAGTTGTATGCGAAGACGCCATCATCATGAAAATATACACATAGGTACTTGTCGCGAAATTATTATTAATGTTCCAGAGGGAGATAACATGACAGGACTTTGTTTAAAACTTAGGATAAAGGTGCAGTTGGCTGATACAACATTTAGCGTTAGGGTGTATGCGGATGGTGAGATATATATCTCCACTCCATTTATATTCGCTAGTTAGCTACTACTACTTTCTCGAACAAGGTATTTCTTCTCCTACTCCTTTGTTTTTGAGTGCTGACCACATTCATATCACTGCTGTTGATACAAAAAAAAAAAAAAAAAAAAAAAAAAAAACAGGAAAGGATGTTTAGATGGAGTGGTATTCATATTCATTTCTAGACGTTCAATATCAAGCAGTGATTATTGAATGGTAAAACCACCATCCACCCTGATGTCAGCTCCATTAATCATACCACTAGAATCCTGTTTAGCTGGTCAGTGTGAAGAAATGAGCATGAAAAAAAAAGCTAGAATCCTTGCCTGACAGAGGAAAAGGACCGCATCTGCGACCTCTTCTGGTAATGCGAATTTCCCGGTTGGAATCGTCTTCAGGAAGGCCTCGCGTACATCGTCTTGTCCCCACGCTTTCTTTCCGAGCTCAGTCCACGCCACCGTTGGCGATACTGAATTCGACGTGATACCACGACCTCCCCACTCAGAAGCCATACTGCGTGTCAATCCCAAGAGTGCAGCTTTAGAAGCGCAGTAAGCGCTATGGCGAGGCAGTGCTACATGAGCTGCCTGCGATGCAATATTGACGATTCTTCCGGGTGGGGGAGGATTAGTTGAAGATTCCGCAGACTTCGAGGCAGCGAAGTAGAGTCGAGCGAATGCCTGAGAGCATAGCATTGGTCCGAAGACATTCGTGGTAAGATGTTTCATGGTATCCTCCGGTGGCGTCGACTCCATATCACTCAGGTTGACATAACCGGCTGTATTGATCAGGATGCTTGGGAAGCTCCGATCCGCCACAGAGGACGATGAGGGCTCGACCATTTCCTTGTCCAGTGATTTGAATGCCGACTGAACAGATTCCGGCGACGTGATGTCACACTCATAGGCTCGGATTTCATCTAAGTCGGCAACCCGACCGTAAATAGACTCCAGCAGCTGGTCTCGACGCGCAGCCTCAAAGGGTGCATACAAAATGGCCAGTCGGGCCCCTTGCTGACGGAGCTTCTTGGCTATGCTTGACCCAAGCCCACCTAGACCACGGTTGAGATTAACATGGTTCTCTTTCTCGGCTTCATCAGCGACCGCTCAACCCTACCTAAGCCTCCAGGAAGGATTGCTAACCTGCGAGCAAACGCCATTATCACGATAAGATGACTTCAATGCTACCAGTATGTGGCGTGAAACCTGAAGTTGTGTCTGGAAGATAGTAGTGAGTCTTTACCCCTCCCTTCGAGGACGTTTCGTGGACTTTGCCTTTTCTAGTAAAGTGATAGATCGGCGATGATGTCATTTCATCTCGGCTATCATTCTGGGCATATAAAATGTCAGGTCGTATATACTTAATAAATATGAATTACAATACTTAGTGCATAACTGGAGAATTATCCGCACTGTCAGTCAAAAAGGGACTTGAACCTGGTACATGCGTCTGTTGGTGCCTTATCTTCTGGGCTCAATCTTGAGCCTGTGAATTCAGGTGTTGTGAACTAGAAGCGGTTAGCGTCTACGGAGGCCTATAGCAGCCACTCTATAATAACAGTTCTTCTTTTAAAGTCTATTTACTGCTTTCTTAATTGTTTTCTCTATTAAATTATTATAGAATTACTTATTTATTTCTTTAATTCTTGTATAGAACTATATCTTGTTTAATAATTAATCTTGAGCTATATAAGAGAACTTCAGCTATCTCGTGTAAATAAATAGATTTTTGTTATTATCGAGACTACTCTATCTATATCTCACCCTATTTATTTATACAATAATAACTTTATTGTTCTCTTGTAGGGGAGCGGAATCTACAGTATAGGTAATATTACAATGAACAATCCTCCCCGCTATAATACAGCTATACTTTCAGCAAATAGCTATCTAGTTATTGGCTTTGTAACTGATAACCCCGGAGTATAGTTGATACACTGCCATATTGGGTAGTATACAGAGGAGGACTTTGCTATTCAGTTTGTGGAGTAGTACTCTGAGATCTAAGACTTAAATTAATTACAACTCGCTTCACTTGAACTGCCAGAACTGGGAGACTTACCAGAGCGGGAAGGATTTCGCTATTGAGGATGACTCGGGAATTTAATTATGTCGTTCTTTGACATATACCATCTCATATGTACGTGTGCAAGTACGCATTCTTTCTTGTCAACTATTTATGGAAGTGGGTGCATCTTAGTCATAATATATTGGCTATACTCCATCTATTCGGGCTAGCAGGCTTGTTGTGTATTGTAGTAAGTGCTAGGTTAGAGGTAGTAGAATAGTGCAGTGCTGTGGGGCAATACTTGGACGCGGTATGTTAGTTCTATCACTTTAATATTTTCTACAATTATTTAACTAACAAGCGGCCGTACCCTCTCCGCAAGTAGTATTACCCCTGCGTAGAGCCGCAATAACTTTGCTAACTCCTTTGCCAGGTGTGAGCCATTCCCCCTGCTGTCCCTTCCCCCCAAGAACTTCTTTGTCTGAACCTCACCATGCTTTCTGTCACCTCAGGTGAATATATTACTTCTGCGTCCTGTACCCACCCGCAATATAATGGCCTCTCCTACCTGGATTGACTCTACTACGGAGTGTCGAAACAGAAGAGCCAAGTTTAGTTAGTAGCTAGGATTTACTCTTGACTACGCGGCTAAAATGGCCAAGCGTGCGAATACACTTTCGTCCAGAGTAGTGACCGCATATATACAGTTCATAAGTAAGATCGTTCATTGCGAAACATAGCGGCTATTCTTGTGTAGTCTCTTTGAATAGATCTCTTTATCATCCTTATACGATGTATTCTCTCCCATTGGCCCCCGTAGTTTAGATCCGACATATCGGGCGTCGTTCAACGAAGTTGGTCACTGCGATTGAACCGGCAGGAAATAGTCATCGCAGGCTTAGATAGGACCTCCAACCTAATCCTTTTTTCCGTGCTTTTGCTGGGATTGACTTCAGAAACGGATTCAAATTCCTGGAAAAGCCGGACGAGTGTATAGGCAACCTGAAACTGACCAAAAGCCTTGCCCAAGCAGGTACGTGGGCCCGTTCCCCAGGGTATATAGGTACCCTCTGGAGGTGTCCAATGTTCCCATCGGTCTGGTCTCCAACAGTTGGCATCTAACCCCACATATTCAGGCCGTCGTTGTAAACCAAAACTTGAGAAAACTGCAAATTGATAAGTGCTCTGCTTCACTACCACAACGACAATTGATATCTTGTCGTGCAAATAAACAAGGAAAATGCGTACCGACAACCTGGCCTTGCCGAACTGGCACCGGGTCTCTGCCGTCTGCTCCACCACCGCGGGGCAACGTTGTGTCGCAGAGTGCTTCTCGGAAATTGAATCCCGCTGGGTTCGACTATCAGCCTCTTGTCTTCTCCACGCGGACCGCTTGGGACTCCAGTTGGATGAACTCACTTGGAGGGTAAAGACGGAGGGTTTCTCGAATGACATTGTTCAGATATGGCATCCGGTCAAATGAGGAAAGACTCGGAAGTTGCTTGTACCCAATTCTAAAGAAAAAGAAAAGGCAATGTTACTAGGGAGTGAAGCAATAAAGGGTGATCGGAGGAGGAATGGCAAACATGTCTGCAATTTCCAATCTTAATTTTTTCAATACGTCCGGGTTGCGTGAAAGTTCGTAGATAGCCCATGTAATGGTGATGACCGTGGGATCCTGTCCAGAGATGTCAAAACACCCAAGAAAAGAATTATGCGCTAGTGGGAGCGCAGCCTTACCTTTCCGGCGAGAATCAGATTCAGCAACAGCTCCCTGCGGTGCTGCATCCCAGAAATCATGTAGTCAGTGTATTGACCTAACGAGCACCCGCCACGAACATTCCATACCTCGATTTCCGCCTCACTCTTGGCGAAGATAGAGTGGTCCGCCGCCCGGAGTAGCTTTTGCACGTATATGTCGAGATCGCGCCTCGCTGTTCGCTCTATGGGCTTGACAAGAAACCCCAGCGGCCTATATTATCAGATGAGCACCAGACGAGTCAAATCCGGGTTGTAGGGCATATGTATGTCGAACATACCCGATGAATGGTCGGATCGTCCCAGCAGCGGCCAGGGTTCGTTTCGCCTTTCGAAAACGCTGGTAGCCTGCCTCATCAGCATCGGTCAACTGGCCTACGAATCGGTGAATCGCGATATCCAGTTGCAGTTTATCAATCACATCAAATATGTCAATAGGGGTCTGGCTCTGCGAGAGCCGTTCCAGGAGTGGACGCAAGTGAAGCTCCGTGATTTCGCGGTCATTTTCGGATAGAGTCGAGAGCTGGCATCCAGTCAGCCAGGTCAATGTTGCTTATACAGAAAGCAGGGGAGCGGGTGTACATGTGGTCGGAGTTCTTTTCTTTTCGCCCTCCACTCCGCTCCATCCACTTTGACAAGAAGTTTCTAGTTAAGAATGGAATTGCGGATCACATATATTGATCGGTCGTAGACACATACCAGTCACAAGCAAGCCTTCCCCCAGATTTCCTAGCAACTTGTGCACAAAGTCACCTTTGCCATAATCCGAAAACTAGCATTCGTACCGAGAGATTAGAACTATAGACAGGGGGGGATGGGATGATGGATGAAAATATAGTACTTGAGATGATAGAAGAGCGTGTGTGTTTTCAGGAGCATCAGTCCAGATAAATCGCAGGCGAAAAAGGGTCATGTCGACAGTGCGGCCGGGGACGTTCAACATGTCACTCGCCCATTCAAACACTCTATCGATTTTCATCTGCTGCGCTATTGTACCGAGCAAGCCGATTCCTGGAGATAATGCGCCATGCCTGTTAGCAACCTATACCCTCAAAACAAAAGATGCTCGCGTCACTTACCAAACACATCTCGAGACGATATTCGAGGTAAGCCATTTCTGCGACTGATCTTTGTGGCGACCTGGAAAGTGTAGATTTGGGAAATGAGGGCAATTGCTATCAGAGATCCGATTGCTGAACCAACAGCTGTCCAGGTGCAGAAGGGCATAATCGGGTAGTTTAGATTCATTCTACTTGGCAAGAGATTGTAATGTTCGTGAGTCGAAAATAAATAAGACAACTGACAGGTTGTAGCGATGGTGTGTAGAGGGAGACTTGGGGGTATGAAATATTCATCATGTACATATATATAGATGGAGCCGGAGTTAGGGTTGTATGGTAGACCTTTTGGGAATAGTGATTTCTTGTATACATCATACTTGTACTGTGTTGCATTTTATCGCATTGCAATTTCTTGTATTTCATGGACCATTTCTGTGGAATTTAGGAACCTGACCCCACAAAATTTCATGTTAAGTGGAAGTCGTGTCCTCGTGTGCTCTAGACAGCTCATACCTGTTATCCCTGATCAAAAAGCACAGGATTGACTTAAATTCTCTTACTAGTAATATATGTAGTAGTTGTCATATGAAACCATCGCTCAATCATTCCGCCTGCATACTGTATGTATGTCCTTCGTGATCTGCTTTTACAGTGTGTTTCGTACGAGATGAATTACTGTAATGTACTGGTACGGGAAAATACCAAAATTAGAGGAAAAAAGAAATTCAAAAAGAAAACTCGCAATGGCAGATATATTGATCCGAACATTCTTACCGGAACCAGCGATCGTCTTGTGCTGTTCGCAGCAATCTACTGTAACCCCCCCCCCAAAAAAAAGAAAGAAAAGAAGAAGAAGAAGAATTACCTTCTTATCGAGGAAATATTAAATCGGAAGATCGAGAGTGTGAAGCCGACTGGATTCAATCTAGCGAGGCTACCAACTGTATACGACAGTTCTTGGGGAGAAAGTGATCAGGAAACGATGGGGACAGGCCCATAAAGCATGAAATAGTGAAGACAGTATCTGTCGAATACGGGTGCTCACATGTTTGCTAATCTAGTTACATGACCTGTGGATCCCAGGCCTCGTTCCAGTCAGATGCTGTTCTATCCGTCATCGCCACGAGCAAGTGGAAGGCAAACTGGGGAACAGATTTCACCAAGATGAACCAATCATGAGGCCGTAGGAGCCTCGGATTTGGCGAGGTATCTCAAGAAAGGTCTTTGCCAAGGAAGAGTGTTTTTTATCGGGTTCTTGTATTCAAATGAACTAAACTAGGTATTCTGGTTAATGCCAGTTAATTCACACCCTGGTGGAATATGTCTGGTCCGATCTCAGAACGTTTCTTTTGTCCGCTATGATACTCTTCTGAACTCCCGAATCCAACCCGACCCTCTGCTGCAAACCGTGCTGGGTATCCAACCTTTTATTCATATTGACGGGCTTCAGAAAGAGTGCTGCAATCAAGCCCACCCCAGCCACAGCGACTAAAACTTCAAAGAGATTCTGGAGGCTTTGAACATACGCCGAATTCACTCCGTAAATGAACGATGGAGAGTAGGATGACTTGGCGTTCTTCAGGCTTGCGATAAAGATCTGGGCATTCTCGGCAATCTCCACAGGCAGATGACGAATTTGCAATTGATATCGGAGTTGGTTCTGCACCACGGTGGTCCCTACGGCAACCCCAAGGCACATCCCACAGGATCGCAGAAACGTGTACATGGACGCAGCTTGAGCCGAGTCGCTTGCCTCCGCCAGCGCCTGGACACAGATGCTGCTCGAGACAATGATGCAGCCATGGCCCAAACCCACAGACAAAAAGATCAAAACCCATGCGTACGTTTTGGTGTCGTTGCCAAGAAGAATCAGTAACCCGGTGGACATTGTAATTATGACCCACCCCGTCCAGATTGCCCACCGGATGTGACCCAATTTGGTGATGATAATGCCAGTCAAAACACTGGCTGGCATGAGTGATCCAGTGATTGTCATTAAAGCAACCCCAGTCATTGTTGCGGACATATCTTTTGGGCTCTCCAGGTACAGTGGGAGGGAATAGAGCTCGCAGAACATCTAACAAAAGCTAGCGGTCAACTCACAAATACCGAAAGGATCTTGAGAAAGGAATAGGTAGAGGAAGAGAAAGGGACATAGAAAACGCCCAAGACAAGGATACTTACCAATAACCCCTGAAGAACAGCGCAGAGGTAGATCATTCCTGAGGAGACATCTCGGAATAAGCCCAGACGGAGAAATGGATTTCGTGCCCCCTTCCACAACCAGAAAACTGTAATTATTATTCCCACCACGCCGAGGAAGATGGGAAGCAATGTGCGCCAACTGGGCCAGGGAAACTGACCACCACCCCATGTGATGCCTATCAAGAAGCTTGAGAGACTAGCAATAAATAGTAGGCCTCCTACCCAGTCAATTGATCGGAGCTGCTGGGTGAGCCCTTCCTGCCTTGGCCTCCGTAGGTTCACAACCCACGGGACCATGATTAGTCCGACGCCCATAAATGGAAAGTTCAAATAGAAGACCCAGCGCCAGGTGCTGTGGTCTATGAGCAATCCACCGATAACGGGGCCGGTCACTGTTCCCACCACAAATGCCACCTGGATAATGGACGAGTATGCCGGGCGCTGACGGAGGGGGATGATATCGGTCGTGATGACAAAGGTCAAGCAGAGGATGCCCGCGCCCCCAACTCCTTGAACAGTGCGGCCAATCAGGAGTTGGGTCATTCCATGGGAGAGACAACAGATCAATGTCCCTGCTGTGAATAGGACTAATGATAGAAATAGTATGCTCCGTCGGCCGAAGACATTCGAGAGGGCAACAAAGAGTGGTTGAAACACAGCGGATGAAAGAAGATATGCTGTGCCTACCCAGAAAGATTCATTTGTATCACCGTGCAGGTCTGACGCGATTGTCTGGGACCATGCATGATTCATCAGATAAGACGCGAAAGAATGATGGAATAGAGTCATATAAGCTTACCGGGAGAACCGGGACAAGAATGGTGGCGTCGAGGGCCACAACCAGTGACACGATGGCGAGGCAACCTAGGATCAACAATTCCTCCCGTCCGGGCTTCCACTTGAGATAGTCTTCATCTTCACCTACAGTAGTCACTATGTGCGGCTGCTGATGACTGGCCTCGAGCCCTACATTCTCAGTCTGGGATAGTGCCATGTTGAATATAGATATGTATGTATTTCGGATGTAGTAAGAATTCCCCGAGCTCTCTGAAGCTGTCGATCGTATAGTACATGGAAGATGTAATTGTGATGGATAGTAAACTTCAAGAGATGTTGATGTTGGCACTGATAGCCTTATTCCGGCACGTCCTTACTGTTATGGAATTGACATACTTAACCCTCAGTGCAAGGGCTTGTATCAGATTAACTCCACATTTCTCATTACTGGAAAGATATGTTGTGGAATTGATGGTTATTTAATAGGAAATATGTACATAACTACATAACCCCGGAGCACACATACCACGCAACTTATATCCGGTTCATTTCTGAGGCCCTTTACGTTATGGAATTCTTTCTAGCAAACCTTATTTATAAAGCCTGTATTGTACTTAATTCTCAATACAGTGGCGAAAGCTACATTATATAACAGAAATTTAAAAGTAGAATATGTACATACATGTAACATCACGCTGTAGTGGACCTACTGCGAGCACCTTGAGCTGTTCACGCTTATTGGTTGATGTGCATCTCCATAGGGGCGATGGTGTGATCGGCATGTAACTCTTTGGGCTGAACTGTGATGTAGATCAATGATTAAATTTTGGGGTTTCACATCTCACCGACTCTATGCTCTTGATTAGACATCGTTGCATTTACCCCTCTAAGAGTAATAATGGTCGACCATACAGACAAAGGTACAGGACAAGTGCGATAAGCAGCGCTTCTCGCACACCGTTCTTCTTCGGTGGATTGTTCGCTCTGCCGTTAGGACGTACTCGGAGTACAACCGGCGCTTTTGACTGTGGAGCTGAAGCAATGCGCAAGCGGCTAAGCAAGATATGGCGGCGCCTTATGGAGGCTGATCAGCCTGAGTCTGCGACGTCAAGAACGTCCGAAAACGGAAGCTCAGTGTAACTGGAGAGTAGCACTTCATCAACAGGGTTGTATCTATCTAGCAGTTTCCTCCCCCAGCAACCAAGACGTCGTCATACTATGAATAAGGTCTAAATGGATGTTATCTCTTACCTTCATCGACCCACTCTTGCGCGGTTAATTACGCTAATTCAAGAAGCTGATCGAATGATATGTGATGACTATCATTACATAGTGAACGATGGAAGTATGGTAAGCCGTGTTAATCCATCCGTTTGCATCAGAAAGGGGATCTAGAACGTGGGACGGGCTCAGATAACCCTGAATCAAGCTCAATGTAACATGTACAAACATTTGGTTGACTCCTGGGCGATGCCAGCTAAAAAGGCCCGAACCGGCTGGACTTGGAAATGCTGTGCATTGCTTCCCAGCAACATTGATATTCACTGATAAACGTTTCTGGCTACACTCTCTGTTGTCCGCCACGGTTGATTCATCATGACTGTAACTGATGTACTCGGGTCTGGTCAGAAACCGGCTGTTTCTGTGGTGGGAATTGGGGTGGAATATCCCCCATCCAAGCAGGGACCTGAGTTTGCGGAGGCGTTAGCTCTGCGACATTATGATCCCACTCCGGCGTAAGCCTGAAAAGCCCAGCAATAATCTCTCTTCTGATGGGTATCGTTGAATCACTAATCCCTACTCTGAATAGGTTACAGAAAACCTTGGAAATCAACCGCAAGAGTCGGATAGAGTATCGTTACAGCGTGCTGGACCCGGATCACGAGTACTGGCACCAACATCAGGTCCCGACCATCAGGGAATGCGATGTCATATTTAAACAATATGGCATCCCACTGGCGGTGGATGCTTGCAACAAAGCTATTGAGGACTGGGGTGGTCTGCCTGCAGAGATCACCCACGTGGTCGCAGTGACCTGTACTAATACCTCCAACCCCGGGTTTGATGGGCCAGTTTGCCAAAGGTTAGGCCTGCGCAACAACACCCGCCGAGTCCTCCTGCATGGGGTAGGCTGTGGGGGTGGCCTTGCGGCGATCCGCGTGGCACAGGAGATGCTTCTTGGTGCCACGCAGCAGGGAAAGCCGGCAAGAGCCCTCATCATTTCCTGTGAGCTGCCTACGATCTTTACGCGGACAGAGCTGGACTCCATGAGCAAGGAGCAACGACCAAATGTGGCCCTCGGGCTCTTTGGAGACTGTGCGGCTGCGCTTGTTCTCAGCAACGGCATCGGGGTCAAGCGAGAGGAACGTGTCCCTATCTGGGATGTGTTGAATTGCGAGACAACGCATTTGGAAGGGTCTGAAGGGCTAGGGGAATACAAAATCGGCCCGAATGGTGCGTTCTCAGCTGCATGTAATCAATGATGATGCTAACTCATATGTTTGGCAGGATATGTGGCCAAAATCGACAAGAAGATTCCCCTTGTCATAGGCCAATCCATTCAAGGGGGCTTTACCAATCTAGTCACATCGACGCCCGGCGTGGCCTCTGAGACCAGTAATTACAACCCTGGGATCTACGATTGGGCCTTTCATCCCGGCGGATACGCTTTTCTTCTTGCTGCGCAGACGGTACTGGGGTTGTCGTCGTATAACCTACGCAAGGCCTTTGAGGCATATAGTGATGGCGGTAACACTGTATCCAGCACTGTGATCAGCATCTTGAATAGACTCAAAAAAGAGCGTGAGAGTGGGGTGAAAGACGAAGAACAACAGGGGGACCGATTTACGTCTGGCAAGGGAGCTGACAAAGTGATTGCAGTCGCATTTGGCCATGGCTTAACAATGGAGATGATTATGTTCTCAAAGCTAGCACCGCCAGCTACAGCTTAGATATTATTACTAGCATTGTTAATTGACTCAAGGAACTCTCTCTAGTAATTAGACTTTATAATATCGGCTTTTGACTGCTGAATAAGTTAAACCCCATAGCGCTGTGGTCCGAGAGCAGTCATTGTTCCTGTTTTCTAAACACGAGCTAGATAGATTGAAAGGCAGACCTATTGCCAAAGATGTCAACTGACTTGTTCATCATGGAAGAGGAAGGTCGTACGTAGTGAACTGTGGAACTGCTTTCAACAGACCGTCCTCTAAAACAGGAGGAAACCCATCCTGTTGTGTCCTTAACGTAGGTAAATTATCCATGGGGACTATCACTTCCAAGTTCCACAGCCCTCTGTCGCTTGGGGAGACGAATACCTGTTCTCAAGCCATTGAGCCATTTCCAGCTCCACCTTGCCTACTTCCCGTGGACTGGGCTGAGATTAGGTGGGCTTTGGTGAGGTCTACATGGCTGAATAGCCGGTTATATAGAATTACTAGCATTTATATCGACGAGCCACTATGTTGGTATTCCCCGTTTGGTATTCTATTTCCTAAGTGAAAAGAAAACCAACTAACTAAAGCCGTATCTTCACATATAGTTCATCACAGCGTCTTACCGACCATCGCCAGCCATATCGACGCATCCTCTTGTATAGTCAAAAGAGGGCTATTATCAGAATCAGAATCAAGATATCCTCCATCTGGGGTCGGAATGACCCCTCGGCGCGGTTTTGTTATAAGCCCAACTGAGAATACACGCCACGTGTCCCACAGAAGAACCCCAAGTCGTCGAAATGGCCGCATATCTAGCATCGCGGCAGAACTTGGAATGCCCCGCAGAAGTATTTTGCTATACGAGGAGAACCTTCCCGTCTGCACTGACGAATGGTCACAACTATCCACCCCGCGACTCCAGATACTTATAACGGGGGTACTTTCCGGTACTGGTTGAGGGCTCCAGGTGAGGTAATTCTCAAAGCCGAACGCAAAGGATGTGAATAAAGGTATGGGTGTCTCCTCCGGGAGATCCCAGAAGGCTTTTGAGGGCTCCTGCTGTTCAGAGTCCCCGTAGGAGGGATGTAGTCCCAAGTCCGAGAGAACTGCGGCCACCGTCCAGATATATTCATTCCTGCGTATCCCCATTTGATTCCGGAAGGCAGACTTATGTATCCTTTGTATCGAATCTGCCGGCAGTGACAGCGCAGTCTCACAGAGAATAGAATAGTAGACTAGATGCCACAGAGCCCAGTATACCCGGTATTCCTCAATCCATGAAAAAGGCTCGCTCGCTTTCTGTGCTCGAACAGCACCACACAGGGAGCCAGCGGGAGTGGCCCCCACCGCAGAGATAAAGTTTTGCTGCATGGTAGAAAGGCATACACATGCTAAACGCTGAACCTGCGCAGCGATCTGAACTAGTTGATGTAGTTCGGCAAAGCTCATGTCTCGAGGGAGAACACTGGACGTACTCTCACACATTACCCCGATATAGTTGTCGAGACTGGAGCGATGTACCGTGGGAGCTAGGGCCGTGTATCGGATTAGATTTCGAATTTCAGGCATCGTAGTCATGGGGTTTGATACTATAAGATCCTCCGTGATTCTGTCCGGCTGAGCCTCAAAAACAGCATGAACCCGCGGTGAAACTACCAGCAGACTTTGTAGGCCAACAAAATCAGCAGCATCATGAATAATACGTATAATGATTTCAGAGGGGAGGTTTTCAAAGGTGCCCATTGTTATTTCAAATGCAGTAGATAAAAAGCGTTACAAGAGAAGAAGCTTAAGTGAATGTTCGCGAGGGAGGAAGCGTTTAAATAAGTTGCCAGGGCTCCCACTCATCCATGTCTGCCAAGCACGAAAGGAGAAACAGCCCACTTAAATTTACTTAGACTGAAACTCTGCACTCCATCCTGGAGCTCCTAGTCTGAAAATCTTTCGTCCCCTTGGCTCCGAACTAGAGAATAAATTCCCCTTGAATATGAAAGGCGTTGGGAGATCTAGCTAGCCCCCATTGTTTACTTCCTTCCCCTCCGCTTCTTCTTCTGAACAGGGCTGATTTCGAATAGGAAATGGATCCAGTCCTCTGGCTGGTTGGTGTCGGCATTTGTGTGACCAGTAGTCTTGAAGAGAGTCACCTTGCTGGGGGCCTTAACTCCCAATTCTAGCTTGTGGTCCATGAGGAAACGGGCTACACCGACACCATTGGGAGTCCCCAAGATCGCCTTACCATCATCAGTGGACATGTCATAGGACTTACCCGGCCATTCTTCGACCATGCTCGTGTCCCTAGGCTTATTTTTCTCTCTGGGTGGAAGAGGCTTTCCACTGGCCACCTCCAGAGCAACATCCAAAGAGTTCCCGTTAATCACATGGTGGCGGACAAAGTATTTGATATTTTTTAATTCGGCCTCCGACTTGCCTGCCACTTCCTTCCACATCAAAAAGTAAACATCAGATAACCTAGAAATGACTGGGGAGGGGTTTCCCGGCATATCCTCGGCAATCATGTGGGCTGGACTTATATTTTCTTCTGCGGAGATGTAGCCCGCCTTGGTGCTTATACTGGCCTTGTAGAATCCAAATGTAGGCTGAAAGAAATTGAGTAAGCCGCACTATAATTTATTGCCTAGGAGATCTCTCGGCGACTTACCGCATAGTATGAGTTATCAACTTTATATTGCTCACGCTGCTCATAGATCAACCCCTTCAGACCTCGATCTCCTATATTAATGGGTAGACCTTTCGCGGCCAATGCCACTGGAATTATTGATCCTGTCTCGGTAGGCTCGCCGTTGCTCAATCCGTAAGGTCGTGGAGACCAATCTTTGTTGAACGCTTGAGAATCTGTACGCTCGGAAGGCAAATCAATTGGTTCTATGTCCTCTAGCTGGCACATATACCCTCTGCCTTTCTCAGCTGCCTCGGCCCTGTTCTTAGGAGGAGCACGCTTTGATAGGAGATGAAGCTCAGTACCAAGGTCCAGCCGGGGCTGGATGGTCGCACCATCGGGCAGTGAGCGCTTAGCATAGGTGGTCAGGGGGAGACTACCAGACTGAGTGCCATGGTAGATGCATAGGAGTGCAACAAATGCAAAAAGGAAAAAGGAAAGGAAACGAGTGATTGGGGTTCTAGGAGCCATTGTCGATGTGCTGGATCGAGGAAAATAATCCCCCCTACACACACAAAAAAATAAAGAAAGAAACAGAAAAAGAAAGAAGAAGAGAGAGAACGAATGAATAGTATAAGAGCAAATATGCCTGAAATGAGGGACTGGTACTAAGTACAAGGCAGTGAGCGTCAAGAAAGGCCAAAGGAGCCGCTGAGATGCTGGCTCTGTCCCTTTTAAAAGAAGGAGACAATACTACATATTTCAAAGACGACTAGCCGGTTCAAAGTATGTACAGAAGTTATAGAACAGTCTAGCAGGCTCACAGAATGGGTGTTCAGGGGGATCAGGAGTAACTGCTACGAGGCATTCCTCTGCCTTCAGCGTTGCTATGCCGAGCATTTCCCATTACACATCATTTGGCTAGTATAATGAAACCCATGTAGGTATTATCTAACACAGTGAAAGCTAGTCTTCCAGGAGATGAGCAGCTGGCTTAAAAAACGAGGCTATGGAGCCTCCGCTTGCGCTATTACAGGTGAAATTTCCACCGGAAATAACGGCGTCACAGCAGCACTGTAGCTCACCAATAGATATCCCAGTATAGGAAGAGCACAAGCAGGGATTGCTAACAAATAGTATGTTGTGACTAGCGCGTTGTGACGTTATGAAGTCAGTGGGTCCGCCTTGTCAATTCCACATCCTAATGCTACCCTGCTACACCTGACTGGGAAACAGACGATATACGGGGCCTGTGCGAAGCCAAGTGGTGGTTTTTACTGTTGTAGATAGATCCATGCAAAGCTGCTGGAAGGCCTACCACCATTGGCATGCCCCTTCCACAATGTCCAATCCCCTGGTACGCCTTTTTGTCCATGGCTGCTAGGTCTTGCTCCACCGGCACCCTGCCATCGAGCGCTATTCAGTGCCTACCTACGCTTCAAACATTAGGTTCGCCGTCATGGAATAGGTCCGTTAAGGCATTGTGCGACTTGGGCCCAATTATGGAGAATGTATGTGATGCGAGATCATTGGGCGTTCCTGGAAACATGTGCATGCTCGGAAGGCTGAATTAGCACGGTGGGGGTAGTGCATAGTGTCACACACCGAACGCACCTGTCCATCTTGGAAGATCGTTCTAGGTTTTGGTGAGCAGCTCCGTTTCCCGTAACAAGGTTCTATAGTTTAATTAATGTGGAGAAGCTAATGTGCCAAGCCTTAGTTAAGTAGTATCAAGTTCAGTTTGGATATCCTTGGCATTTCTATCCCTTCGTCTAAAGGTAAAAATCCTTTACGCAGAAACGGAAGAGAAAGAGCCGGCAACAGAGACAACTGGGAAGCCCATAAGCTGTCGCAGATTTATCATTTCAGTAGTTCAAGTAGCATTGCACGACAGATCTTCAGGAGCCTGGTTTGGCGGCTAGCAAGTGCCCCCGTTTGTTATAGAAATGACCCTAAATGCAACGGCTTCGGGGGGCAGGTAGTATTACGTACACGATAAGAGAGATTTTACCTGGGTTTGTTTTAGTAGTATAGCCGTTACTTAGTATGCAATAGTCACGGACAGGGATCAATTGCATCAGACCACTACTATCGACTTGTGGAATGGATTGGAGCAATAGCTCGTCGGAGCCGTTTACTCCATTGTGCTTTGATCAAGGCTTGGCAAATGACTGGATTGCCCTCACAATCGGCCGGAGAGGATGTGTGAGGTGAAGCTCATTTTGTATGCGACATAAAGCCAGGCTTGGTCCCCAGCTCATTCTTCACTATGCCGTCGTTCATTTCATCCAAGTCTGCTCACTCATTAATATTTTCGTTTCCCTTTCTTTTATTGCTCTTTCTCTTTTCTCTGGGTCGTTACTTTTCTTTGATTCGGGGCATAATGCCCTCGCCATTCTTTTTCTTGGCTCTGTCTCTGTCCCTGACACGTTCTATCCAGGTTGCTGCAGAACCCAGTTTTGATGCCTGGTCTCAGGTGTGGAAACCCTGTCCAAGGGACTGCAGCGAAATCCCATCTCCGGCCGAATGGGCGGTCTATAGCAGTGTGGATCAACTGGCCACTTGCAATCAAACTCTGCGTTTAGACTTTTCTTTGTATAATCCCTCAAATCCTGCTATTCGCGCCTGTTCTGCATCTCAAAGCTACCCGGCTGCTAAGGTCTCTCAGTTTCAGGCTCTGATCTCGTCTGGGTTTACTGATCACGAAGTCACCCTGCAAATTGGCTGGTGGAATACGTCTGCGTCTTTACCATCTGCAGGCGTAAAGTCCGCTCTGGAACATGTGCGAAAGGCGCTCCTAGCCTCAGAGAATGAGACACCGACGACTGCGTATAGCTACCATGGGAAGTCCCTCATTGGAGTGTACGCCGGACCGGGGGTTCAGCACTCGGACGCCGCTACCACTGTATTCCAGAAGTTCACCGATCATATCGAATCCCAGGATTTGGTCGGCCGAATTGCCCTGCAGTATTGTGGAGAAAATTCCAACAAAGCGATTGGTATCGTCGTCGATGCCAGCGGTGACCTCGCGGCTGTGCAGCGCATTGTCCGGGGCTGGGTCGACGGGGAGTGCCAGACTAACTTTGACGGCGTGAAGGAGCTCCCACAATCCGTCCTGCATATGCAGGATGATGCGACATCGTCCCGCCTCTCCGAATCGTCGAGTCGACAGATCGCCAGAGAAGGCCGCTTGAATTCTCATCAAAAGCAAGCTCATTCTCATCAACGACGAGCCATTTGCCGCACGATCCAGGTTGTTCCTGGAGACTCCTGTGGGGCGCTGGCAGAAAGGTGCGGACTCTCTCCGGCAGATTTTACCAAGTTCAATCCCGACAAGAAACTCTGTTCCTCACTGCAGCCGGAGCAGCATGTTTGCTGCTCAGCGGGTACATTGCCCGACCTGAGGCCGAAGCCGAACGAGGATGGAACTTGCGCCTCGTATGTTGTCAAGACGGATGAATCTTGCCACAAATTAGCAGTTGCCAACGGCCTCAAACAAGAGGATCTCGAAAGATTCAACAAGAAAACCTGGGGGTGGAGTGGATGTAACCGGATCCAGTCCCAGCAAACTATTTGTCTCAGCGAAGGCACAGCTCCGATGCCCTCTATTGTCGACAACGCTGTATGTGGCCCACAAGTGCCAGGGACAACAAGGCCAAAGGACATGAATGACCTTGAGGGTCTCAATCCTTGTCCGCTCAACGCCTGCTGTGACGTTTGGGGTCAGTGTGGTATTACCGATGAGTTCTGCACCGAGAGCAAGTCTTCCACTGGGGCCCCTGGTACAGCGGCTCCTAACACAAATGGCTGCATCTCCAACTGTGGTACCGATATTGTGAATAATAACAAGGGCCCGGATGAGTTTATCAGCATCGGCTACTTTGAGGCCTGGAATGCTGAGCGTGGCTGTCTGAATATGGACGTTACCAGCTTCGATACAGCAATCCACACTCATCTCCATTTTGCCTTTGCGGAGATAACAGAGAGCTACGAGGTGGATGTATCCATGGTTCATAGTCAATTTAATAAGCTGAAGAACATGGGCTCCATCAACCGTATCCTGACATTCGGTGGATGGTCCTTCTCCACAAGAGCGGATTCCTTCCCAATCTTCCGCAAAGGCGTGTCGGCTGAGAACCGAGAGGTATTTGCCACTAATGTGGCTAATTTCATTGTCGAAAACGACCTTGAAGGAGTGGACTTTGACTGGGAGTATCCGGGAGCTCCTGACATCCCCGGTATCCCTCCCGGTGACCGCGATGATGGGAAGCGATATCTGGAATTCTTGAAGATGGTGCGAGAAAAGCTACCCTCTGATAAAAGCGTTGCCATTGCTGCGCCAGCCTCGTTCTGGTATCTAAGAGGCTTCCCAATCGAGGAGATTTCAAAGGTGGTAGACTACATTGTCTTCATGGCCTACGACCTGCATGGCCAGTGGGACTACGGCAACAAGAACTCGATGCCAGGATGTCCAAGTGGAGATTGCCTTCGCTCTCATGTCAATCTTACCGAGACGAATACTGCTCTGTCCATGGTTACCAAGGCCGGAGTGCCATCTTCCAAAATAATTGTTGGGGTGAGTAGCTATGGCCGGTCGTTCAAGATGACTGAGCCTGGTTGCTCTGATCCTATGTGCAAATACGTCGGGCCCGAGTCCGCTGCGAAGCCTGGGAAATGCACCACTACAGCAGGCTATATCTCCGACGCGGAGATCAACAGGATTTTGGAAGAGGATCCGACTGCCAAAAAGACCTATGATGCGTCCAGCGACAGCAGTATCCTTGTCTACGACTCCACGGAATGGGTGGCTTACATGGACACTGAAATCAAGAGAACTCGGACCGAGCATTACCGCCAACTCAACATGGGCGGCATATCAGACTGGGCAGTTGATCTTCAGTCATTCGCAAACAGTCCTCGGGGTGGTAACAACTCCCCCGAGAACCAAACCGTTGTCTACGTAGATTCCAGCATTTGGACGGAAGAGAACCCGGAGGTGACATGCCTAGCACCTTGTGCTCTCGTCCTCCCCAACTATCCTCTTAGCTCCACCACCGTTATCACTCCTCTGCCCCATGTCACCACGCTGGATGTGGCTTGGCCAACTCAGACATTGATAACAAGGTCCAATGGGGAGGTAATCACCACTACCACCGTCACACGCATTCTACAGGAGACCACCATCATTGCTCCGCCAGGTAGGGCTTTCCACGAAATTCCTTGGAATGAGACTTGACTAACGCGAAGACTCACAGTTACGGCAACCGATCTGCCCATGGCCAATATCAATATCACTATTCCACTTGACGAGGACGAAAGACTGACAATCAAGCCGAAGCCACGTTTCCCTCCGGTGATTGTCACCATTACTAACGATCCGAATCCATTGTCGCAAACGGGTGTCTTGCATCCTCCAGTGACAAGAAGTGTGACTGTGCCTCCCTGGCCCCAGACCACCGTCATCTATATCCCACCTAAGGAAAACACCGATGATGAGAATAATAACACAGATAGAGATGACAAAGACAAGGATGGCAAGAACAAGGATGACAAGGACAAGGATGACAAGGACAACGACGACAAGGACAACGACGACAAGGACAAGGGCAAGGGTGGCAGCCATCACAGAATCAGGTTCCCACGCATACCCACCATCACAGTGAGACACGGCCCTGGGTCGCCTGTTTGCAGAGGAAAGAACTGCGGCCATCTGTGCTCTGACAGTTTTTGCGGTTGCAAGCATGGCTGTGGTGGTGGCGACAACGGATTCTCTGATCCAAACGACCCCAATCCTCCCCCAATTCCTCCCCCTCCACAGGACCCTAAGGACAAAGACTCATGCACTAGCTCTTCGGTTACAAACTACTGGGTCTCATGCGACTCCAAAACCGAGGGCCCAACCACAACCTCCTGCACTACCACCAAAAGTCTGGTGGCTGTGGGATGCGATGTCACGGCCACCACGACAACCACAGGCGTAGAATATTGCCCTACAGTGGACCCAAATGATCCCCAGGGAGAGGACGGCGGCGCACATAAGGCAAAGCGTACCAATACTTCGAAGACCAAACGGCCGCCAAAACCTACCAGCTCTCCAAAGCAACCCTCCTCCACGTCTTCTGAAACGACAAGTACCAAGACCTCGAAGACAAGCTCCCTACCATCCGCGACGTCCGCCAGCGGCTGCAGCAAGGTCGGTAAGGGGCCCAGCATGCCCTCGCGCAAGTGCTGGAACAAATGCGACCCAGGCACGGGCTTGCCCGTTGGCGGCGACTGGGCGAAGAACGATCCCTGGTGCTGGATAGCTGAAAGCGGCAGCGATTCGTATGCCAATTGTTTGAAGCAATCCGACTGTCCAACCGACTTTGAGTGCGCGGAATCATGGGGCTGTGTTGTTCCACTGTCCGGTGGGTGTGCGTCTCAGGGTGGCAAGACCGGGCTAGGTAAAACCTGCTGGAGCAGCTGCAACGAAAAAACTGGGAAGCGGACGAACGATGAGTGGGAGAAGGGCATGCCGTGGTGCTGGCTGCAGAATGGCAGATTTGCCAGCTGCAAGGAGGACAACGACTGCAGTGCCACCACTGAGTGTGTCCCGAACCATTGGACCCACGGCGGATGCAATACTAAGAGTAAGACATGGGAGCTGGATGAAGGGATATAGTGATCATGACATGGGCTGGGCTTGGGCCGTGACTTGGTATATGGTCAATTCGAATACTTCATCGATTTTACTCTGTACCTGCATCGCGATATGAATTGTATATTATTCTCGAGTAATTATTACGGAAGAGGTCTAAATACATTGTGCTAGCTAGACTATAAGATGTTATAGTACGTAGCTACAATCCTTTTTCTCGGCTTTGTAAAGCCACTCGAAAGTTTCCGTTCATATGGCTGTTATATGGCTAGGGGGAAAGATGGCGCAATCCAGGTATTTCTTTGCAGCAGTAGAATGCTAGCTTTCGCACGTGCTGTATATCTTATTCCTACCCTGCAAACCAAAGAGAGAGGCAAGAAGGGAAAGGGAATTGGAGGTCGCATTCAACAGCCGGGATTGGCCGGTGGCCACTCTTCTACCCATACTAATTTGTTTAGCAATAGGGAGTAAAACATGTAAGATCTTCACTTACCATAGTAACAAATACATCCGTCTGGAATCCTGGGCTGTGAAAAGTGAGCATTTGCATGTGTTGGGATACTGATACCCAGAGGTCCATTACTGTACAAAATTTCTACGACCTCGGTATGGGGCAATCCCACACATTTTAATTCCCTACATGGAATTTTGTGTGGGGGAGTAAAATAGTTCTCTACGATTTATGATCCTTGCCCCTCGGGCCTGGGTCCCTGGTATATTAAAGAAGGCTGGCCCCAATTCCATGTACACAATGATCCTACTCTGTCTGGCTACTGTAAGGCACGCCTGCAACTTAATCTATCAGGTGTGCTAGTATATGATAAGCTTAGTCGAACAAAACCAATGAACCTGTATCTCGCCACGCAGCTCGAGCACCTCGACATTATTAGGTACACTGATCTCACACAATATAATTCTAAACCGAAGGTTCAGGTCGATGTCGCCGACAAGACGAAAGTCATGAGGGCCATCTGAGCCGCTTACCACTGCTACTGGTCTCGTATGCAACGAATTCGCTTTGACGGGTCATGATCTAATCTAGTCTTTATATTAAGAAGGTTTACAGTTACGGAGGAACGGTTCAAGAGGCATTGTTGATTAGACTGGACAATTAACAGATGTTGACGCCATATGTACAGGTTTATTCCAGATGGCTACCCCGGGATAAACTCGATCCCCTCCTCTCTCAATTTAGATCAGTCGATTCGGTGGACTTAGTTCTGGGCCTGCTGGCAGACGCCCTGGTCGGCCTTCTCGTCTTGCTGTATATTGCATTAGTTTCTGGTGACTCAAGTTGGGCAGAGGGCTGAAAGCTTACCAAGCAGAATCCACCTTGACAGATTCCCATGCTACCATCCTTCTTGCAGGGAGCACCGATAGCAAGCTATTACATTGTCAGTATCCTGGTCCATATTGAGACCACATGGTTAACATACGGTGTTCTGAGCGGCATCGTTACCACCCTGCTGCTGGGGAGCGGCAATGGCAGCGCTGATAAGGGTAAGAGCGGCGAGGAAGGAAAAACGCATTTTGATGGTGTTTGGGTTTGGAGGTTTGAAAAAAAAAGTTTTGTAAGATGGATTATTTGTCTTTCTTGCTTTGAGGTTGTCCGAACTGTTGAGAAAGAGATCAAAGGGGTTCCTTGGGCTCCTTATATGTCTTTCAAGACACTCGATTATATAAGGCCTGTTTCTATATATACTCGGGAAGTCCATCTCGGTACTCCACCGTTGTGGATGGGTGCTACGTACGTTGGACGCCAATAGTACCTGAACCATTGGTATGATTTTCAGGGCTGTAACTCAATCAGGAACGTGAGGCATTGTGGGTGAATGGATCTGGGGTCAACACAGGCAACAAGATATTCCCTCGTTCTTTCGTCAACCTCACATCGACTCAACTATTGTTTAAATTATCTGTATACCAACCATTGACCATAAACTCCAAATGCTACACATGGTGCATATTCACCATGCAATGCCGGTCAGGGACGCACGATAGCGGTGTGCTCTCTATTCCTTCGGATCCCTCCGGGAATCCGCGCAACTGGTTGTGCCGACAAGGCGAGTTAGACCCGAGTTCGAACGTGGAGAAATTGTGGGTGTCGTTGAGCCTTAGTCTGTCTGATTGGCGCTATTTGTGCCAACATGGTAATGATATGCTTGGAAGCTCTTGGCGGGTGCAGATCTCGAACTTACCCCCCTGATGTTCTCCTTTTCTCCATGAACAGCACGGAGTAAAGCGAGTAGGTTTATAGTTTACTCCCTGGCTCGTGATTAGCTTGTTTACTAAATGTATGGTCGCTCTCTAGTGTGTGTCGGCCAACTATAGTCTGGGGTTGGAGTTGAACTAGGGGCCATTTGAGGTTGCCTGGGCCGTAACACCATAACTCGAGTCGAGATATAGATAGTCAACCCAATCTTGGTTGTACACCTGCTGGGATCGTTCTGTGGTGTTTCAACTGAAGATAACATTACATCATATGTGTATAAACGGAGTATTTCTTCGGAACATACGGAGCCCACGAGCGAGGCGCAGAATGTGTACTCGGTCAATCTGCTCAGGAGTAAACCCACAGTGGGGTGACGATCAGCCATGAGGCTACGAAAACGGTTCTAGAATCAACCGACCTGATGAACTAGCACTAAGGCAATTCAGAGTACCTAGGGGAATGTGATCGTCTCACCTATGTTCAGCGCCTCAAATAGTTGTTGTCCATAAATGAGCCTACGACTCTGCATTAACAAGCAAAAACAACAAACCGAACAGAACCGCCAAACGCTTGGATTTGAATTTTGATCATAGTACCCCAATATTATGGGGAAAACCACATAAAGTAATTGATGTACATATATATAAGGTCGGGCGAGTACCCTTGGACATCCGGCTTTGAATTTACCAGGCTGTTCCACTCGCCACTGTATTCCTTTAGAGTAGCTCGACGGTTGATCCACCCCGGACTTCTCCTTCCATTGCCTATATTTCAAACATTGGCAATATTTTCAACTCATATTCAGTTTGGTCTAGCAATCCATATCCCCTCAATTAGTATTCCGTCCCCTTCCTCGCTATTTCCACCACCCCTTACTATCCGATGACTGCTTCAAGTGCTGCTCTGACGTGAGGGGAAAATTGCTTGAATGACTATCCTCTTCCAGGCATCACAACGTCGCAATTGTTTTACTTATTTCAAACCCTTTAGCTAGCAGCTAATCCGCTCACCAATCATATAAAGTGGGAATTCTTATCCCAGCGTGTGCCAAATGGTCCACCTGCCCTCCAGGAACGTTTTAGCTCTATCATTTAGCCCTTGCACCGAGCAGCAGACTATTGAAGGGCTAGGGCGCGGGAGATGCGGAAAGATCCTTAGGGCGTAAATGTCGAACAACGTGTCGCTCCAAGGTCTTTTACCGGTATATAAAAGTGTTGATTGCGTAAGGTGTGAAGGTATCTACCAAAGAATGGTATGGACGAGAATAACAAACCATGGCGCGTGACGTATTGTTTCATATAAAAGCAGCAAAACAGTTATAATAATAGAACACATTTATGTTCTATACCTTAGTTTGGAAGGACGCTATTTGTGCCTTGCAATATGTCATTTGTTGAGAAGAACTCTCGGACGGTTCGATGCAAGAAGTCCACCTGGTAGCGCAGGGCGTCTTCCTCATTACGGCGATGATACACTACCAGTAATCCCTTGCATATGTAATTAAGTTGTCTGTCAAGTTGGTGAGCCCGTAGGACGATGTCTCTGTAGGTGAGAGGTTTATTCTCCTGTGGACTAACATTATCGTCATCTTCGAGTTTTCGTTCCAATGAGGCATATGGCATCACGGGTAAGGGCTCAGGGGCAGTCAGCGCAACATTGAATACCTGCATCCAATACGAAGTATAGATCGGGTCGATCGAGTCAATCATGGACCTGAGGAGCAGCTCAAGGGTGATAGGGATTCTTCTAAGCTTCTTCTGCAAGAAGAACAAGGTATCTCCATTCGTCAACCATTCACCGAAACAGCGCACCACCAGAACCGCCCAGAGAAAAACACCCTCAGCCTGATCGGCAATTTCATCAATAATGCCGCTGGTCCGTGAATCGATTCTGACAAGTGGTCCCCAAGCTGAATGTTGTTCAATTTCACTCTGAACGTAATTGTGGATATCCTCGCGGTTGTGCTCTTCCAGGTATAACTTCCGGTCGGCCGATTCTCCATATGCGTCTTCAAACACCTTCCATGGTCGGCTAGAGAGACACATTATGACATTGGTTTGAACTAGAGAGTTCAACAGTTCCATCAACTCGGAATGGTCCCCTGTGCATTCATCCAGACCATCAATGAAGAAGCAGAATTTGGTTGGGAATACAGTCTGGCTAATCAGAGTCTTGAACGTCTCCAACAGCTCTTCCACACACCATGGACTGTCGCCGGGTTTGTCGCGCATGATCGCTTCCCACCTTTGCTGGCATACGATAGGAATCAGGTCCGGAATGTGGGTGAATATGCCATAGAGAAGAGATTGGAGCAAGCCACGCGTAGAGTTCTGCATGTTAGTTCCGGCACCCCAGAAGAAGTGACTGGCCATAACCAGCTTCTCGCTTCTAGCCCATATTTTGAGGTTTTCTTGGGTCTGCGGGTGAGCGAGTAGATATTTCATAAACGTTGACTTCCCTGATGCCGGTTTGCCAGAGATCCAAAATATGCTGCCATTTTGTCCCCGCAGCCAATTAACGATTGCGCGGCTATGTGAAGGATGGGTTGTCGTATCCATCATTTTCTCAAAGGTCCAGGTAAAAGTCCTCTCGTGGGCTTTCGCGATCCTCGCATGGCGGTCCTTGATCGTTTCAAAGTGTAGTGTCCTGAGGAATCTTTGCACGAAGGCGACCTTTGACGCTTGTTGTATGGCATGCGGCATCCTACGGGCCATATCTCGAAGATGGTCTGGGTTGATGGTATTGGTCACGCCTGGTACCTCATCTCCGATGTACACCTCGGTCGCTTGCCACTCTATGTCTTTGAGGGTGTCTAAGAGATCCGTAAGCCATCGTGTTTGGCTTTGGTCTATTTGTCGATTCTGCTCCTTGAGTCTTTGTATCTCCTGGTAGACGCTAGACTGTGTGTCTCTAATACTCTCTAATTAGCCTGCCTGTGAGGAATATAGCACCTTTCGATATACCTGAAAATAATTGTAAGCACTCGGATCGTTTCCCTTCTGCATGCCAGCAACCCTTCCTCTAGAGCTTCAATTTGCCTCTTGTCCCAAACCGCTTGCAGTGCTTCCTGGAATGACGTGAAGGCATTTGAAGAGCTGTAATGGTGTTCTAGCTGGCTTGTTGCGACAAGTAGTTGTGCACATATGCCCTGACAAGACTGCGCCAGGCTTTGAAGCCCCTCGTCACCGTATGATATTGATTCATCGATGGACCAATGTATGGTCAGCCTAATTGCGAGGCCATAGCGCAGCTGTTTGAGTCTGTGGTATATTTGGCTAAGATTGTTATATGCCACAGGTAGGCTATCGACCAACTGGTCTAATTCTCCAGCTGGATCCAATAGCCGATAGCTCAAGTCAAGGAGTTGCAGGACGTTTCCACAGAGGCGCAATGCGGGGACCGGATCGCATATCATTTTGAACTAAATCTCTGTAACTTCATCCCTACCTGGTATTTCGACACATGGTCCAATCTTGCGATGAGTGACTTCTTTAAGGTAGACGAAAATATGCTATAAGGATCAAATGCAAAAAATGCCGGTCGGGGTTGTCAAGGCGGACAAGAAGAAAGATTCCTCGCCCCCAACTATAATTATAGATTGAATGGTCCTTATGCTTGGCGCGGCGAATTGATTGATGGGTGCCTATCGGATTCAACCTCGTCTACGTGGCTGCCTGTAACTTGTCTGTCCCCTTTTGGCCCGTTCAGTGAGCAAAGCTTCGTAAAGCCTATATAGATGAACACATCTGATTTTATTAGAGATACAAGATTAGAACCTACCATATTCTACTAGAGATATGGTGCCAACACGCAGTCGAGGGTTTAAGTCACAAAAAAAAAAACAGAATTAAAAAGAATAAGGAGTACCCCAGACCTAAGTGAAAGATCTGTCGTCTAACTTTATATATCATCCAGTGATGGGGTTAATCTAATTGCCAACAAGTCTGAATAAAACGTACACAGGTATTGGTCGTATCATCTATGGTTTCATATCTGCCATAGGGTCGTCAGCATATCCACCAACCGTCTCATCGTCCCGTTCCTTGTCGCCTTCCAAAAGGCCATGGCCTGGGACACAAGACAATTTCGGTGTGCGCTATCAGTGGTATAGGTTCCCAGGACTACCATTGGCCAACAGTAGTACTCGGCATAATAGTCTATCGATGGATCAAGTTCGCTAACCAAACGCATACCTTCGCAGACTAACTCTTGAAGAGAGTCGTCCGCTATGGTGGAGTTGTTGTTGATCATGTGCTTCAGAAGTATATTGGAAACGACAATATAGAGTCTCGGACCCAAGAGAAGCGGCGTATGTGTAGTTGTGACCAACCGATCGCCCTCAGGCGAGGGATGTAGCTCCTCAACCCCAGTTTGGCTGAACTGACTCAATAGCTGTTGTAACTCGTGGCATCTTGCGATATCGATGCCTTCGGCAGAGGATCGCTCATGCATTAGTGCGATCTCTCGAGCATATACAAACAGCTTCGGTGGCGCCCCGAGCACAGGCGACTCGGGGTAAACCGGTACCTTCCACCTGTACATCTCTTGGAGTCTGGTCTCTGCTAGTGAAAGGGCGGCTTCGACAGGTTCAGGCTGCCTCCTCGTTTGCTGAAACGGAATGCTCGTTGTCGCATGGAATATAAAAGCTTCTAATATCACCCGGGCTGTGTTGATCTCTGCTTCCGATTGAAGTTCAGGCGTCGTTTGCCTGTGTCGGAAATGGAGCTGGATCAACTGTGCGAGGCCAAGTATATGGGCATCCACGCCCCTTGACAGGCGTGGTTTTGATCTCTGTTACTATTCCTTAGTAATGTTCAACAAACTCTCAATACATAATCTCACCTCATAGATGCACAAAATAAGTGAGGTCCGAATGATTGCCGCGTTCCCAGCATCGACAATACCGCTGTCAAGGCTTTCACGTAGTCCTGCAATGGCTTTGACGTAATGCATGCGAGCAAGCTTCTGAAAATGCACCTGCGAGCACATGTCGTCTACCGGTATTTCTGCACCACAGCATGCTAGAAGGGCATGCATGTAGAAAGGAGTGTGTAATGCTAGCATTAGCGATTCGCCTGTGGCGCATTTAATGACTGAATTATGTGCCATTGGTCGGATTAACTGAGGCAGAAAGACAGCCCTCAGAAAGTCGAACAAAGGAGCGCTGGCAGGGGTTATGGCGGGTGATAGACAGATCAATGGGGAGGTGTAATTGAGAATAGATGGAGAGCTGCTATAAGGAGTCATCATGTAGTCATTTTGGCTGTTTGGTGTATTAGATTCCCTGGGAGAAGGAAACCCCTCGCTTTCTCCCTCGGTATCCCAAGAGGGCGACGCGCCAGCCGTATAGTCTGCCACAAATACATGCCGGCTAGCATGCCATTCATTGGTAGACCGCTGAGGAGAATGTTCTAAATGAGCTTTGGTGGACGACGGGTGTTCACGTCTGGTGTGCTTTGGATTCTCACGTAGGTTCGTAGGCCATTCACAGGAAAGCCATCTTCGGGCACAATTGGAGCATGTCCCGGGGGTCTCGTCGCACTTCTTCTTCCTCTTCCTGCCTGTAAAGGTTTATTAGTCGAACGGTTATAAACTTCCAGCAGAGACTGCGAGGTGGGGTGACCCACATGTGAGACAGCCAGTCTTCGTGCGCAGATGCGCCGGTCGTCGACGAGGTGGACGGTAGCTTTTCGTTCGAGGTGTCATTTCCGACGGGCTTGAACCAAATCCCGAGTCTAGTCGAGACACGCCTTCTGCCAACGGTGCCATATCAGTTGACTTAGGGCCTATCGAAGCATTTGATCTGGAAGGTATCCCCTAATTGACGCACGATGCCCTGATGTTTGTGGTTCCGAGAGACTAGATACCTCCTGTGACGGCCAAGAGAACTCGGAATCTACTTGGCAACCCTACAACCGATAAAGCCCTGGTCAACCCGAAGCACTATTTTTAGCACTTGACCCAAAGAGGAATGTGTATCCTATGGCCGCCAGGTTACGAATAGCAGCAGCACTAATTCAAGCTGCTGAGAACGGTGTGGCGGCAATGTTTGGGAATTGATATCAGTTCCCCAACGAACAGACGTCAAGTGTTACCGTCGCTTATCCACTATCTGATAAGGCATCAGCATTTTGATTCAATGACACACTATCATCGAGTGGTTATCTGTCCTGTGGGGAGATCTTAGGTTGTGGGGTTTAGCCTACCCTAGAAGAGTTTTTGCGGGGTTCAAGGCAGGGATCAGTCCAACAGTACATGTATCAAGCCTGTCAAGAAGGTGAAGTGGGCGGTCATAGAAATTCAACAAGGGCCAGGAGGTTCGGTCCGGATTCAACCATCTTTCAATCTTTTGCCTCCGCCACGACGACGGACCATCTCGGGGGCCACCTGATTGGCCAACCTGGCCGAGAAGCTCCACATTTGGGACAGAATACGCCAATGGCATCAATTTGCGCGATTCTCGCCAGATCGGGTAATCCTGTGGATATCAAACTCCCGCAGCATGTCCTTTTCTTCGCTTCCATACGACCTCCTCTGAATGAAGGCTTATCACTTACTAGATCGTCTATACGAATATCTGGAATCGGATATTGCATTACTCATTCATCATAGCCGTCATCCCTCCCCTCTCCTACACCAGATACTAATGGATCGTATATATCACGGCTGGCTCGCGTACTGTCTGCTCGCTATCAACTTCTCTCCCTGTTTCAAAATCATCCTGTAGACATAGATACTCCCACGGCGAATGTTGTCAAAAACTCCTATCTCTTGGATCTCTGGCTTTACAGTCTCAACATTGATATTCCCTTTCATCGTTCATCTCTGAAACTACTGGAATCTTGCCAAGCGTACCTGCTGATTGCGAGTCTCGATGACCGAGTCATCCGAAATACGACGAGATGATCTGGACAGGCCACGGACGCCACCTGGGACGGTGTATTTCGGAGAGGGTAGATACCCATGATGATCCTATCGCAAGATGCACACCCCGGGACTGACAGTGACGGCGTGCAGGACGCATAGATCTTGACGGAGTCGAACAAGATGCCGACGGCCATGTTATTCTCCAGCCACAACCATCAAGCGATCCAAATGAGCCATTGGTAAGTTGCCCGGGCGTGAAATACCTTCATCTATGCCCCAGTATAGCTGTCTGATTCGGAGCTGACGAGAAGTATCGGATAGAACTGGCCGACTTACCAGAAGGCGATCAACTTTTCGATTGCTTGCCTGTTCACCTTGATGGTCTTTGCAACGTATGGTTCTTTTACCCACTGAAAGACCTCCTTCTGTTAACACACCGCTAGCTTGGACGTCGGAACAGTGACCTGGCCTTCCCTCACAGACGAGCTCGGTTATGGATCGAAGTATCTCAATGACAGCTATGCCGCTGGATTGGCAGGCATGGCCATCGGCTGCATCTTTTTCATTCCTGCGGCGGACTTAATAGGACGAAAGCCCGTCTATATTTTCGCTTCATTAATCATGGTGCTGGCGAATATTGGTCAAGCTAGTTTCCAAACCCGAGCTCAGTATATCGTGCTACAGACCATAGCGGGACTTGCAGGCTCGGTCAACGACACTATCATTCAGATGACTGTAAGCATGGCTTGCCTTGTGGAATAATCTATCTCTGGTTCCGAGCTTATATGGGACGTGATAACAGATCGTGGATCTTTTCTTCGTTCACCAGCGTGCAACGATGAATGGTATTTATTCAACAATGGTGGTTGTTGGTGTAAGCCTCTCTTCTTCCGAGCCCCAGCACTTCTCAAACTAACAGTCCATGCTTCTAGACATACTTAAGCCTCATTCCAGCCGGATATATCATCAATAGTCAAGGATGGCGCTGGGTATGGTGGTGGTGCGCGATTCTCAACTCACTGGTACTGCTTTTGATTATCTTCGCGTACGAGGAGACTAGATATGGAAGGCCTGCCGGGAACTGCTATATCGGTGAAGATCCCCCGGTGGCACTCGGAGCAGAGGGGAAGCAGTCTGCAGCTCCTGAATTCGACAAGGAAAAGGCAAGACCGGCCCATTGTGACCCGATCCCGCAGAGGGCTGCGGAGGAGCCTATCCCACCACGGAAGACATACTTGGAAAGAATGACTACATTTGAGCCTACTGACAGCCTTAGCTTGAAAATATACTGGCGTCATATGTGGACCCCATTCCTGCTTTTCTTTCGCATCCCAGCAGTGGCCTTTGTCGGCATCGAATATTCATTCATGATGTGCTGGGTGGCCATCCTAGCTACAACACAGCCGATCCTGTTCGCGGAACCCCCCTACAACTTCTCTTCGGTGGGTGTGGGCAATATCAACATTGCACCCTTCGTTGGTGCCGTTATAGGGTCCATCTATGGGGGCCCTCTAAATGATTACTATGTCGTGTACATGGCCCGGCGCCGAGCGGGAATGTATGACCCGGAGCTCAGATTGCACATGCTTCTGGTGCCACTGGTAGTCTGCCCTCTCGGTCTCTTCCTTTACGGCATTAGCATTGCCAATGTACGTGCCCATTATACTCCGAGCGAAGATCGGAAGCCCTTGCTAACAGAATGACTGTCTAGGAACAACCGTGGATTGTCCCATTAATTGGATCCTCATTTGTGGGCTTCGGCATCGGATCCGTAACATCGATTATTCTCCCATACTATGGAGATTCCTATCGTGAGGTATGCCTGACTGTCCTTCCTCCTTTCCCTCTTCCCTAGTCTTCCTATAACCCAGCCGCTGAGGATTCCAAGCTTGTCGCCGAGGGTCTCGTCGTCATTACGTTCATCCGCAACCTAGTCTCGACAGGTATATCGTTCGCGATCAATCCGTGGATGATTGGGCTTGGCGTTCAGAATATGTTCATCAGCGCGGGATGCTTGTGCTTTGGCATTATGGTCTTTGTGATTCCCATGATGATTTGGGGTCGGAAGGCACGTAGCAGCACCGCCGACTATTACTTGAGTGCCGTAGCTGCCGGTTAGGGCGTGTGGATATCGGGCTTACATACAGAGGAGTGTACACGACGCTTTTGAAGAGTGCGATAGTGGATAGGTGGCGGTAAGCGCCTGACTGGTTCGTCTGTCTGTTGAGTTTGTTGAGAGGATAAGGAATAGGATAGACAATCTGCTACCGCCGCAAACACAGAAGAAACAATAGATTGTAGATACTTATATTCTTTTCCTATCTCTTCTCGGAAACTAAAGCTATTAACTGTATTTAACAGATTTTAAAAAAAAAAAAAAAAAAGGGGTTGTACTAAACGAAGATATTATATTATATACTGTTAGTGTTGGCATCGGGTCGGGTTTTGATAAGCAAACCTACACCGCCCCGAACCTGGGTCAATTGAGATCGACCCAACTGTCTGCACCAGCCAACCCCGCCCCAGTAAGTTTGAATCCATTGCTATATCCGTTTTGTCTATATAATCAGAGACTCGATCATATATGAAGCATCCAAATATGGTTTAGTATCAGTTAGATTCATCGGCCGGCACTCGGGAATGTGAAAATCCGGAAACTCTGCCTTCCTTCGGGCCGGATTCTGTTATGCCCGTACGCTAAAATCATATCCAACACGGCGATGATTCCTTGAGCGCTCCAAAATACCTTAGTGGTGCGTCTTGGGTCATGCTCCTGGTATTAATGGCCAGGTGGACTTTCCACCTGCAAGGCTACTGCAATAGAAGGAAATCCAATTAACCAGAAAAGGGAAGCGGTGGACGGAGCATAGTACAAAGAGTGCAACACTTGGAAAAGCTACAGCTTTGGTTAGGATATGGAGGAACTGCGAGATGTATGACTTGACCCTTCGGATCCTCAAAACTAACACTTTCACAGGCCGGTTCGCTACACCCTTGCTCGCTTTCTTCTAGAGCGCATCAGACGGCGAGCGAATATTGTTAGCATTCTTACACTGGTTCGTGAAATCGGACTGACTTTCACACCCTCGTCTCGCCTGGGGTCGAGCAAAGATGATTTGACTTTCCGTCCTGTGCTACATCCTCACTACGCACACTCCGTATTAAATTAGGTGAATTGCGTCAGTTAGAGCGACCGTCTCGGGAATGTTAGTGTCCATTTGATCAGCTTCATTTTTCTAGCTTGAAATCCTGAAATTACCAAGTTTGACATATGGCTACAGCGGCGAAAGCCGATCCATCGCCTTCTATATCCGCTTCATTTTGCATTATAAGGCAGAGAAGAAGGATCGCACATCATCAACCCACAAATCAGGACAAGTGATAGCTGGAAAATGACCACCAAACGCATATCATTTAAAGTAGACCACATGTGTAGTTCGTTCAATCCAATCCAATGGCTGGCTATGATTTAGCCAGTTGATATAACGACGATTGGGTAGTAAGGGGACTCACAGCTAAATTGAATTTGGCAAGGGCTGGAAACGGCCCATGAATATTCCCCCATTGAGTGACCCCAGTTGGCATATCCGACTTGGGAAACGACAGGGCAGCCTAGAATTTGTCGGGGTTAGTTATAGTGGCTGGGCTCGAAATCAGCCGAATTGGCCTACTGACCGTATAGACCAGGTGGTAGTCTTGAATACTCCCATATGGTGACTGAATCCACGACAGCATGGTGTCCGTAATAATCTCTTCGTAGCTGTAAGGATATCCATCACTACCGGTATTTTTAAGGTCCCATAACCAAGCAGCAAACCCAACAGGGCTATCTGTCAACGCTAAGGACACCATTGGAGGCTTTTGCGTGTATGCCGTGGTATACGCGGCGTGTTTCGAGAATCACTCGTCCGACACCGCTATATAGTCATTCTCCTCATCGGTCGTCTCATTTCTGGCCTGCCGGGCCAGGTCAGACTCTTCGACTCGCGCGAAGAAATAATCTGTAAAATGACCGAGAATCCTGTCGCGGACCTCTTGGACCATCCACATACCGACTGCCCAACCGAGATCTGCACCCGCTCTGGTCCATATTGAGAGTTTATGATAAGATGCAAAATACTCATCACACGCCAACAGGATTGCATTCATCAATGGATCTTGTCTTTTTCGGATAGACGCGCTTCTCAAGCGGATGGATGGTGCTTACAAGCAAATTTGCCATATCCACCGTGTCTCGTAGATGGGGCCAAATATAGAAGCAGCGGCGGATTTACGGCTTCCACAGTATCGACATAATGCACGCCAACCTCATCAGCCATGCACAGGCAAACAACTAGACTTTATTATGTTCTGTCCGCCAGGTTCACGCACCATGTCAGAAGAGTGTCCACGTGCGTCCTCACGCTGAGTGCATTCAGAACGTCTTGGAGGCAACTTGGTGACGCCTCGAGAGGATAGCCTTAGAAAGGCGCGGGTGTCAATTAGACTTGCTGGTGCTATGGGCACCAGGATCTTCAAGTGCCCTTACAGTGCCTGCCTGGCCCATCTGAGGCTACCGGGGACTATGCCGTTATCATCCCGCTTCGTGTTGGCCGACATTGCTGCGGTGGTGGCGCTCCGAACTTCGGCTAGTTTTAGACAATATAATATAGAATGACAGATCCGTAAGAGCTAGAAAACAAGCAATGCACAAATCATCCGAGGATCAAAATTTGGTAAAGAACTTCCGGGGAGGCCACAGGGAGATAAGGACAATCGCCAGCAGAAAGTGCTGCCCCCCACAATCAGCAATCTACCCGACCGATTATACCATCGGGAACCCTTTTAGCCGATCCTACTGAATGCCAATAAGTAAAATATTGGCGGCGAATGACTATTATCATCGCATACACCACCCCTGCGGCAGCCGCAAATTTGGAAAAAGGAACTGGATCAAATATATATATATATATATATATATGCAGGACAGAAATTGTGCGAAGAAAGACGTCGCACATCGCCCGGAATGAACTATCAGCCAGCTATTCTGAGCCTGTCGCTGGGCCGCCCGGGTATACATGACTTTGAATACAAGATGGAGAAAGCTGCCCAAGCCGGGTTTAAGGGTGTCGAACTATTCTTTGATGACCTCCAGGCCGTGAGCCGAAAGATTGCAGGTCTCATCGACGACTCCAAGCCGACTCTCGATCAGCTTCTTGCAGGCGCAGACCGATGCCGCGACAAGTGCGCGAATCTCGGTATTACTATCCTCACCCTGCAGCCCTACCTCTTCTACGACGGGCTGCTAGATCGCACCGAGCAGCAACGGCGTCTACAGGAAGATGCCCCCGTTTGGATGCGTTTATGCCACTGATTCGGTGTTACGATAGCCCAGGTCTCCGCCAACTTCCTGCCCGCGAGCTCGCTCATCGAGGACACGGAAGCTCATCGCAACGCCCTTGTCGCGGATCTTGGGGCCCTGGCTGACCTCGGCGCTGCACAGGCCCCCCCTGTGCGGTTCGCATACGAGGCGCTGTGCTTCAGCCCCAAGATCAACACATGGCAGGCGGCCTGGGATGTGGTTAAGCGTGCAAAGCGTCCTAATTTGGGCCTCGCCATCGACACCTTTAATCTTGTGGGCCGCATTTGGGGTGACCCGGCATCCGCGGATGATGGCCGGCAAGTCCCCAATGCGGACGCCGAGCTCGCCCGGTCCCTGAGGGAGCTTGTCGCTAAGGTTGACCTTGCGAAGGTTTATTACCTGCAGATCGCCGACGGTCAACGGATGGAAACTCCACTGGTTAAGGGCCATGAGTTCCATGTTGATGGTTAGCTGCCATTAATGAACTGGTCGCGAAACGCGTCTTTTCTTTTATATATATAGAGGCACGAGGCGGTTATCTGTCTGTTGAGGACGTAGTTCGGGCTGTCGTTGAGGAGTTAGGGTATAAGGGATCGATGTCGCTGGAGCTCTTCTCGCGGACTGTCGCCGAGCCTGGAGATTAAGCGCCGGCGGAGTATGCACAGCGAGGCATTTAATCATATAGGAAGATGTGTGATAGGCTTAGTATTATATAAATATGAATGGAAGGTAACCCTCTGCAGAGATACCAGTATCTTATTATCTTTGTAGTGTGCTTTCAGAAACTATTCCACCAGTTGGTTGGACTAAATCTATGTAAATAAGGCTGGAGAGTCTTTAACTTAATAGAATAAGAGAATACCCTTGGTGGCCTCTCGGAAATGGAATCTACTGGATCGGTAAAGATCTCAGGCTGAAACCTCCATCATATTGGGCCGGATTTCATTACTTCTATGACAATTGAGGTTCACCGATACCCGATATTCCTATTAGTGAAATGGGTAGGCGATATACTTATAATTTGTGAAGCCGAAGGCCTTTGCTATATGCTGGGGAAAATCCTATTGTGCTCTGTGAACCTTTTTCGATAAACATTGCCTGAAGTAATAAACTAAATGTAAACTATGCCTTCCCATAATATTCTTTTGGTTAACGGTCCTAGTCTCAACCTTTTGGGTACCCGTGAACCACATATTCACGGCTCGACAACACTTCGCTAAGTGGAATTAGCTGTAACTGTGTGAGTATTGCAGCACGGCATATCCGCCTCTTGCTTCCAGTCGAATTCGGAAGCTGATATTCGGAATCGAATCCACCAGGCCCGGGAAGATGGCGTAGCCGACATCATTATTTATCCGGCCGCATATACATATATGTCAGTCGCAATTTATGATGCCCTTTTTGGGGTCGGGATTCTATTGTTGAGGTCTATATATTAAATCCTTATAGGCGGGAGATATTCGGCCATCACAGCTATCTTACTGGCAAGGCCTCCGCAGTAATCTGCGGAATGGGGGTCTACGGTTACTTCGCTGCACTGGATTGGTGGGTATGAAACCTTTCCAGGGAAGATATTATTTGATTTGTATCTGAAAGTCTGTGGTGTGCATCAATACAGTGATAGGAGGAGGTCTTATATATGGGGGGATGGTATTCAAATCCCTCGGGGCTTATCAATTGTGTAGCACTTCTCTGTAGAGGATTGGATATATAAAGATAATTTACTATTATGTATTTAGTTCTTCGTGTTTAATCTGGCTGTTTAAGTGGAGTACAAGTTGGGCTGCCAATTTATTATTTCTTTGCTTTTGTCTTGATGTTTTCTCAATCACTCAACCAAAACTCAGTCCAATCAGTAGTTCGTCAAACCCTCCTCCTGTGCAACCTTTGCAAGTACTGTCAGGGATCTAAGTCCGTATAAGGAATTAAGGCATCGATACTAGCGCGGGATACACTTGAGGTCCGTACTCTCCAGTCTCCTGTACTTAAACCGCGGTAGGTGGATCTTGGCAAACGAGCGGGACTTTTTTAAGAAGGAAAGAGCCCATTTGTCAAGTCAGTTGATTCCAGAAATCAAGCTCATTGTCTTCAACAGATGCATTCATCGGGTTCACCAAAAACAGGCTCGAGAGAACGACATTAGCGTTGAGTCTGTCGAGATACAAGCGTTCAATGCCTCGGTATGCTTCCGCATAGTCAGAAAATATGGGCAACCCGTGAACAATCATCTTACTTCGAGGACTTCCACCGCTGCTAGCATCTTCAAACACCTTGCTCAGCTGCTGAAGGATGCCCGGAAGGTTATACATCGTCCGTGCAGCATTCAGATCCCACGCCCGGTCCTCGACACATAGCAGTCGAGAGGCTTTGATAATAGCGAGAGCAATGTGCAGGATGGATATGACAGTGAGGGATGGAAACGACTCGACTGGTACCAAGCGAAATGCGTCGTATAGTTCGTGTGTGCTCTGCAAACAATCCCAGATCGTTCGCGATCTCAGGTGCGTAAGTTGTAGCGTTCCACTTTTGTCGCCGAATTTGAAGGGCTCGAACAAGCGAATACGAATCGAAGCATAGTGCGTCCGCAGAAGATCTGGTTTGAACGGTCAGTCGTACCATTTAAGGTTTCCATAATGGGAACCATATACGGTTCCACTTCAGATTTGCTGGTAGCTGATTCATGAATGTATCCAACTCATTCTGAATAGAAGCCACTGCTATAGAGTAAACGCCTCCAGACGGTTGATTGTTAGGGTTACCAATCATTTCCCAGAAGGAATCGTTCACCTTCATTCCGATTTTTCGTATGCCCACAAGGCTTACCAACGAGTCTGTCAGATATTCTTGGTCACGCTGCAGCTGCTTACAGCAGTCATCAAAGTGCGCCATGTACTCTAATCTGTATCGTTTGCCAAGCAGGCTGCATAGTCTATCATAGTTGTTGTTATTGATATTTAATTAGTGAGAAGATGGCACTGGGGGCAGACTCACGTAGAAGCTATATAATAGACCCCCAGCAAGGTCCGCCAGTCCTCTTTGGTTTGCTTTGGCTGAGGTTGCAGATTGTTCTGCATGTGAGCTGCGTCCTCGACTATCGATTCGAAGGCCAGATTCTCTCTCGACCGAAGTTGCGTCAGTCTCAGATCATCTATCAAACAGATCGCCAATTGAACGAGGGTTGTGTCTTTGGTCGCGGCGTAAAAATAGATGTCATTCCTGAAAAGTAGCATTGTAAGTTGACCAAGTTCACTGACCGCGTAAGAGAAAACGACGAAACTGGGTTGTTGGTACCAGGTAAGAAATACTAGGATAGCCTGAACCAGCTCGAGGTCCTTGTTCATCAGAACAACAGTCTCGTTTGCAACGTGTTGTCGGAACCAGCTTTCGAATACAGCTGAAATCTCGGGTGGCGGGGGTCTGCAGACCCATAAAATGGTCTTCAGAAGTAGCGGTTTATGTTTCAGCATGCTGTATGAATTTCTGGTGGAGAGTGGAACAAAAGGGAACTCCGGAACCATGGTGGTCATGTATTCTTGAAGGATTTGGTCCGCCTCCAAGAACGAAACTTCAAATCCGGGGACGATGGCAATCGATCCGTTATAGACACCAGTTCCTGCCGATTGATTCGATGATGCGGCCAGTGGTTGGTCTTGGTATGAAGCTTGCATTGTGGTTGGGGTATCGCCCTTGCTGGAGTCTGTAGGGCGTTCGGTTAGCCGCTCAGAAGAGCATGTACACTCTCGCCCTCGCGTCAAAAGAGCCATTATGTCGTCCAGCTTTTTCTCCAACACTACTGCATGACTAGAGTCCTTTTGATGAGTGTTCAGATCGCCGATGCCGTGTCCGGCACACTCCGACAACTAGGAGTAACTTACGTCGCTTTGCCCCGCCGTTTTGTCGACATAGAATCGGACGTGAAACACGTCAAGTTATTCTTGAGACACCTGTCTATTATAAGCATAATAGCACATCCGGTCACCTTGTGGCTGCGCGGGATACAAACCGCTGGCAGATGTCAACGCCATCGTCGACCCGGGCGCATTTGGCCTTAGCCCGTGAGCAGTTGGTGCAAGCGCGCGGCTTCTCGTCGAGTAGAGTGCCGGACATCTCCGCGTGAGGGGTCCTTCGGCACTAGAAGATCTGCGGTCCAACTCCTTGGGCGCTTTTGGCTGTTCGAGGGTGCAATATGGAGATGTCGTGAGCCTGGAGCGGAGGGCAAAAAGATCTCCGAGGCCGACATCGAAAGTCTTGGCCTCGCTTTTCTCGGCTCGGCCGGGGGTCTATTTGCTGCCCGCTCCGGCACTCCTTGTCCTCTATGAGAATCATAAATGATTCATTTCTCCTCAAACTCGCGCTCCTCAATGCTCTCATGCTTCGTTTTGTTTGCTTCTTTTTCGTTATTCGTTCTTCTCCCTCGTGACCTGTGGTTTTGGAAAAGTTGCACATTGCCATAGTGCTCACGTAATGATGATTAGCAGGGAATGTAAGAACTCATATGGCAAGACTTCAGTGAATTCATCATCCGAGATCAGCGTCGAAAGGACTTCTGTACATGCGGATGAACGCGCTGCCACTCTCAACCATTACATCGTCTGGAAACCTTTCCCAATTCTTGAAAATCAAACATTCACTCATTTGTTTCCAGCGCATCTTCACATATGCAACGTCGTGGGATATTCTGGCTCTGACGGCCGGTATCTTGGCTGCCATGGGCTCCGGAGTCACACAACCGTTGATGTTTATTCTGTTTGGTTGGTCAATACTCTATTCATGCTTTCAATCTCCCAACTTAACAGTCGCATAGGAAACTTTGTCGAGGAATTCAATGGTGTTGAGACGGAGGACTGGGGTGCGGATCTGACCACCACTCGGCAAACTCTCAGTCATCTATGGTATCTGCTATCTATTCTGAGCCCTTGGAGGTCTCCATCGCTCACTTCCTTCCGCTAGTCTCTTCGTGACTGCCCTGTTTATTGCCCGGTTTGGCCTCGCTTCGATCCAGAAATTTGCCTTCCGCCTGATTGGTATTCGACTCTCGGCTGCGATACGATTGCATTATCTGGTACATCTCTTTGATCAGAGTATGCATGTTCTTGATTCTCTACCACCTGGTCATGCCGTTGGCACTATCACGAGCAGCAGCAACACGCTTCAAGGTGGTATTTCCGAAAAGCTCGCCATCTTTATCGAATACACAACTCTTATTATCGGTTCTTGTGTCGTTGCTTTTGTGTGGAGCTGGGAGCTTTCGCTAGTGACACTGGCAGGCTTTTGTGCTGTAGTTCTGGTTGCTGGTAGTTTATTCCCACTAAATGTCAGGGCCCAGACTCGCCAGATGGAGATGGAAAAGCAAGCAGCCAGTATTGCCAGTGAATGCTTTGCGAGTATCAAGGTGATCATGGCGTGTGGTGCACAACAGCAAGTTGTCGACAAATACGGGTCTTTAATCCAAGAGGCCAAGCAGCAGGCACAGTCTACAAACTTGTTCACGTCACTCCAGTTTTCCTTGACAGTATGTCTGACCCCGCCTCCGGAATGTCAAATGGGGATTAATGGGAATAGTTCTTCGGTGTCTTCGGGACCGTCGCTCTTGCCTTCTGGTATGGGGCCCTTATTTTCACCAAAGGCAGGGTCGATAATGTGGGAGTCATTACTGTGTAAGAAGAACAGGTTGCTGTGGGATTTTCTAGAAAGGCTAATGGAAATCAAGGGTTCTCCTGTGCTTGGCGACTATCTTCTTCTCCCTCGATCGAGTCTTCTCGCCTCTACAAGCAATGGGAAAGGCATCTATCGCCGCTCACGAGTTCTTTTCTGTGATCGACGTCCCTGTGCCCAGAAAAGGAATCCTCAAGGAGCCAGATGTTTCTGCTACAGAAGACATTGTGTTCGATAAAGTCACTTTTGCGTACCCGAGCAGAGCCGATGTCAAGGTCCTTGAACAACTCGACTTGCGCATTGAGGCTGGCAAGGTGACTGCTATTGTTGGCCCCTCGGGTTCCGGGAAAAGCACCATAACTGGCCTGATTGAGCGTTGGTACACTTTGAAACAGCAGCATGACACGGCAAAGCAGCAAAATGTCAAAGAAGGCCGGAAGCTTCCAAAGAATCATTATGCTGCCCATAATTCTGGAATTGACGGAACCAAGGTGCAAAGTGTTGGAGATCCAGTTGAGCTCCAAGGTACCATCACAACATGCGGTTATTCGCTAGACGATATCGACGTGAAGTGGTGGCGATCACGAATTGGACTTGTACAACAAGAGCCGTTTTTGTTCAATGACACTATCTATGAGAATGTTGCTCGTGGTTTGATCGACACACCCTGGGAGGGAGAGCCCAATGAGCGAAAGAGGGAGCGTGTCATGGAAGCTTGCCAGGAGGCCTTTGCCGATGATTTCATCAACAAACTCCCATTGGTATGTACGCCGGGTCTTGGGCTTATTTAGAATCGTAGATGTTAATCCATTCTAGGGCTACGACACATGTGTTGGTGAAGGGGGTGCTAGACTCTCAGGTGGTCAACGCCAACGACTTGCCATCGCTCGATCTATCGTCAAGAAGCCTGATATTCTAATCTTGGACGAAGCCACCAGCGCCATTGATGTCCGTGGCGAACGATTCGTACAGGCAGCTCTCGATAAAGCATCGCAAAATCGAACGACGATTGTGATTGCCCATCGGCTCTCCACGATCAAAAATGCAGATCGTATTGTGGTTCTCAAAAAGGGGAAGGTCATCGAATCGGGTAGCCATAAGAGCCTTGTCTCCATAGACGGTGGTTTTTATTCTGGTCTCGTCCATTCAGAAGCCCTTTCTCTTGGCGAATCGCCAAGAGAAGCACAGAATTCATTTGAGACGGAAGACTTTGGCACCATCAGCCGAGAACAGACAAAGGAAACGACTAAGAATTGCGAAGAGCACCATGCACGCGATAAGAGAAGATTAAGAGGACGCAGCATCTTTAGAAGCTTTCTCCAGTTATTCTTCGAATCAAAGAGTCAATGGGGCGTGATGAGTCTCGGCGTTCTGGTCTCAGCCGCAGCAGGAACAGCACAGCCTATGCATGCGTGGATGTATGCGAGGTCGATTAGCCTTTTCAAGTGGCAGGATGATCATTCTAAGCTCATGTATGAGGTGGATTTCATGGGCATCATGTGGACTGTCTTTGCTGCCTCTGCTGGTATTGCCTATCTCGTAACGTTTCTTTGCTCCAGTCACGTCTCGTCGTTTATCCGAGCAAAGTACCAGGTGCAGTACTTCGAGTCCCTCATTCAACAGCGAGCTGTATATTTCGACGAAACCGGTCACTCTCATGGTACTTTAGTCGCCCGCGCTAGAGATGACCCACAGAAGCTCGAGGAGATGATGGGCACGAACCTCGCTCAAGTGTGCATCGCTATTTTCGCTATCATCGGGGGCCTCATCATGTCTATGGTGTATAGTTGGAAACTTGCACTAGTCTCACTCTGTGCTGTTGCACCGCTTTGTGTGCTCTCAGGTTATATTCGAATGCGATACGAGGTTGAATTCGAGAATATGAGTGATGCGGTCTTTGATGAAAGTTCTCAATTTGCCTCTGAGGCAATTGGGGCTTTCAGGACTGTGACTTCTCTAACACTTGAAAGCTCTATTTTTAATCGCTTTGAGAGATTGTGCCATGCACATATGCTTTCCGCATACAAAAAGGCTCGCTGGGTGAGCATCATTCTCGGGTTCTCAGAAAGCACCAATTTGGGCTGCCAGGCGCTTATCTTTTACTACGGCGGCCGCCTTCTTACCCAAGGTGAGCTTAGTAACATGTCGTTCTTTGTGTGTTTGATGGCAATTATGAATGCTGCTGAGGGGTTTGGGAAGAGCCTGAGCTTTGGTCCTAACGCGGCTCAGGCAGCTGGTGCATCAAATCGTGTTCTTCATACAAGGGATTCCAGCCTGAAAGCTCCATGCGAGAAGGATGGCGTTCCTGTAGAAGACGGTGGTATTAGAATCGAGCTCCGTGGCATTCGTTTGAGATATCCCACTCGAAATACCCCAGTTTTAAATGGTCTGTGTATGACCATCGGGAAAGGGCAATTTGCGGCCGTGGTTGGTCCATCTGGCTGTGGAAAGACTAGCATAATTTCCTTGCTTGAGAGATTTTACGACCCAGAAGAGGGTCAAGTACTCTTCAACGGAAAAGATATTTCGGATGTCAACCTTTACGCATATCGCAAACATCTGTCTCTAGTGTCACAAGAGCCTACCCTTTTCCAAGGTAAATTAGCACTTGCTTGAGTTTTCCTCTTTTAGTATCTATGCTAACACTCAGAAGGCACAATTCGGGACAACATTCTTCTGGGAATGGACCCGAGCACCGTGACGGACAATCAACTTCATACCGCCTGCCGCGACGCACTGATTTATGACTTTATAGCCTCTATCCCCGAGGGTTATAACACAGATATTGGATCCCGTGGTATTGCTCTCTCCGGCGGGCAGAAACAGCGTATCGCCATTGCCCGAGCATTAGTTCGCGATCCCCGGGTCCTCCTTCTCGACGAGGCTACTAGCTCTCTGGACTTGAGGAGCGAACGACTGGTTCAAGCGGCCCTTGAGCGTGCAGCTAAAGGGAGGACTATAATTGCAGTTGCGCACAGGTTGGCCACTGTGCAAAATGCAGACATAATCTTCGTGCTTGGTGAAGGTGGAAAGCTGTTGGAAAAGGGCAGCCATCTACAGCTTCTTGGTAACAAAGGTGTTTATTATCAAATGGTGAGTTGATTTTTTTTTTCGAATATTCAAGCCGCATTTAATTGATGCGATAATGACCTGACAAGAAAACAGTGTCAGAACCAGGCTTTTGATCAATAAGAGAAAGGCAAGAATCAACCTTCTGTCTAGACTGGTGTTTGGCCAGGTTAGGTTAGGTTAATAGGATCAGTTATATCTAACTACTAGGTTATAACTAAACTTCTACGAGACTTTTAAATCTTGCGTGAACGAGGCTGGTGAGCTTTAGACTTTGAATGAAAGACAGGATGTGATTCAAGAATCGGTCTGGATCCTTTACAGGTGCAAGGAACTGACCGAGGAGCTTGATGAATGAGCAAAAGTATATAGAGATTCTTGAGAACCTGATGGATGACCAGAACGCAGCTATCTGGAAGACTTCAACCACATGTGCAGCAATAGCCAATGAGGCAGCACGAATTTTAATCTTTATATGGATTGCGAAAGCTATGTACGATATCTACTGTAGAAGAGCCTCTCGATAAAATTAAAGGGTCTTGTTTCCATTTCATTATATATATGAACAAAATTAGAATACTTCACAGGAGCAAGTGCCTTGTGATGCATTTGAAGCACTCTGTACGGCAGTTCGAACGCGATATATATTCATTATAAAGATAACAAAACACTACCCTCGAGGAAGGATTCCATGGAATAAGAGCCTTATATCTTGCGACTGAGACAGGATCCGGAGAGATGGTTGAGACTTTTTAAGTGCGGGAGTTTCAAAATTGGTTGATAATGAGGATCAACCGCCCGCGGACTATGCGGAGGAGGGAGGGGTCATATGTTCTTCGAAAGTTGGAAAAAGAAATCGCCCCGATAAATTGCCTCTATAGAGCAATGTACTGTACAGTAGTAGCTACATATCCTGCTGCCTAGTAAGGGACAAGATCCCGAGGTATAGAAGACAGTGATTGAAGACCCCTTCAAGAAGTCGATCTCTTCTTGAGCTCGATTCAGTGACCTGAGAAGTCAGTATACCCTTCTGAAAATGTTGCTTAAATGTAAACCCTGGATTTACTATTCTATATAGGGAAATGGAAGTTATTAAAGAGGTATCTAGCCACACAAGAAGGGCTGCTCTATATTCTTAGTAGGATAAATCTTATTGATAGTAATTTGAAACCCCAAAGTCTGTCAGATGTAAATTTTGGTTCAGGGAAAGTAACTTGGCCCCTAGTTACAGATTATATGAAGATATCCAAGACTCCCAAGCAATTCTTGACCTCTTAGAAATAGTACTATCAGATCAGAAATACTATATATCTATGGTGTTAGTTGATATATATTTCTACCCTTCACAACCACGAATCTTAGCAGTTTATATCTGAGTCTTAATTCTAGTATTACCAACGAAATTTGGGGAAAGGAGTCTTGGTCTTATATATATAAGTATAAGCAAGATCTGTCCTGTCCCGATTATAAATTGTATTACAATTGACGAAAATAATCTAAAAGTGGAAGAGTTTATTATGGATTATCAATTTTCTTGGAATACCGATATGTATCTGAATAGTATAGGAGAGACAATTAACCCTGAGATACTGGGACAAACGGAATGGGAGTTCGAGTCCGACTACTCGGAACCCGGATTTAATGAAGAGAACTTCCTCGGTAACCAGGGGCCAAATAGTCCCGCTTGGGAAAATAAATATACTAACTATGAGCTTTTAGACTCAGATAACTCATTTGAGAGAGACACTGAAAATTCGGTGAGCGCTCTCTGGGCTACTATAGTGAAAAGTATATTTATGGTGTTTACTCCAGGTTGTTAGTGAAGAGACTGACGGTATAACTATTCTTGGCGAACGAAAAGTTGACATAGCCAGTGGTAGAAAGACTCAGTTTCTTGTGTAGTGTTGGGTTGACGAAAAGCATATGGAATTGTTTATTGAATTGATGAGAATGTCATAACTTTGACCTTATGGACGCCCGGACATATTTCCTTCATCAATCTAGATCTGAGTTCGCCGGTGTACACCAAATCAAACCATTTAAATCTCACAGTTGCACGCCCACAGGAAACTGTACCAAGCCTGACATGTTATTGTCACAAAGAGTAGAAATGGAGAAGGAAAGATAGCGAATGTAGAGTGAATTCCCCTTATTCAGGGAGAAGGATAGAAAGGGAAAAGAAAATAAAAGAAATCACCTAAACTCTCCAAAGTCATAATTTCACTCCCTCTCCGTAGCATCTTGGCTTCTACAAGAATATCTATTCGCTGGGAGGGCTACTGTACCATAATGTGCTAGTGAAGACGTCGAAGAACCATCTATACCGCGTCGCGCATCTGAAAGCTCTCTGTAATCTTCAGAAATGCGATAACAATAATGACCAGAAAACCACCAGCCAAAGCGTTTGTCAACCAGAAACTGTTTACCATTCAGCTTGTGCAAGGGCTCTCCACGATAAACTGTGTTTATTATTTTGTGTTTTTCAAGAAGTATTACGAGGGCGTCAACAGATGGCTGCACGCTGCTCAGCAACACACAGTTTTGGGCTTCAGCTCAATGCTCCCTATATACCCTTTATGGATAGTTCTCACCATGTTCTAAGCCTCAAAGCGCGTGACAAACAAAAGTGGTATGGGAATCGCATAATGAACCAGCGATGATTAGAAAGGCAATATGCAAACTACCGCCTCGGGAAGTATGCTTCTGATTCAAAGTAATGCAGGAGCACATGCAAGAAGCAAAATTGTCTCTTTATTCTTCTCTCTTATCTTTTGTTTATATATAATAGGCCATGTACTTGACCATAGAAAGATTTCTAAGTATGCCAAGTTGCACTACACATTCCTAATGTCTTCTTACCCAAGATGTGGCTTAACAGCTTCCAGCTTCACCTAGGTTGGAAACACAGACTAATGGTGGTTATGACTGCTAGCATTGTATTATGGTTCTTGAGAAAGTACCTTTCTTTCCTAATCGGTGATGTAAGTAACTAAATTATCTGTTACCTCTAAGTATTCTTATCTGACAGAAGGATAACTTTCCTAGTTCCAAGATTTCAAGCATATCGATATCTCGGGATTTTGCAATAATGGCAATATTCAAGACCTCGGGTACAAGAATATGAGGCAAACTGGCCATATTAGCGCGCAAAGAAGCATCCCCTTGCATAACAACATCACCCAGATAGCTAGTGCTTTAGCGTCACATCCCATGGTACGCCTTAACGAAAATAAGGTATCGGTGCCTGTCAACGTAAATCCCAATCGCTGGACCCAATTCGCAGGTGCAGGGGTGTGGCTCCCCGAATACAATGTCTATCTTGTTGTTTCCCGTGTGGTATACACAAGGCCAGGTGTTTCATGGCCCACAATTAGCTTCCTAAGGGGACAAATATTTGACGAAGACTGGAACCACCTGGAAAAACATACAATAGAGTGGTATGGCACCAAGATGTATTTTCCCATGGTATTTGAGATACCAGCAGTGTGGTGGGAAGAGGGGGGCTTCTTCGGTCCAGAGGACCCTCGAATAATCTTAGACGAGGGCGTCCAAGGTGCCGAGCCGCTTATTGTCTTTAACATGATTTCGGATGGTGCAGGAAGTCCACGAGCCATGTGGATCCATAAACCATTCTCGAACTTTACGACGATATTGACAATACGCAACGAGGAAAGAAGGCCTGTGGAGAAAACTTGGGCCCCTTTCTTTCATAACGAGCCCAGTGCAGGTAAAAGAACCGAGACCAATGAGTATCTGCACTTTGTGTATAGTCTCAGGCCTCTACAGGTGCTCAGCTGTATGACTAGGAGTGGTGAGTGTGACTGGGTGTTCAGACAAGAAGTCCCAGATGCTTTAGCAGAATTGCATGGAGATACACGAGGAGAAATGAGGGGCGGAACGAACTTTGTGCCAATCCCTATAGATGGACATTCGGACATCCAGACGTATATTGGTCTTCCTCGAACGCATCTTAATTTCTGCAGTGCTGGTGCAACCTACCGTCCAGAAATAACGGTACTCTCCGGCGTCGAATCCAAGTTCCACATCGCATATGCCAGTGTTGCAACCGAATTCGGACACACCTTGCTTGATGAGGATCTCCTCAGTAATCCTTGTATTAAGGGTAATATCTTGATACCTAGCAGCATTGTACGATGGGTCTACAACTCCAGGGAAGACATGATGGAAGTGTCATTCAGTATAGCTGACGAAAACATTCACATCCTCCGCCTCTACGGGGTGTTGAGTTTCATCCGCAGCCTGCCATACTATAGCCGGTTCTTAGCACTTGACAATCCACATCATGACGACGCCTCTCGCAATTTTCGCTGGTCCGTGGTAGGGAACTAGGTAATAGCATGCTCTGTAGAAGCAGCGGCCAATTCAAGTCGAGCGGACTCAATTCTTGCAGAAATAGGTGAATTGTCCAAGACACTAGAGCAGATTCGCATTTAGAGCTACATTGTGTGGCTGGAGAGGACCGAAGAAATCAATGACTGAATGGCACCGATAGATGCATACTACCTGACCAAATTACAAAACGTCAGGAGGCATGGGCTAAAGGTTTACGTACAGCATTCTGATAGTACATGTTTAACAATTGCAGTAACTTTTGCTGCCGCTGGAACTATCCGGATCGATTGATTGGGGGTTATCTTGAAGCGGTGCTGATGACCTAGTATGATTACTATTCAACCAGATTTCCTAGAAATGGTTATATCCTAAAGCATAGCCTGTCCTTGAAATAATATTAGGGGAAATTCTCTACATATCTCAAGACAATTATACCCAGGTTCGACCATAAAGGGATTGAGTATAGACGGTTGACACTTCTTGCAACAATTATTGACGTTTTCAGTATGTATACCTTGGACATCATAGTGCTTAATTAAATTCAATAGATTGAGAAAAAATGTTTTGGCTATGCTGAACAGAAGTTGCAGAGTCCTCCAAGGGCTGTGAATGTAGATCTCTCATGCCTGTGTCTAGTTCAAGCACCCCGCCTCTTCTTAGTATACTGTTCTAAAAAATTGGCTTATATGCTCTTCATTATTGGAATAATTATGTATGTTAGGGAAGAATTGGTCTCCCTTACTGTATCTTTAATCAGCCTTGTAGGGTCGGTTATTGTAGGTTTCAGTGCTCCAGGGTTCTATTGCTGCTATGCAGCAGTCTTCAATTGATAGAGTGAAGCCTGTTTGCTGCCTTGCAGGGAACTGTAGTGGAAGGCACTGCTTCTGTAGGGTGACATTTATGATAGCCTTGACTATTGGGATTCCGGTATATAACAGGACCTGCGAGGTTTGGAAGAAAAGGAATATAAAAAGAATCTTATACTGAAAATACGCTTACGAGCGCTCTATTCTTGTGAGTTACATTATCATAGTATTTTACTGTACTGTATAGTATTATTTTAACACTACCCCCGTGACTCTCCTTTTACAGCTGCTATTTGTTTATAATACTATTAACTAATATATTCTCCCACAAGAAGCTAAATAAAAATATCGATAATCCGCACATGATTCGATGTTTTCTGAGAGGTTTGAAGGCTAACACCTTGTGATTGTACACGTAGATCTGATAACAAAAATTGTTGAATGTCTTCTGGAGGTCACTCTATAACCTTGTTAAATATCCGGGGTTCTAATATACACTCTACTTTTGATACTACGGTGTATTCAAGTATCAAATAAAAGTTTTGTGGCTGCATATGGAGTATCAATAAAGTATAATTTATGTCAAAGCCTCTGGCTTATTTCTTGAAGTAGGGGTGGAGTATGAGATACTCCTCAATTCTGGGGTGGCCACCAAAAACTCCATAATTATCAAGTTAACCACAGTTGAAGTATCTCCAGAACATATCTTCCCGCTAGACTAGTCATAAGAGCCCGTGTCTCTGCAAAATTTATATATATATGGACACTAAGTGTGTAATCGAAGTATTCACTATATCTAAAGAATCACGAACTACCTTATGTGATACTGGCTGTCACAATGACTACCTCTAGTAACCAAAAGCGTACTTTCTGGAGGAATAAATGTCGAAGGGTGCTTGCAGAGCATATAAGTAAGGTACCCATTGTTGCTCATACCGACACCCCAAGTCCAGATCTCAAGCGGTGGGATAAAATAGTTCGAAGCACTAGCCCCATGATTATTAACGACAGAAATAAACAAGAGACCACATATTAAATAGTCTTCATCAGGATGCTGATATAAAATATAGACAGTCGACTTGGCTTCGAGATTCCACCTGATAAGATCCGCTTGCAGCCACGTCACGAAGATCCATACAGATGGCATGTTGCTGATCACCTGAAGCCCCTCTTCAAATCAAATTTAAGCAGTGGCAGTGTTGGAAATTTTCAAAAGATCTGCCATGCCTTGAAAGCCCCAGACCTAATAGAAGCAATACATCCAGAGGCTTTGCAAAATGACCAGCACTTTGAGGTTTATATGACTAAATCATATTCTTTTGTTATATCTAGTTGGCTGATTATTTCAGACCGAGAAACAAAACTCAGTCCCCAGTAGCAGCTTCGCAGCTACGATACAAACGTTCGAGAAGGAAAAGCAGGACGTGCTGGCTGATAGCCAACGACTGTGCGAAAAGCAGGAACAGGATCTCTTAAGCGCTCAAGTCGAATGGGAAGCAGAGCGTCAGAAGCTACAGGAGGAAATATCACGGTGGAAGGATGCCGTATCGTCCTATGACCTCAGGGTTCAATAGTTGAAAAGGGTAGTCTGCCCTGTCCTGGATACACTAAACCTTCATTTACCTGGGCTGTTCGGTACGATTCATACCGAGCAACACTTGGTGGATTAGCAGCATCCGAGAAGTTATCCGTGTTGAGATTAATATGAGGCTGCTTTGCTTAGCTTAGTTTCATTCAATTCTTCCATGTCATTTTATTATGTGTTCCAAGCTTTTACGTTTATATTGAACGTGTTCCTATCGTTCTTGGAGTTTAGAAAAGTTCTGGGAAGAGGGTCCAGTAGAAATCGAAGTCTCCTGCCGCTGTATGCTTCTTTCTCACGAAGTATTCTGTAATACGAGTTAGGGGTAGCTTGTTGGCACATCCATGGCATTAAGGCCATTGCACTGTACCCTATGATAGTGTCTGTTCTAAATTAAGAGATATCAAACCGATTTCTTGTATTTGTGCTTATTACCTACTTGACTGAGCCTAAGTTCTTGAATATATATAACAAACTTTGTGGTATTATGCAATCTCATTATCGGTTAAGGGAGATAATGGTGTCCTATATGATCTGAAGAACCACTTACTGGGCCTCTCAGCTTTAGCTTCCTCCCCTATTCATTATCAGCCTCAGTAGGTATGTTCTAATCTACTGTATCATTGGCACGGTTGTCAAACGAAAGAAGGCCACGATTGCTGGGATAGGCGAGTCGGAGAACATAGAAGAATAGGCCGATGATTCTCATTGGCGGGTAGGCGCAACCTCCTTTTCTTTTCTCTCACAACCCTCTGGTGAATTAATGTGATGTTACGAATCATGATTAATGTATAAGCTGGAGTGTCTTTGGTTCCTATTGGTATTCCAGCAGGCCATGGCTCTGTTGCAATGAGCTTTTGTATTACTACGACCTTGGCTGTCGAGGGTGATGCTGATAGGTGGGGTCCATATAATGGAACTATGAAGATACTGATAGGCTCAGAACAGTCAAGAACATGGGCGAGATCTGCGGGTAAAAGGCCATGGTCCAGTAACTGACTGACTAAGAGGGGGCAGGAAAGCCGATGTGGAAATGCCACTAGAATCTGGATGTAAACACCCCCCCCCCCTTTCTCCCGCGGGGGGCATGGCACAGACCGAGAGTGATAATAAGGACAATCCCTCGGCTGCGATTGATTCAGATATTGTGAGTCTTCGAGACTCACAAAAGTTATATCTGAGCCACTGCTTACTCCCACGTCTCTGGCTAGAATAGCAATCAGTCGAATAATCTATTTATAATTGCCCAGGTATTATCGATCCAGTAATCTGCGGGATCCAAGCCCCACAGCCCATTATAGGCACGAAAGGAAAGGATTTTCTTGGTAATGTCACGAATTTCGTTTTCTATTGCTGGGCAAGGCCACTGGCATCCTCGATGTATTGGACTGTAGCCTTCCTCTTAATCCTAAGTAGATCACTAAGAAGCTTCATTGGGCTAAGCGTGACTCAACACTGTCAGTAAGCTAGATACTATGCTTCGTGTATGTAGTAATTGTCCTAACGCTGGTTATTTCTATTTTTATTTCGCGTACCGCTCAACCTTGGGAAGCAATGTCCCGCCGCGAGAAAGGCTGGTATGGCAAGATGAGAGCGATTCGCTTATGACCTTATCCATCTGTGCTGGAAGCGCTGTGATGGGGCCAGTGCGACATACACTTACCTGATTTGTTGATTGTTATCCACTTATGATAATATCCAAGAGGACGGCTGAAATATTGTGGGATAATCTAAAAGATATAAAGGTTTGCTGTTTTCTACCCGTTGTCAAAATAACTCACATCTTTTTTCCTAACTACCGACATACTATCTTTTTGATCACAAGTAGTTAGTTTTATTGTTCATCATGTCGTACAATCAAATTATTTCCAAGAAGACCGTCAGCAAAATCATCAAAAACGGCCGAGAGGTTACGATCTCGGTGGCAACGAAAACTAGCCATTGGATACGTCCTGACGTTGCTGCCGATGCAGTCGGGGACGCTTTTACTAAGGCGGTGGAGGGATACACTGGGGAATTACCTGCTGATACAAAAGACGTCTGCGCGAGGTTAGGGCTCACTTAGTGTTCGCTTTTAAAGGCTAACTGTGTTAATAGAGAGTCCGAGCATTCGAGCACTGATCCCAGAGACCATTTCACTGGAGTCTGCTTCAACTCGAAGAACGAAGGACAAAGTGTGCACTTTCCGACTAAGAAATGATCATACGAGCCTTCTTTCTTCTACGCAGCGTAAGTATTCACATGAATTTGTCTATAGTGTGGAAGGGCGTAAAGCGTCTTTGCAGCTGTTGTCCATGCGTGAGTCGTGACTCTGTCAAGCAATGCATGCGCATGGTTACATGAATAGGTCCAATCACCTGGGTTGATTTGGTCTTATCGGTTTTGGAGTGGACGTTTGGATTTCATAAGTTGGATATTTTAGTGCTTCAACTAATGAGATGCATGGGTTTAAGTCGACCAAATCAGATACTTTCCGAAGGGTAATTTTAGATATCTGTGTCAGCGGACCTTTTTCAAATCCTTGAGACACAATACTGATAGCTTTGTGCGTAAATTTGTCCGCGTCTTTCGCATAAAACGTTTGACTCAAGCCTCCAATCATGCAAAGGAAATGTAAGACCGGCGCGACTGAATTTTAGTTACCTTATCATTTCCCTTAACCCCAATAGTCTCGCTGGCTGACTAGAATAATTTTAGATGTCAAGGTCGACGACGATGGTGAATGCAAAAGTCGATGGATGGCTGGCCCAGAAACCTGCCAGGCTGGTGTTCGACAGGTGCCTCACGTTTAACCGCCGGCTGCTGGGCTTTCCCACTAATTTGAGCCGTCGATCACGTTCGCATTGACCACCTACTAACGTGAGTGCCTGCAAGTAAAGTCACAGGCGATACCAAGCACAACTTCTCCACCAATGTCAAGGATCGTAAACCCCACCGACGCGGAAGGGGTAGCCTTTCATTTAGGCAGATCGTGCCAGACTATTGTATGACGAGGTTCGCTTCTGTCAAAAGGCGCTCATCTCGCAGGTATCTTGCAGCAATGCGAGGCATTCGTCCACTGATATCGTACAAGGTAGAAGAAGGCTACACGGCTGAGACAGTCTAAGTCCAAGCCGCATTCGGAGCTTTAGACGGAACTTACGAATGGCTCGTGCAACGTTCCTATTTTGCGGGTCAAGTCACATAATTGGAGCGCAAAGTATCCAATAAAAGTCAAGGTTAAACGCCGTCATAAAAGAATGTACTGTGACAGCTTCACGCGTAATCGTTGCCTGTGACACCCGTAATCAGAGTGTGAGCGATCAGGTACAGTGTGGCAGTTATTGTGTGACTGAGCACCTCGGCGATCAGTCCCGTGGCTGTGTAAGGGGCTAAGGTACGAGTAAAGACAAGAAGTGTCCCCATCACATTCGATTTTCCCGTCTGGCGTCGGTGATCACATGGGCTTTTGGAAAAGCAATTGTCAAAGTGGCAGTGAGATTATTCGTGGGAGTACGATTAGCCTGGTGCCTAAAGCATGGTGGATAATGGCGAATGCTCATTATAGAATTGGTAGAATTGCCGAGCCCTAAACTCTTGTCCTCCATCATTTTCTGTTACTACTATTCCTCCACGTCTCATAAATTATAGGTCACGTAGTCTTCTACGTGCCTTAATTTGAATCTAAACATTAAATGGGCACCACCTTTAAATTACATCCCTAAGTCGTCTCCAGGTATGTATGTAGACTTGTTCTCTGGGTTGGCTACGGACAAATGCATCTATGTTTCTATTTTCAAGTAAGATCTGAAGTCTGATGTTCCTGGAAGCACATGATCTGACAGCCGCCGTGATTGGATCACTGACTAGGGAGAAATTTCATTAGGCCTGAGGCTGAGCGGCCACGGAGTTCAGCCGACGCATTAGAGACAAGACTAGTTGAACTAATCGAAGGTCGCTAGGTTACTCTATTTGCCGGCGCGGATGGACCCATACAACATTTTCGCAATTCTAAACCACTACAGAAAGGTGTCTTTCGCCCTTGCATCATCCCCTCATTCTATTCGTCTGCTAAAGGACATTTACACTTTCCGCTTTAAATTCATGTAGACTGACTGGCTAGTTGGGTTTTATCAGTCTAACATCACTTCGCAATCAAAAATTCCGCACATCATGCGTGATACTGTCTTTTGTGTTTTAATTTTGTTTAAAGCTGTTTAAAACGGTGCTGTGGTAATTTATTTTGAGGGCTCGGAATTAATTTGCGCAAGAGGATGATAGTTACCTCCACAATCTGCGTTATCTTGGGCTGGTAGGCAGAGTTCGTTAGGAGGTTGTCCTCCTTTCCTCGGCGAGTTGTAAATCCGATCCCGACCACTCGTGACGCTTATATTTCGCGCCCTTCCCTTCAATCAAGGCGCGATTGGAAGTTTTCTTGTGCATTAATGGTCAAAGTATCATTTTCTGATGTCAGAACATGAATTCTTCCCTCAGATTAGGCCAGTGCCTTCGCGGTCAGAATGGAATATACACTGTTGGCAAACAATTGCAGGAAACGGTTTGGGTGGCAAGGTATGAAGCTACTGCAAATTTCATGGAGGCTCCGCTTATAACAGTTCTGTATAGCAAATCTGGAAGCAATCAACCAGTGATTGTGAAAAGTGTCAATCATTTTCGTCTTCAGAATGAGCGTGATATTCTTAACTGCTTTCAATCCCGCACCCCCTTCATACGCCCCTTAGTCGACGAGATTATTGAGCCATCAAATCCACCCGCTATAGTCCTGAAATATTTAGACGATCACCTTCTCAATGCCTCTGTCTCTAAACGACTTACAAGTCAGGAAATTAGATATGTTGCAAGAAGGATTTTAGAAGCCCTGAAGGTTCTACATGAAAATAATTTTGTCCATACAGGTATATGCAATTAATCTAAATAAAGTATATTTGCTTATACTTCTTGAAGATATCAAGCCCGACAACGTTCTGGTAAACTATGGCCAAGGGAATGTACGGTTTACAGATGTCCAACTTGCAGACTGTGGAAATACAGTTCCTACGGATTCAGCGTATGCCAAGGATAGTGACTTGATTGGAGCACCTATATGGAGAAGTCCTGAAGCACAGCTCCGAATTGGCTGGGGCACGCCAACGGATATATGGTCTTTTGGCGCATTGGTATGTCTTTGTATTAATTTCTCGATAATACTGAGCTATTCTGACCTTGCTCCAGCTTATAACCTTGCTCTATGGAGATAATTTCTTTATTTTTAAACCAGATATTCCCGCAGATCATGATGATTATGAGTTAAAGATTCTTCAGAGACAGTGTGAGTTCTTTGGGCCATTCCCTTTGACATACCGCGAAATCTGCCCTCAGGAAACATTGAATATTCTGGCATATATTATGAAAAGTATTCCCCCCGAAAAGAAAAAACCATTTACAAGGATTTCGGAAAAGGAGATCTCTAGAGAGGACAAGGAATTCATTCTCAGGATCATGAAACTTGACCCAAGGGACAGACCGTCAGCAGCAGAGCTTTTGCAGGACAAGTGGTTTTGTTAGAGGCCCATCCTAACAGCACGAACTTGATAAAGGACTCAGCTCGGTGCTGGTCCTATCAAGGGCGATAAAACACTTAGTCACATTTCTTCACACTTCTACAACTCCTGAATTCCTGTTCAACAATTCCTTTTGTACCTACAGTATATCTATATTGGATTAATCTATCAGTATTGCATATGTATATTCTTTATTATAACTAGACTGGCGTTTGGCTAGGTTAGGTTAGGTTAATGGGATCAGTTATATCTAACTAGGCCTAGGAATGGTGCGGTCTTTGGTCTTTTCTCACATTGCTGAGACCCGCACTATGGTCCCCCGCGGTCCTAAGCGATCTTTATTCCGGGGGACCGTTGTTGTATAATCTTACCAAGATCTTCTATTTTCAGCTATATAAATATGATGATTTATTATAATAGATTTTTACAATTGTAACAGTATTCAGTATAAATACTATTAATATTCTATTTACAATACTATTGACTTTCTATTGACTTTTTAATACTTTTCTTTACCTTCTTATTAAGTTTCCATTCAGTTTCTATTCAGTTTATAAAATAACTCTGAATATATAGTAAATATATAATAACAGAGAAGAAGATAATACCGAAGTGATTCTGAAACACTGTCTATAACTACCCAATTTGTGAATGCTAAGATACCACACTCGCTAGAGAAAGTAAAGAAAGCTGAATATCGTGATTATAAAAGCAAGTAAAGTAATATATATATACTGTTAGCTATCTCAGCCAGAGAAATATATAACACAATTATCTAGTTTCTTGTTTTTCTCTCCTGACTCAGGTTATACCACTCTAGTTAAAAGTAAATAAATATTTATATATCTTATACTTTATAATATTATAATTAATATTTAAAATAGCAGAATTCTCTCTGACCCCCAGCCACTAATTTCTGACCTCCCGTAAACTCAGCCGCTCAGACGTCCGGGAGCTGATTAAGCAGAAATATACTGCCGGCAGAAATCACCTAAAATCAGCAAAATGCGGACTGGCCGCATTGGTTTGCCGTAGCTGATCAGCTGACCAATTAAGATAACTGGCTGGTTCGGTCAGGGCGGTAGGAAATCAGACCTGCTCTTCGCTCACTGGTATTGGGCCCGGGAAGTGCTGTGGCTGCAGGTTAGGGTGTGTGTGGATATCTGGCTTCTCTACGGATGAGTGTACACAGTGTTCTTGAGGAGTGAGATAATAGATAGGTGGCGGTAATCGCCTAGGTGGTTCGTCTTTCTCTTGATTTTGTTGAGAGGATGAGGAATAGGATAGACAATCTAAGCCCTAAAATCAAATCGATGGGGGTTTCATAAAGTTCAGCCAAAGCACGATTTCCCCGCGCAATGAGACCGTTATCCTCTGTATATCGCATATAGATACCTTTTCCAATGTATTAGTACTCTATTACCCACCGACCATTCCTACTCCACAACGCATCTCCAAAGTCACCTACCGAGGCGACCTGAATGTGGGGAACGTCGGCCACCTAGACCAATGGCGTCACTTTGCGCCGGGTTGCCTCCATCCTGACTCTCGACATCCGACTATGGCAAGGCATATAAATCGCCATTCCTCCCTCCTGTATAGCAGTAACATACGAGGTATTCCCTTGATCACCAAAGCATAATTACTATAAATTGATCTATTACACATAAACGAAAGACCAGCATGGCGTCCACAATCCTTACCAACGGGCGCATCTTCACGCCAAGCACCACCTCAGATGGATCTGACTTCCAACAAACGATGTTAATCACCGGGGACCGCATCCAGTATGTCGGATCGCCAAATCATGATGCTATTCAACAAGCCAAAGACTCTGGAGCCCGTGAGGTAGACCTACAGAACAAGATCGTGGTCCCAAGTTTCATCGATAGCCACATGCATATTGTCGACTTTGCGTTGTCGCGCCGCAAGCTCAGCCTTCTGTCATGCAAGTCATTAGAGGAGATTCGACAAACCATCAAAGCATTTGCGGAAGCTCATCCGGAGGACCCCCGGATTATGTGCAAAAGCTGGGTCCAGTCGACAACCGGGGGAGAGGCGCTGGCCAGTATGTTGGATGATCTGGATCCGCGGCCGATCTATATCCATGCCAATGATCTGCATTCGGGGTGGTGTAATACTGCTGCATTAGAGGAGTTGGGGGTCGCCACTATGGCAGATCCTCCCGGTGGAACGATTCATCGGGATGAAAATGGGAAGCCATCGGGTTTGTTGAGTGAGATGGCTCACTTGGGTATCGTTCCCCAGTTTCTGGCTAGGGCTACCCCGTTGGAAGCTAAGCTAGAAGCTCTGGATGATGCGGCGAAGGCATATACTGCGGCGGGATATTCGGGAATGATTGATATGGGTATGGACGATATTGAATGGGACGTGTTGAAGGCGTGGCGAGAACGACGCGGGGAAAACTTTCCATTCCATATTGCGGCGCACTGGGTGATTCCACCTAGCGATGACCTGGATGTGGTGTTTGGCCATGTGGATCGGGCAATCGCCCTTAATCGTGAATATAATCCGGCGACATCTCCGACCTTCTGTATCGCAGGCATCAAATTGATGTGCGATGGCGTGGTTGACGGCTGCACTGCTGCCCTGACAGATCCGTATCAGGGATGCGAGAATCCGGTGGATCCAATCTGGCCCACCGACTTTCTGCAAGCCGTTGTGAAGAAGGCAGATGCGGCTGGACTGCAGATCGCTATTCACGCTATTGGTGACAAAGCCGTCAAGAATGCTATCGATGCGCTATCCCTAGCACAGCCTGGCCGTCGTCATCGCATCGAACATCTCGAGCTGACCTCGCCTGAGGACGCGAAACGCTTGGGTCAACTTGGAATCACAGCGTCAGTTCAGCCAGTTCATTCGGACCCGGCTCTCTTCCGTGCCTGGCCGGAACTCATTGGAAAGCATCGCTGTACCCGTGCATTTGCCTACCGTGAATTCCTTGAGGGTGGCGCTCCAGTAGCATTTGGCACGGATTCACCCACCGCATCCCACCCTGCCCTGCCAAATCTCTACAATGCTACCACCCGGCGATCGGCCATTGAGCCTGAGTGTACCGAAACGGTCAATTCCCACTTTGGACTGCCTCTAGCTGCTGCTGTCAGTGCCGCCACAACTGGAGCGGCATATTCCCGTTGGGCAGATTCGTGGACGGGTTGCTTGAAGGCTGGGTTGAGCGCAGATTTTGTGGTCCTGGATATGGATTGGAAAGCCGAGAGCCTACTCAAGGCAAAGGTAGAGCAAACCTGGGCCCGAGGTCGGAAGACCTTCGATGCCAGTGCGGGTCAGGCACAGCTATGAGTGGGGTTGTCTCATGAAGCAATGACGTTCATTTATATACACTTTAGCATGGAAGATAATAATTAAAGAAGGAAATATTCCAATCCCTCCTCCCTTTGTGCCATGCGCAGAGGCCATCATTCCCTTCCTGGTTGGCACATGTAAAGGTGTAATATCGCAATAAACAATGCACTACTTTCGTGTCAGCATGACTCGAGCAGATACCATCCATAGCGTTTACCTAGTTTAGAGTAGCCATTATGCCTTCCGGCCTGAATGGATATTCGGGTCATTTCCGTGCTGTTTCTCAGGCGTTCGTAAATCCCTCATGGCCGGGCGCAACTGCTGCTCTTGTGCATGTTGAACAGAGGCTAAATCAATCTTTGATTTGCGCGATTTGCGCAGCAGAATCGGTAACAGGAGACACATGGCGAAATAATAATTTCTTAGGCAAAGACTAGACGGCGAAGAGGAAGAGAGAGAAGAACAATGAGTGTGTTTGAGTAGGGTTGCGAACGGAATCTTAAAGCTGAGGCTGACTTGAGGCTTGAATCCGTTTTCTAGATTACCCCTGGATACCGCTCATGTCAAGGTATTTATACCGCTTGAAGCTGACTCCATAGACTGTTGTCAGTACCGAGAATGGCCTTAACGTGGCTTGGATAACGATCATGCGAGGGACCCTCGGTTTCCGTTTTGGGTAATCACTTCAGAGGTCGATCTGTACCTTTCATACATGGTAAGGACTGGCTTACATCTGCGCTGATCCGCTTCGCTTCGCGCATTGCGAGGCTTAGCGGAAGCTTGATCGACTCTACGAGACTATACTTTACCAAATCCGGTAAGTTGTTCGTATTGCCCTGGGATCTCACGGGATCCGCTACTGACTATTCGCCTCAGTGCACGGAGCAGCGTCTTAGAATTGTCAGTCATGTACACTATTGCTCATGCTTACGGTGTGGAGCGATCAGCAATACCTCACTGAGTGTGGTGTCATTCGACAGAAGGATCCTCGGGGCGTCATATTCCACCTGAGGAGTTATTTTGATTTCCTAGTTATCTTGGGAAATTGTACCGAGCAATTCTATTGATTAGGCGCAATACAAAGGTAGTTGATAATGCATAAGGCATGTTAAATGTGCATTCAATTGTATGGTTGCCACATGATTATCTAAAGCTAATTCTGACATTATATTCATAACTCAAGGTAGGTAAATGAATAAAATAATACAAGTCGAAATGGGTATCAAGAAGTCTCGTGCGCTAATTCCATAAGGACCTCTGCATAGATTGCACCAATGTATATCCTATCTCAGTCCTTACGCAGACATCGACTCCCCCTTGTCCGCCACCTGCGTGTATTTTCGAATACTCCTGGTCCAGAGTCCCGCGAAAATCATTGACAGCGCAGCAAGCACTTCCGGGAGAAAGACGAGGACGATGCGTACTGCGACGGATCCAAATACGGGACTCAGGTCTTGTCTCTGTGTACAAACGGCGACCAGATTGCAGATGACGCGAACACCGGCGAATACGATAGCAGCGAGAGCACCGTAGAGAAGCTAATAAAGTGACCAGGCGTTAGCGTCCCGGAAACATCACTCTTTCATTAATCGAAGTATATACCTTGGTACCGTCCTTATAGCCTGGAGCATCCTTCTTGCACTGAGAAGGAAGGAGGGAGAAGAGTGCCCACACCACTTCCATCGCCCAGACAGCGACAACTAAGCCCGTTCCCACCTTCCAGTGCGAAAGGTCCGTAGCCGTCCTTTTACCCTGGTAGACCTGCAATGATCCTCCAATGCTAAGACCGAGACCAGCGCCCATAAGACCAGTGATCGCAATGATCACCATCCGACCGACGAGCACATTGTGTTCTGGGTGACGGTAATACCGACTATAAACAGCCCGACTATGTTAGAAACTTTCGGTTATCCCGGTAGAGGGTGTAAACGTACGCTTCATGTAGAAGTCCATCGATGGCCAACAAGAGTGGGGACAGTCCTATCCCAGATATGACGTTTGCTGCGATGCTACTGCTGTCGTTCACTCCCAAAGCACCCCCGACTATTCGCACAATACAGAAAACGACCAGGTTGGTCCAAGCTAGCCAACCAATCCATCGATGGGACCAATAAACATAGAGCACAAAGGGAGTTAGAAAGAGGTAAACTGCGAGATCAGCCGGAAATATTTCGTTCATGTTGGTCGTATAATTGGTTCAGTCGCTGGTGTTTACTGAACAAAAGGTAATCTTTGTACTTGGATGGAACGAATTATAGCGAGAATTATTGAAGAGGTGAGATGTAATAGACGATGCAAGAGATATGAAGTTACAGTACGGGCTTCTAATGTAGCTAGGGCGTCGACAATTATTTATTTACACAAATTATAGTATATAGCCCAAGGTCAACTTAGGGCTCTACTGGACTTTCCGCTTTGGGAATGTAGCTCGTAGCAGTGGCTAAGCAGAAACGGGTCGAGGAAGGAAAAGAAAAAAGAGAAAGAAAATATGAAACCAGAGGAGAAAAGGCTGACGACCAACAAATAATTTTGTATCTCTTCTCGTTTAAGGAGAGAGATCATGGCTCCCTGTACTGAGCAATTCTTTCAGGGCAGGCTGAGAGGCTTAGCACTCAAGGTGTGAGGATCAAAACCTCATTTGCTCATGAATAGGCAGCAAAATGCTTGATTCCTTCAGGCTAAGGACTCACTAAACCCAAATGAGGATACAACTCGTAGAGAACGAAAGTGCACAGCCTCTCTCGGAGATCGCAGCCGCAATATTTGGCGCACATCCTTTCTTGGCGGGCTGGTTAAGTAAGAGCAAAAAGTCTCGAGTCGTTTTTTTCCGACTCCGAAACCCCACTAATTCGTACTCTGGACCCGATCTTACTCTTTCGGGTATCCAACTCGTAGCTCCATATTCTTTCCCTCAGCCCGCAGCTACATGGTTTATCGAGGGAAGCCCAGTCCTGCCTGTGAGCCCTGTCGGACTCGACGCCTTAAAGTACGTGGCATGTCGATCCATTCTAGTCCAATCTGCAGGTGTAACTACGTACTAAGTCTATACAGTGCGGTCAGCAGAGACCGTCCTGCTCACAGTGCGTCCGCGCTCATCGAGAATGTTCAGGGTATCGCGATGTAGCCACCCTCAGCTTCCATGATCAGAGCGAAGAAGTAATAGGAAAAGCCCGTCGCCAACAGAATATTACCAAGGTGGCGACGAAGGCCCTGTCATGCTCGAAACGACTAAGTCCTGCCACAGCCATCGGTTACCGACAATCAGCGCCTACAATATTCCCATCTCTCACATTCTCGGTGAATGACCAAGCATCGGGTTTTATCTTTTCACATTATGTCCGAAACGCAAAGCACACTCGAGGTCATCTTGACTTCCTGCCAACCCTATTTAGGCAGGATACTAGTCCCGCAGTCAGGGCCGGTATCAGCGCCCTAGGACTCGCGTCCCTGGCTAATATTCATATGTCGCCCGAGTTAATGTCTGCTGCACGGCATGAATATAGTGCGGCACTGTCTGCGACTAGTATAGCCCTACGCGACCGGGAATGTGCCCAGTCCGACTCAACCTTGGCAGCAGTTGAACTCTTGTCGCTGTACGAGGTAAGTAGTACTTGCATATTACCTGTCACACGGTTAATCTCAGGCTAATGGACAGCCTAGATCCTGACGTGCGAAGGTGCACCTCTAATAGGGCGCTGGTTGAACCATATAGAAGGGGGTGTGAAACTGATTGAGCTTCGCGGATTCGACCAAGTACAGCATCAAGCGGGCTTAGAGCTGTTCACGCAGATCCGGACACAAATTGTACGTCATGCAGACATCGAAGGAAAATAGCAATGGGCTAACGGCAGAGGACGACAGGCATTGGGGAACTTATACAAGAAGCAACGCACCCCGTCATGGCTGCTAGACTTGTCCAAAGAGGCTCTAAAGCACCGTGGCGATACCGGGGACCAGGTGCTGGACTACTTCTTTCGAATCTTGGTGGAAGTCGGTGATCTGATTGCAGCTATCAACGAGAGCGCGTTTGCCCATCCAGCTATAATTCTTCAGAGAGCTCTCAATCTCGATGCCAAGCTGATTACGTGGGCGATGAGCATTGACCCGAGATGGAAATACACCGTTGTTAAGGTCAAGAAGCCCGATGATGAGAACGATACACTCCACCATATATACGGTGACCATTATCATATCTACCCTAATAGCACGGTGAGCATGGCTTGGAACAATTATCGGTTCATTCGCATCATTCTCCATGGCATCATTGGATACCTTTCCGACACTCACTTTCAGGCATCCGAAGGAGAGGGATCATACCAACAAAGCGAGAGGCAGAGTACCGCAATCTCCCAACAGTTAGCGGAGGATATATGTGCGAGTGTACCGTATCATCTGGGCATGACCGGCTCATCCGATGGACCGACCCTGGGTATTCCGTTTGCTGGCGGTGTTCTTCGTTTGATGTGGCCGCTTTTTATTGCATCCGACTGCCGGGGCGCGTCACTGAAAATGCGGGAATGGATTGCACAGTGTCTGGAAAAAATTGGCCGTGGTGTAGGGATCAATATGGCGGTTACCATGTCCCAGATCCTTCGAGCTGACATGCACCTTAACTGGCTGGAGGAGGAAGAGACCAATATCGTGAGACGAACGTATCTTGTGCGTAACGAATATTTTCCGCCGGAGACATAATGTAGATTAATACCCCTGTTCGCTATTTTCATCACCGAGATATACGATTACCAAGGGACCTTGTAGGAAGCTTATTGATGATTGTGATAAAGGGGCGTGCTTATCTATTTCATACTAAATATACAAAAACGACACGAATGAACCTTTATATAGTTTTATTAATCTAGAAAGATAATGTGACGGATCCGTTGCGGAATCCCGTCGAAATATATACTGTGGCTAATGAGCATGGAAAGTCTCGTAAGTGAAGGTCTACGCATTTAACTAATCCACAGAATCTCATTGTGAAATTGTTATAAACAAAAGACGACATCTATCCAACTAAACTGCTGATCTCCGTGGTGATGGGTTAGAGTTGGTATGTATTTCGATGTTGAGAGCTGGGACAGCAGTTGACCGATGAAGAATTCCAGGCTGAGCTTTCAAATAATCACTGTCTCGGCATTCAAGATACCCCACTCTGCCAAGGTAACGCACATTAGCTTGGATAGCCTCGTAAAGTACCTGTCTATTTGGAGGAGAGAGCGGAGATGGGATCGAAATGCCGTCTTGTTTCCTGCCTCGTACAAATTGCTGCACCGGCCAAAGTGGATGGCTTTCGCCAACCTGAGTGGTATCGTCCAGAGCTCGTTCCACCCAAACATCCCATCGCACTGGTTCACATGCATGCTTTAACTCGGAATTGACCTGTGCCCAAAACTGAGAAACGCTTAGGCCAAACTGAGTCGCTGCATTGATATATGACGAGATGTTGTTTGAGAGTACCTGGGTCACAGTTTGGGTTGCAATAAAGCCGGCATCGGTGACGGGCACCCAGCGCTCTTCGGTCTCCAGAGGGCACAGCTGTAACCGCGACGCAGTAGCGACAATTCTCCAGATGAAGTCGTCGAGGTTAGGAACACCTTCATCGGCGGTTCCGATGATCATGCCTGGTTTGATGACTGAGAACCGGTTCTGAGACAGCGGTAGTTGAGAGGCAAAGCGACGGACGATGGACTCGGCAACAAATTTACTCTGGGCGTACCCGTTGCTCCGGCTTAGCTGTTCCACAGCAGCCTGATTTCCAGGAATGGCTTGTAATTCAGCTATGGCACCGCCAGACACGAAAACAAAGCGTGGCGAATCACGAGACAGGACTGCAGCCTTGAGAAGCTCAATGGTGGATAGCACATTCGGTGGTCGTAGCTTGTCGTAGTCCATATTCCAGTTCACGAGGGCGCCGTTGTGAATAATGGCGCCAATATTGTTGGTTGTCGCCGTGCCGGACAACTGACGCCATTGGGAGTCACTCACGCCCAGCTTGGGTAGTTCGAGATCTCCTATCCACACCTCGATGCGTGTCTCGTACTCGGTCCTCCACCACCCCGCAATAGTTGCTGTCTCTTTCAATCTTGCCAGGCCTTGAGCAGCAGAGGCGGCACGCACAAGAGCCACTACATGTTCAACTTTATTCGATGCTAGAAGACAACGTAGAATCTGGGTACCGAGATACCCAGTTCCGCCTGTGAGGAAGACCCTAGTGTGAGTATCCACTTGCTTGGATGGGTTGAACCATGACTGAGAGACTGCTGCTGTCCAGGTGGAAGATAATGCAGCTTCTATCTCTCCCTCCAGGTCCAATCTTGGTCCCGCCTCAGACTTTGTATCAATAAACTCCGATATCTTGGCAATTGTTGTATTGCGGCTATTGATCAAGGACGAACCCAAATGAGTACCAAATTCATTCTGGATCAGCCTTATGAGGCTGATGATTCTAATAGAGTCCCCACCAATATCGTAAAAGTTGTCATCGACACCTATCGTCTCGCATTGAAGGCCCAGGATTGTCGCCCAAAATGCTCTTAACCGTCGTTCTGTCTCGTTGGAACAGTCACGAAATGTTGCAGGTAGAGATGAGCTCTGTAGCTTAAATCCCGCTTCATCACGGAAGTTGTCCTGTTCCGGGTTTATGCTTCCCTTGTCCAGCCTTGTCCGGAAATGATCTGTGGCGATATTCTGTAGGTGACGGCGATCCATCTTGCCAGAAGTGTTCAGTGGCAGTTGTTCAACGGCAATATAGACGCTGGGTATCATATACGTCGGTAAACGATCCGCAAGTGTGTCTCTTACCGACCATGGGATTGTCATGACACGGGCATCGTCTTCCAAGGAAAGCTTCACATCCCCAAAGCACAGAAAAGCCGCCAACACAGGTCCAGTATCCCCTCCGCCCGGAGCAGTGGCCACCACAACCGCCTGCTTGACGCCGACCATACAGTCGCGAACATGACATTCCACTTCACCCAACTCCACACGGTGACCGCGGATCTTAACCTGGGTGTCCTTACGCCCCAAGTATATCAAGCTTCCGTCCTCGTTATAGCGCACCAGGTCGCCTGTCTTGTACAGTCGTCCTCGTCTGCCAGGATGACCCGCGATGCCCTGTACTAGCCAAATTGGATCCTCGACGAAGACTGCCGATGTCCTTTCAGCGTCGCCTAAGTAACCTCGGGCCAGGACTGGTCCCTCTACGAGCAGTTCTCCAACAGCTCCAATTGGCACCAACCGGTTATGATCATCTGGAGACACGACCCAGGACACGGAACCGACAGCCGTTCCGATCTGGGAA